TGATTTTTCAGAATGAATACCTTCAATATATATTGTTGAAGAACCTTTAAAGCAGGTACAAAAACTTTATAAATATTTATTCATGATATCTAAAATTGCAAGCTGGAAATAAAGGAACTTTTAACACTACAGGTGAGCAAGATAACCTTTAATAGTATAATAGTGTTTATAACAACAAGTTCAATCTATGACATAGAAAAAAATCCAAAGAGAAAAATTATAATGATATGTCTTTCAACCACAGACAAGTGGTTCAGCCTTTGTCTTCAGACCTCAGAGATGATAGTTACAGTAATAAACTAGAAATGTGTCCATAGGACACGGATGCCCCCACACGCCACTGTTCTGTCAATCTTATGACTCTAGGTCAAATATTTTTTGGACAAAAAATCAACAAAGGGCCATAATTCTGTTAAATTTGGTCGCAGCAAAAATTCTTTCCTTTACTAACATCTACACATTAAGGTTGTAAATCCCTGGAAGTTTAAGCAAAATCTGCCATCTGGTTTAAGAGGAGTTACGTTCACAAAATTTCTACAAAGTATATAATGAAAAAATCAACAAAGGGCCATAATTCTGTTAAATTTGGTTGCAGCAAAAATTCCTTCCTTTACTGCCATCTACACATAAAGGTTGTTCATCCATATAAGTTTAAGCAAAATCTGCCATCCGGTTTAAGAAGAGTTGCATTCACAAAATTTCTACATAGTATATAATGAAAAAATCATCAAAGGGCCATAATTCTGTAAAATTTGGTCACAGCAAAAATTCCTTCCTTTACTACCATCTACAACTTAAGGTTGTTCATCCCTGTAAGTTTAAGCAAAATCTGCCATCCGGTTTAAGAGGAGTTGCGTTCACAAAATTTCTACATAGTATATAGTGAAAAAATCAACAAAGGGCCATAATTCTGTTAAATTTGGTTGCAGCAAAAATTCCTTCCTTTACTACCATCTACACATTAAGGTTGTTCATCCCTGTAAGTTTAAGCAAAATCTGCCAACCGGTTTAAGAGGAGTTGCGTTCACAAAATTTCTACATAGTATCTAGTGAAAAAATCAACAAAGGGCCATAATTCTGTTAAATTTGGTCGCAGCAAAAATTCCTTCCTTTACTACCATCTACACATTAAGGTTGTTCATCCCTGTAAGTTTAAGCAAAATCTGCCATCCGGTTTAAGAGGAGTTGCGTTCACAAGGTTTCGGGACGTACGTACGGACGGACGGACGGACAGACTGACTGACGGATTGACGGACGGACGGACAAGTGCAACGCTATATGCTCCCACATTGTGGGGGCATAACAAAACTCATCGCCCCTCCAGCATTCCATACACCTTTCTGATACACATAGATATGATGTATATGAAATCCTTATCAATATAGAATTGTCAGTTTCTCCCAGGCCAAATAAAACAATGTATGTTTCCAAACTTTCCACTGACATTAGATTATTTGGTTTACAAAATTTATTTAAGTTCGATTGTGCAGGAAGCTATAAGCTTATAGACACACATTCGAATGTGTTCCTGGAACCAACCAGTACTGAGCAATGGGTGTAGTTTCTTGCCCAAGGAAACAACGACTTGCCCTGTCAAGGTTTGAACTCCTGCTACTAGCGATCATTAGATTACTAGTTCGAAGCATTTACCACTCGGCCATGCCACCAGTAGATTATTTGTTGACCCCAAGACATCAAACATGTATGGACAAACATTTTTAAATTTTTTTAATAGAATGGTACTGTGCATTTTTGTTTTTAAATGGATGTAAAAGAATAACAGTTACATGAAATATAAATATAAAACTTACATTCCATATTTTCAGCACTTAACTAAAATTACTCCAAGTAAAAGTAAAACTTAATACGATTCTTATGCTCCCAATTTTTTTTCCACATACATGTATTCTAGGCTTCCAGTTTGAGTTAAAAGTAAAAATTTCTTTACATTAAAACTCTGTGTAATCACTGGGAAAAACTCTGATAAATAAAACCAATAATTCCAACTACATCACTCTGTCTACTACCGGTATTATATAGACTACCTGTGCATTAATGTAAATATCTTTTCTCCAGAGACAGTCTTACATAGAAACTTACAGACAAAGGTTACCAATAATACAGAAGTGTAATATTGCACTGTGACATGGAACATTATTGGGAGACTTTCCCTTTCCGTGAATGTGAACACTTCTGTACACAGTATTTGTACTTTAACCCTTAATTAAATGACTGGAACTAAAAGTGATCAACCTTTTCCACCAGTATAGAGCCAGGCCAGTCTTCACCTCTGAGCAGTCTGACCAGGCTCTATACTGTTGGTAACGCAATTCATTTTTTTTTTTAATTAACATCCCTAAAACTTAAAATGGACTGTTCCAAAAATATAAAGCAGGGCAAATCCATTTCACAAATTCAGCGGGTAAAGTTCACAAGATTGATTCATACATCTGAACTCTCCCTATTTAAGCAGGAGACTCCCTCTTTCTCCTATCATTTTTTTAAATATTTTTTTTAGAATAAGGGGTGTTTAAAAAAAAAATCTCCCTCTTTTTTCATTTCAAAATTTCCTTCTATGTCTATTATCAATTAAAAAAAAATCTCCCTCTTTTTAAAGTAAGTTCTCCCTCATGAACATTGAAAAATGTTGATTTATTATTTCCCCAAGAGATCAAACAGTTCACATGGCAGCATTACTAATTAATATCATAATTATACTTGACATACAGTACAAGATGATGTAGTTACATCACAATGCTTCCTTAGTTACTGTTCTCAGATTCACTAAAGATAATTTGTTATTTTATTTATAGAGGATATATAACCATATAGTCAATACATAATTCCTAGAATATTATGATAATTGATAGAATATTATGACAATTGATATTGCTAATTGACAAAAAAATTAGATTCTTAAGTACTCTTCTAAACAATGAACAAAAATTATACTTTAATGAATAAAAACTTATAACAGAGACATAGCTAGTTATCTACATCTCTTCTTAAAACAATGTGAATTCTAATCACAAGCTTACTTCATTAAGAAACAGAAAAGTAAATGTTTTAATTTGAGCTTGATAGCTTTTTACCTTAACCAAACTATGAACAAATATAAATTATAATGCTCCCATTTTTGCTAATAATAGATATTAACTTATTAACATCACTTAATCTGAGCTTAATTGCTTTTAACTTTACCAGATAACAAGTTACATCCTTACTTGCAAAATCTATATATCCAAAGGCTTTCAAAGTCTGTGCACCACGAAATAAATAATTCCAGCTAAACTGTTATCTTAATTAGAATTCCAAATTTCTGCCAGAAAATAAATTATTTCATCCATTTTGTTCCAAAGTCTTCAACATTTCCACCTTAAAATAAAATAAACAACCTCCTAATTTTTGTCCTGTTTATAAAAACAAGAGGGCCATGGTGGCCCTGAGGTCGCTCACCTGTATATAGGCCCCCACCCCCAACCCCTACCCCCCCCCCAACGTTGCAGGGCCAATTTAACCAAAGGGCTTTTATTTGCACAAACTTGGTAGACACCCATAAGAAGATGTTTCATGCTAAACATCTAAGCTCTAGCTCATTGGGCTTTTTAAAAGAAGATTTTTTTTAAGTTTTTACTATACACATATAGTTAAAAACAATGACACCCCTGGGGCCGGGCCAGTTTTGACCCCAGGGCTTTTATTTGAACAAACATTGTAGAACCTTACTAGAAGATGTTTCTTGCTTAATATCTAAACTCTAGCTATTTTGGGTTTTTTCAAAGAAGATTTTAAGTTTTTGCTATACACATATAAAGAAAATCAATGACCCCCGGGGCCAATTTTGACCCCAGGTCTTTTATTTGAACAAACTTTGTAGACACTCACTAAAAGATGTTTCACGCTTAATATCTTAACTCTAGCTATTTGGGTTTTTTCAAAGAAGATTTTTTAAGTTTTTAAGGAAAATCAATGACCCCCGGGGCGGTGCCAATTTTGACCCCAGGGCTTTTATTTGAACAAACTTGGTAGACACCTATTAGAACATGTTTGATGCTAAATATCTTAGCCATAGCTCTTTGAGTTCTTTAAAAGAAGATTTTTTAAGTTTTTACAATATGCATATAGGGAAAATCAATGACCCCCCGGGGCGGGGCCAATTTTGACCCCAGGGCTTTTATTTGAACAAACTTGGTAGACACTTATTAGAACATGTTTTATGCTAAATATCTTAGCTCTAACTCTTTTGGTTCTTTAAAAGAAGATTTTTTAAGTTTTTACTATATGCATATAGGGAAAATCAATGACCCCCCGGGGCGGGGCCAATTTTGACCCCAGGGCTTTTATTTGAACAAACTTGGTAGACACCCATTAGAACATGTTTCATGCTAAATATCTTAGCTCTAGCTCTTTGGGTTCTTTAAAAGAAGATTTTTTAAGTTTTTACTATATGCATATAGGGAAAATCAATGACCCCCCGGGGCGGGGCCAATTTTGACCCCAGGGCTTTTATTTGAACAAACTTGGTAGACACTTATTAGAACATGTTTCATGCTAAATATCTTAGCTCTAACTCTTTTGGTTCTTTAAAAGAAGATTTTTTAAGTTTTTACTATATGCATATAGGGAAAATCAATGACCCCCCGGGGCGGGGCCAATTTTGACCCCAGGGCTTTTATTTGAACAAACTTGGTAGACACCCATTAGAACATGTTTCAAGCTAAATATCTTAGCTCTAACTCTTTTGGTTCTTTAAAAGAAGATTTTTTAAGTTTTTACTATATGCATATAGGGAAAATCAATGACCCCCTGGATGTTTGGATGAAATTGGCTTAGTGGTTTATGACGAGATGTCATTTAAAGTAAAAGTTTACGGACGGACGACGGACGGACGCCGGACGAAAAGCGATCACAAAAGATAAAAAAATAAATAAATGAATAAAAACAGAAAAAAAATGTAACAAAATTTTACAAACTATACAAAAAAGTTGAAAAATACATACTGTATAATACAAAGAAGAAAAATTAAATAACCAGGAAAATTCCATGAATTTTTGTCTGAATAATAATTCCTCCACATGTACTTCCCTTGGGAGTGATCAAATAATAAGTACTGTATATTTCTCCCAATATCTCTAAGCTAGTTACTTTGACTAATCCACTTGGATGCTAATCTGACTGTGCAAGCTAACGTAAAACAAATGTGTTTTTGGCAGAGAGAAAAATCCCTGACAAAATACTCAGGATGCTTGTGTTAATGAATACATGTGTAGTAACACAGGTAATCAATCGTTTATGTTTCCATTCTACAGTAAACATAAACAAATGATGTCACTGACACCAGTGTGAGTGATTTCTAGGTGTGATGATAACACTCAGAATATAAACATGCTCAATTATTCCGACTAAAATTTTTTTTCTCTTCTTTAAGAATTTCAAGAGAGCAATTAGGAAATCTATGAGTGGTGTAAAAAATTCAAGAGGGGACTATGACTTTTAGGATGGAAGAAAGATTTAGACATTGACAAAAAGAATTTAAGGAGGGGTAAGATAATTTCAAAAGTGGGCCGGGGAATAAGGATTTCAAGAGGGGAATAACAAATTCAAGAGGTAAATAGGGAATTAAAGAGGTAATAAGGGATCCAAGAGGGACACAAATGGATTCCAAGTGGGTAAATAAAGATTTCAAAAGGGAAATGAGAAATTCAAATGGAATATTAGGATTTCAAGTGGGGGTAACAAAGAATTAAAAGAGGGGCAATTGATATCAACAGAATACAAATTTCAAGAGGGGAATAAAATAAAAATTTCAAGAGAGTAATTTATTTTTTTCAAAAAGGTAAGAAGGGTTTAAAGGGTAATTTCAGCAGGATAAGAATAATTTCAATGGGGTATTTTATTGTTTTAAAAAAGGGAAATTTGGATATTTAAGGGGGACAAAGAATTTCAAGAGAGGTATAAAATTATTATTTCGGGGGATTGAAAGAAAAAAATCATCAACATAATAATAAATATCTACCAAAGAGTCTGAGATAAAACATTTTGACTTGTAACACATAAATAGCTTGTCTCAGTGATGGTGGAAAGAATTAATCAATATACAGTAAATTGTCCAAAGATCTTTAATGTAATTGATTATAAATTAAATCTAGTATCAAACATTAAGCAATCAATTATTCAATTAATTTCATGGGGGAAAGTGTTTGAACAGCTTGAACAAATAACTACTGTTACAATAAATGATTCCTAAATATCAGCGATGCTTGTTTGTTTTGTTACGTTAGAAGTCAAACACTGTTAAGGTGATATGGTTTCCGCTACAATTTCAAAATGCTATCAATTACATTTTTGTGTATATTAAAAATGTTTATTTTAGCAAAACATGTAAGTATTAAATTTAGTTAACTAATTACCACAACTTGTTACATTTTTAAAACATTGCGATCAAAAGTTTCCTCTTAATTTGAATGCAAAAAAAGCATAGGGAAAACTGTTAAAAATCTAGTTATTATGAATCAGGAAGGTGTCATCTTTTGAACAATATACAGACAGGAAATTAACATGATTGCACAAATATAGAAATTCTGATACAGCATTGTGCCGTTTTGTATATGTTTACACACAGTTGTTTTATTTCGCCAAGAAATATCACACATAAACTAAACAGGTACAGCTATTTTCTCTTGTATTTAATTCCTCTTTTTTTAAGAACCACATATTGCTACCTGAAACACTATGGGCAGTTGTCTAATGATCCCATATCAAATGGTGTATGAAGACCCTTCAAACTGTATATAATTTATATTCGACTTAAATGCCATATCAACGAAAATTACGATGGGCCTATATATCAAACCTAGTTTAAACATTCAAGAGTTAAAACAGTAAAATCATGCACATTTTTATTTACTTATACCTGATTACCCCCACTCCCCATCCCCCTTGAGTTTTTTTTTAATTATTAGACTGTCAAATGTTTTTATGACACCAATTGAACCTAACCACTCTAATGTTAAAAAAAACTATCTGTATGTATTAGGCATTGCTAATGACATGACTAGCAATTTCTTTAAGTTAAATATTAAAAATAAAATGTTAAACAGCCTGATAAGCTAAAGCGATATTACTTGCAGAGGAAATATTCCTAGAAAGAGAACACGAGTAGAACCACTAACCTGGTGCCAGTTGGATAGCTTTCTCATAAAAGTATCTCATGGGATTTGATCAAGAACTGAGGAGGGTAAATTCGGGTAAGTGATTTGAAGTCAAAGATTAAACCATAATTAAGTCATTATCAGACCTGGGGTAATCATCAATTGTAATCATCGATTTTTTAATTGATTACATGATTACACTGTAATCATCATGTAATTGATTACCTTGCTCAAAATTGATTACATTAATTGTAATTAATCAATTACAGCTTAAATTCAGTCTGTAATTATAATTACAATTTGATTGATGTTCATTACTTTCAGATTTTACAATCTGAAACTATTGAAATTTAAATGATTTATTTCACATGTTACAGTTTAACTTATACTCCTTTATAATGATCTTTAATCACAAACTGTATAGTGTAAATTGATTGATTTTGATACTCAATAGCAGCATTTTTATTGAATAGATAGAATGTTCTCTACTGATATCCATATTTGAAGTAAATAATAGAAATTGTCATAATAAACAATGATTGTTCATAAAGGTAGTAAAATATCACATGAGATGTTTTAAGACATCACTCACAATGAAGAAATAAGTTTTAATCCGTACATTCACCAAATTCTAACTGAAAGATAGACATTGTTTGGCTGGTATTCTAACCAAAATGTCAAGTCATTGGATTTATGATGTCTTTAAATTTCCTAAAGAGACAGCTGGAAATGTGACAGCACAGTGCAAATTGTGCCCTAGGAAGATAAATGGAAACACTAAGTCACATTCAAATTTCATTATAAAGGTATGTTAAATTTTGTTTCACATATTTTGGTTTAACCATGTTTTAAAAAGTTTCAAACAATGTAGATAACTTCGTTACTTTGTATAGTCAGTTTATGTCAGATGCATATTACCATATTTTAATTATATGCAACAGTTATTTTGTAAGGTGATAGACAATGTGTCTATATTATAATGGATACTGTTGTACCATTGAAGTGTTGTAAAAAATTGATAATTTCTTTGTAAAGCCTATTGTCATTGAATTCCCATACAACAATTTATTGTTTTCACACCTGTTTTAACACCTGTATACAGTATACTGTACAATTGACACTTTTCAAAATTTCAGTTGCAGAGAGTTTATTATGAAACCTACACCAAGACTGAGGACCATTCCTGCATCATCGGCCCCCTGTAGAGCGTTTGTTTAGTGTTGTGGGTAAATTTTCCGTCCTGATAGATGCAGTCTGACTGACAGACGGTTTCATGAACTTATGATGCTAAAGTGCAATGCTAAAATATGATAAAGTGATGTGACAGTAACTAAAAGTGTGTTAAATTGATGACTGTTGATGAGCTGGAAATCCTTTGTGTATATAATCTATATATTAAATAGTGTTAAGAAACTTTTGTCTATAGTTATACATTGAATGTAATCAATTATCAATCAATTACTTTCTTAAAGTAATTGTAATTTAATTGATTACAGAGGCAAGTCTGAGTAATCAATTGTAATCAATTACAATAAAATCTGAAAGTAATTGTAATTAAATCAATTACTGATCAATGTAATCATCCCCAGGTCTGGTCATTATCTGGATTAAATCTAAGTTACATATAATGTATCTGTCTGGACACATGGTACTGTACTGAGGACAATTGAGGCAATTTTGAAAATTTGATATCTCCCTGGATAAACCACTTACCAACTCTACAACCCTCCTACCTCTCCCAAACAATGTAAACTGTAATATTTTTCATTTGAAAATTGTTTTAATATTTGATATGACTTGTGCTTTTATTTCATTTGCCTTTTTTACCTCCCAAAAATGATTTATACAGGATACATTTAGTAAATATATAACAGTGTTGCATCTAGAATTTCAAAATTATGGGGGATTGTCCCCCACTCAATTGAAAAATGTGGGGGATTTGAAAAAAAATGTGGGGGACATACATTTACCTTACAATATGACATACCGAATAGAATTCATTTATTTAACATTCAGGCATTTTTGACAGCTATCGTCCGCTCTAAAACGGAAGTAGAAAAAATAAAATATTGACGAATACTAAAAAACACACGCGAGATGACTTAGTCGGCTGCTACATGCGATTTAGTACGTATTTTAGTCATAACCATGAGTGAAAACAAACATGGCTGACGCGTTTAAGATACGATGAAGATAAACTGAATTAAATTGAAAATATTGTCAGATGCGCGACTTGGCGCGCACTGACTTCATTTAAATGCGCGATCTGCATAAAAAATGCGCAAATCGCGCAATCGCGCGGCCTAGATGCAACACTGATATAATATATCATTTTTGATTTTTTGGGATTAGATAAGGAAATTTAAATAAAAGCAGTACCAAACACCTGTATTCATCAGTTCATAGCCACATGGTTACACATTTAAACAGATTTTTTTTTCGTTTTGATTTTCATTCGTAAACGTTTATGATATTTTTTACTGTTTAATCGAAATGACCATAATTATTGTCTTACAAAATATCTTAATCATTGCCTGTAGTCTGACATGAATTCTATCAATTCTAATTGATTTATTTCAAATTAAAAAACAGAAAATCGGTGTTTACAGCCCTCCGCACAGCATCGCCCTGCAATTATCGCTCATGTCATAATATATTCTTGGTTAAGTTGATTTTCCTTTGATATTTTAAAAGAGCGAAAGGGGGATACAATGCAGAAAATGTGTGCCAACTCAACTGAAAACTATTTATTTGTACATCATAATATGTATTGAAAATGGAAAGTTAGTCATCATTTAGCGACTCGAATACATGGTGTAGTACAGTATGTAGAGGTACAACCATTTAAACGGTATCGTTTCTGTGAACACTCACAAAACGTTTCCAAAAAAATTGTAAACGTGGGAGCCTTATTGGGGGTTCTATAATTGTCTTTTTAAACTCTCAATATATATTATATAAAGTGGGAAAATGAAATAATCGAGTAAATCTACTATGGTGACAACTTGTTTATTTTCTAAATTATTTGTATAAATTTGAATGATACAACATTCTAAAGCACTTATACCAGAAATGAGTTTACCCTCTTCTTCTTATTGATTATTGAAACCAAAACAGCTTTTAAGTTAAATTCCATGAAAACTTATCAAATCAAACCCAAATGAAATTATATATCACCTGAAATAATTACCTTAATGTAGATTAATAAGCTGAAATTTAAATGGGTCGAAAATAATTTGGGCGAATTAAAACTTACCATGACACTCAAGTAAGTAAATACGTTATTGTAAAAAAATATCTATTTCAAACAAATAATAAAAGTTTAAATTTACCTCATAAAATTTAATTTTTCCTTAGCAAAGTCGGGCCTTAATTGTTAAAAACATTTTTACCATTTGTAGTCATGTTTGCAGGTAAACAAAGTCACGTGACTACGGTGCATTTGTTTAGAAGATCAAGTCTTTCATTTGATAGAACAATATTCTATACTTCTGACCAGGTCGAACAACACCAAATCATATGCACAGCGACTACATGTAATGTTAGTGCAAACATGCGGCTTTTATTACAGAATCTATTCAAGAAATAAAGCTATTTAAAATAATATCCTAGAAATACATTTCTTAAATAAAATGGTACTGAATTCTTATTTTCAATTTGAAAATAAAACAGTGTATGTTAAGTTGATCATACTGTACTTGTTTCATACTAGACCACATGTACCTTCCATATAAGCTCTCATTTGTCTATGTGACTGTATTATATTACATGTAAATGTATTAATTTTGTAAATATGTTACGATGATGTACTTATGGTACAAATCTAATAAAATAAATGTTCTGTTCTGTTCTATTTCTGAGGATGATCAGACCTAAGTTCATCTACAATGTATCATTTATCTATAACTGAGGATAATCAAATATAATTTCATCTGTCATATTTCTATTACTGAGGAATAATTAAATAGTTTGATCAGTCATTCCTCTATTATTCAGGGTGATCTTTTACAGGGCTTGGTTCTACTAATACTGCATGTAAAGCTTATATGGCGATTTTCTGACTGTACTGGCTGAGGAAAAGTGTGTAGAACCATGGATTTATATAAATCTGTGGTAGAACCAATGATATTGTGTAAACTACATGTATAGCTTTCACACATGAAAGAATCTACAGTCGCACAGCTAATATAATTTCATTACTATTATTATTTTATTATAAAATGAGAAATGTGTATTTTACTTTCATTGTCTATATGCTTTTAGAATGCCGTTTTTTTTTCTAGATTTTATATGTTTCTTAACTATTTGTAACAATGTTATTTCTGTTGTGTTTATCATACATTTTGTTGTAAATGTTCATACTATGTACATTGTATATTTGATAGAGGCTCATAGGGAAGACTGGGCATGCCTAACTATGTTGCCTCTTTAAATAAAGTCTTTATAATTATTATTATTCATTCAATTACTAAGATAACCACATAAAGCTCTAGAAATTTAGCAAAATATGTGTTAAAAAATAAGAACATAGTATTTTTTTTTTCATAGCCATTTATTTTTTTTATTTTCTTCATCACAAAATATAACAATTGCACATAAGGAAAGAAAGAGGTTGGATGTGTTAGTGAATGATAGATTGGTAAAAAGGGAGGGAGAACAAAACAAACAAAAGCAAAACAACATAAACTTTCTCCTATACTTGTATAAGCACATTAATTTTAAGAAGTTGATCCATTTACTAAAATTCTTAAGATATTCAAAATTCATGATAGAATTATTCTCCATTTTTTTGTGCATAAAGCTTTTCGTTTTGAAACAAATATGCCTGTCTACATAGTAACTTTTGTCAAATTTGCATAACTTGTTTCTATTTCTATACACTAGTATAAATCAATACAACAATGAAAGTTGATAAAAAAAAATAGACAAAAACTGGTAGAACTTAAAGCTATACACAACCATTATACACAATTAGTAACAAAAAAGGTTAAAGTAACTAAAATGTGTAAACATAAATAAAAGTAATAATTCTTAACCTTTATTATACTCTGTCATTTCAGTTCAGAACTTCAGACATAACCAATTTACCCTTACTGCTAGATATACACCATATATTATAAATGCCCAAGTTACATGCTAAAGTCAAACCTGTTTTAAAGATTACCTCTAAACAAAGACCACTCTGTAAATAAAGGCCACTCCTTAAGAAACTTTCATTTATCAACCTGTTTTAAAGACCACCTCTGACTTTCATTCATTAACCCTTAACCTGCTAATATTCTAAAACAGACTTGTCCAGCTTCCATTTATAGAACTATCCATTAATGATTTCAGGAATATCTAGATGAAAAAATTTAAGTTGGTCAACCAACAGTATAGAGGGGTCAGACTTTGTAGTAGTGCAGGCTGGCCTGGCTCAACACTGGTAACAAAGGCTAATCATTTTCAGTACCAGCAGTTAATGGGTTAAATAGAATCAATTTACCTCTAAATATAGACCACTTGTGTTCAGAGGCTTCTTTCTATTGATGGCTTTTATTCACATGTTTGACTGTATTTTTTATTTTTAACTTTAATCAACATTTGCTACATACAACATTTATGAAATACCCTAGATGGCACACTGATAAGTTACTGAGCATATCTGGTTACACAACACTAAAAGAAGTATGGCTACACAACACTAAATTTTTAAGGCATTTACTGTAACACCCAAAGCTTTATTTTAAACAAAAAAATGGAACAAAATCAATTACTTAAATGACAAAGGACAATAATTGTAAGAAAAAATATTTAACACTTTTAAAATCTTTTACTTATATATCTCAAACATTTTAATAAGTTTAATATTACCTGAGTAGACTGAAATAGGTCTTCCCAGATACATGTATTAATTAAAAAATCAAATATAGTGGTAGCTACCAAAATGTCCATTTTCAACTTTTATTCAGTTAAAAACATTTCTCCTTGCTTAATTATTAACTTCCCTAAAGTATACACTGACTAAATATTTTATCATTCAATTCAATTTCAAGAACAATGTGCATTTTTAATTACAAAAATTAATTTAAAAAAAATATACAAGGTGAATACATGAAAATATGTGAGAAAAAAAATGGTCCATTATGTGACTCATCACAGGTCATTTAAGTGCAACAGATAAAAACAACAATGCAAAATTACACAATAAGCACCTGCAAAACAAAGTCTTGGTCCCCATTAGAGGTTTGACTAAATGGAAGATAGATATCATATTTTTGACAGACAATTTGTAAACTTATACATGTCTTTAGTTTAACATAATAAATAAAATACTACAGTTCATCAATTGTATATATGTGTTTTTTTACTGATAACTGATGAATGAAAGCAATTTACTTGTGATATATTATCTATTTTTCTTACTGTATATCATTAATTTTAGAAAACTTTCTGTTTTGTTGGTTTTTTGATTTTATTATTGAAATAAAAAACCTTTTAGAATAGCAAAATTTGTCAGTTTTTTTCCTCATAAATATGTAATACATATTGTAGAACTTTATGATATATATTTTTGTATTTTCACAGACAATTACTTATTACATTTCAACTTATGATAATCACTTGAGAGAAATTACATGAAATTTGTAGGGTTTTTGTGTCTACAGTCAAACCTGTGTTAATGACCACCTCTGAGTATGGATAACCCTGCATATAAAAAGGCCACATTTTGACAACCCTTCATTGATTAAATGGAATAAAGTAACTCCAGATAAAGACCATCTGTCTAACCTGTCTTTACATACCATTATTAGTGTATCCATTGGGTCGTCTTTGTTCACACGTTTGACTGTATATTGTTAGAAAATATTTCGTTTACTTATACTAAGGCAAACAGAAGTAAATTTCAAGGCAATGGTTTTGTCAAGCAACAGTTTTATATATATAAATCAAAACAATAGCACACAAAATTATGGCTAAGATATATAATAAATATATTATATTTTACCTATCTAAAAATGTAGCATGAAAATTTTACGATAAATTACAGTAATTTAAATCTTATTTTTGTCCTCAAAACCAAAAAAACCATTTCTCTCTTGCAAAATTGGAAAAAGTCAAGGGCCACAACTCTACAACCACCACCACATAAAAAAGCTGCAACATACAATTTCACATAAAAAAGTAATAATATCCACATGAAATCCATGACTGGAAAACAAATTTTGTTTCTATGAAGAAAAAAAAGTGTATTTACTCAACTATTAGTCTGACCCTGTTATAAGACGGGGGTCTGGGTTACTAAATATAACAAACAGTTTACCATTTGACTCATTGAACATATGGGCTGAATTGTCTTGGGGAAAAAAATGTTATTCAATTTTGATACCTAATTCAATATAATTATACACATTTACTACAAAATGGATAGACACATTGGTAATAATGGAAATATTCAAGTACTTCAAAAGGGGAGTCTCTCAACACACTCATATCAATAACAATTCTCCTTTCTTAATGATACCTTTACAAGACAAGACCTTTTGGTAAAGTGCAGCTTACCTAAAGATTGGCAAGTTGAATTATTTTAGTAAAATACATGTGCAAATGTAATTATCTTAAAAAATAATTTAGTTTTATGACAGGAACAGAAAACCTAAAACATGTTTATTTATAAATTATCCAAAATGTAAAACATACATATACCTATTATATCATCACTTTAAAAAGGTCAATGATATAGAAATAAATACAAATCAGTACCTTTTTCTCATTGGTTCATATTTTTCATACATTTTCTTTTTTCACACATGCATGTTTTCTTAAACAAGTACATATGTAGTTCACGTGACTGGTGGTAAACAATATATTTTTGAAACACTTTCTTGCACTAACACTTTCAATCTGCAGTTTGAGTGGTGTTTAAAAGTAACTAGAAAAATTCTCATTTTCAAGAAGGGACATTTCAACAACATACATTTTTTCACAGATAATTCATACAATAAAATGAACACTTGTATTAGTTAATTTGTTAAACTTAAGCAATCATACCCTGTAAAACCGATATATGTGGTTTATCTTACAAGCACTGTTTACAGTCATGTACATATAAAAAAAAGCATGTAAGTATATGTGATGAAATATAAATAACTATAGTCTCTTCTCAAACAACAAATCCACTATAACTATGAGCCATTTTGATCAAGCTTCTATAAAAAGCTACACATTCTAAATTTGGATTTCAAAATTAATAAAGCTAAGTTATCAAAAAATATAAATAGATTTACAAACAAGAAAAATATGAGGTTTTCTTTGCCTAACGCAAAAATCTGATATGTTAATATTATGCCAGGTGTTATTTTTAAAACGAAAACATCCATAACACCTATGGATACTCTCACATAGCTAAAAAGAGGCCTTGCTCAACCGCAACATTTCTGGAAATGTAACAATGCACAGGAATTGAGAAAAAGGTTTAATAAATAAGCTCACAAAGATATTAAATACAAATATAGATTAACACATAAATTAGCTTAAAACACTACAGTACAGTAACTGACCCCCCCTATATATAAACATGAAAAGTTAACCACATATTTTATTCATCTATTTTTCTTAGTATTTAATGACAAAAGATACACTTTCTGTAAAAGGCATTGGAAAATAATAAGACTTTCCTATAAGTAAGATCTAATTGTTAACAAGAGCATTGCATGTGGTGTTAGAGGTCGTCTGTTCAAAGTTCTAAGTTAAAAAGGGGCATAACTCCAAAAATTTGGCTTTAAGAATGATGTCCCCTGGTCAAACTTCTGTGCCTTGTCATGATAAGCAAGCATTTCAAGTTTCATATTGATACTTTTAAAATTGTTTGAGTAATGGTCTGCTTCAAAAATTTTGCACAACAATGATGATGCCAAAGCAATTATAATTGCTCAATTTATCTTCGAAACAAAAATGGCAATTTCTGTTCCGTCATTAATATGATACAAATACTTTACTCATAAACTGTTAAGCAGAAAAAAATTGGCTCAGAACAATGCCAATCAGCATGAAACCTCATTACATTACATAAATTCTATTAAAATAAACTATTAATGATCATTCTTATAATTCTAGAACTAGCCCTAAAATCAGTATTATAATACCTACTTTAATTTACTAATTTACTTTTATTAACTCACAACCTAATTTCTTTTTTTCACAACCAAAATATGTCGGAGATTCTTTTACATAACTTTACATCACATGATTTGATTTCTTTTCATTAAAATTAACAAATTCTAATTCCCTATTCTATTATTATACTGTGCTATTGCACAAAGAAATTGAGGTCGGAGCTATCGTATCCAGATACAACAAATCCTCGGCCAGCGGGATGAACAAACTGGGCGCCTACAAGCTGCTGGTCCGTCACCGCCTCCGCAAACTTAAACTCAATCTGAAACAGTGAAGAAAAACAATACAAATGTTTAAATGGTTTAAAGCACACATTTTTGATAAGATGGGAAGACTGCTGTAATAGCAAACTAAAGACATATACATGTTTATCATGATTTTAAGAAATATATACTGCAAAGGTTTGTAACAGCAGGGTAAAAATGAGCCAAGTTTTTACTTTTCAAAGGCTTTGTCTGTTTCTACACTGCTGGGTAAATAGAGTGGTTTGGTTTTGTCATCAAAGTAGAAGACCTCAAAAAAGTATGCAAAGTTTCAACCCATTCCTTCAGTAGTTTTGGAAATACTAACTTGCATAGAAAAGCCAAAGTGTGATGGCGACAATTTTTGGATGCCAATGCCTGGGTGAGTACAATTGATCTTCTAATTTTCTAATATTCAAGCTTAACAATGTAGTAAATCTAAATGTTATTGGTCTTGATCAGTTACATACACATTTAAGAATAACTCAAAAGATAAAAGTCAATTTTCAAGCATGTGCCTTCAGTGGTGATGGAAATCAATCTTAAACCGGCAGCTGAGTAGAACCACTGACATTCCGTAAGCTAGCTGGATAGCTTCCTCACATGAAAGAATCTTAAATCGCTGTTGAGATTCAAACTCACAGTGGTGAGGGTAACCAACCTCTGAAGGATAAGCAGTTTGAAAAGCAAGACAGGGAAAGTTGTGTGCTGTTAGGTAAAATTTACAGCTTACCCATAAAGAAAAGAATTAAATTACACTTACAATGGGTGGATTTCCAGGGATCAACTGCCATACTCTAGCATAGGAGTCCTCGCTTACTGACACAACCTGTAAGGGAATATTATATTATGCAGTTACTAATATATCTTCATATACATGTAGTTACTGTTATATTTAATTTATATGACAGGAATACAATTCTTCAATAGGTAAATTTTCACTGTTGTCTGAATTTGCATCTGCAGTCATGATCTGACCACAACAACACTGTTTACCTTTTATTTGTTTGCTAACACTTAATATATACTACTACTGAATGTCTTAAATGGCCTGATTAATCTTTAAAGATTTATGATTTTATATCAGTTTTGTCAGCTGACAAATGACCCAAAAAAAACATGCATCGACACATTGTATATAAACAGGTCTACCTCCTGTTTAGTGTAAGAAATGTTCAAATTCAAATATATAGACTTCCAAGAAAGGAATAGGGACTGGACATAGAAGGTGCTTGAAATCTCAACGCATGGTACACATTGAATTGTTTACACTTGGCTTGCAAGACATGGTACAGTTATTTAACATATCAAATCAGTGGCGGCATGGCCGAGTGGTTAACATATCGGACACTAGTAATCAAATGATCACTAACCCATGGGTTCAAATCCTGTCAGGGGCAAGTTGTTGTTTCCTTGAGCAAGAAACTTTACATTCATTGCTCAGTACTGGCTAGTTCCAGGAACGGATTCGAAAAAGTGTCTATAAGCTTATAGCTTCATACACAATCAAACTAAAATAAATTCTGTATTAGCCAAATGTGATGAACAACTTTACCAAAGCCTTAAATCACAATTTTTTCACTACTATAAGCAATGTTAAATAATAATTATAATATGATACATGATATGTCATACCATTCCAGATTCTTTAGCAATATCTATAGCATTAATCCACCTAGCATGGGCGTTCACTGTAGATGCTAGTTTACCAGCAGTTGTGTATAGACACAACTGACCATTTCCAAATGCAGCCACTATTATACCCTTCCAAAAATACCGAGACTAGTACATGGGTCTCTGTAACATAATAAATATAGGATCAATAAAACTGCATTTCTGCATTCCTTAAGGCAAATTATATTTGTCATTGAAAGAGATATATAGAAAGAAGAATACAAAATGATGACAACTTGGAAAGAATTTTGTTGTGGTGGATTCTATTTTACAGTAATATCGCAAATGATTGCAATTACCTGAGTGAGCAAAAAGACCTTGGCAACTAGAAACTTAGTATGCAGCACCGATATTTTACCAATATTAACCAACAAACTATCAAACTGTCTCAGTGAGCTAAAGTTTTAAACATAGTAAACATGAATAACCCTTGGCCTTTTGGAACCAAGTGACTTGCATTTACCACCAGTATAAGGCCAGTCTCATGCACATATGCGCACTCTGACCAGCCTTTATTTTATACTGTCAGTAGCCAAATTTTTGTATTTTGTTGCTGAAATCCCTTAAAATTAGAATGGAATATTCCAAACTAAAAGCTGGAGGAATCCATTTTACAAATGTCTAAATGTATTTTTCCATTTTTGAAATCCCTTAACATAAAATGGAATATTCCAAACTAAAAGCTGGAGGAATCCATTTTACAAATGTCTAAATGTATTTTTCCATTTTTGAAATCCCTTAACATAAAATGGAATATTCCCAACTCAAAGCTGGAGGAATCCATTTTACAACTTCAGGAGGTTAAATGTCTAAATGTTGGTAAAATATATAGTTTTATGGTGTGCATATATACATGTTAATATGAGACAATTACAACACAATATTGTATATATATCTTATAATATATATATGTTTTAAATTAAAATGCTCACAACATAACATATGAAACTGCTACATATGTATATACATGTATATATATCTTAACTTACAATCCTTTTAATTGACTTACCTTTCGTTTCTATAGATAAACCTGCCAATAATTATGAATAGTTGTTGTAATTAACTGAGTAACCTTATCTCTTTGAATTCACTTTATTTTTTATATCAGCATCTAAAAGGCTTGAGCATGAAAGATTTCAATTGTGGTCTCTATGAAATTCACTTCAAGTTCTATTTGAGCATCTAAAAGCATGGCAGAATTTTCACAGGAAGTCTCTATGAATTTAGAGGTGTATGTAATATGCAGGATGTGGTTTCAGAGAAAAATCTTTCTTTTTATTTTTTTTTTTTTTGGGGGGGGGGGGGGGGGGGGTCCCACATCTCACCTTTCTGGGTATGAAAATCAGCCTGGATTTAGTGGTACATGAGACATGATAGAAACAAGGGTGCCATAGTCACAAAAATACGCCCGTTTACGAAAAAAGCTTTAGATTGAGATGGGGGCATTATGGATAAGTGTTATCTAGCAAGCAAGTTTTTATTCTTAGCACTGTGTTGTTAAATGAACCTTAAAACAAATCAATAGGGAAGATATGCACAGAATGTGTGACCTTGACCTTGGTCCGCAGGGACCTGAATTTTATGCACGGCACTCAGCCTCACAATGATGAACATTTGTGCCAAATTATATTGAAATCCCTCTATGCATGTAGAAAGTTTTGCTCCAGACAAGTGTTTTTCTATGAGCTCTAACTAGAGACTTTGGTTTATGTGCAGGCACTACGTCTCATGGTGGTGAACAATTTCTATAAAAGTAACATTAAAATTCCTCCATGCATGTAGAAAATATGCTCCGGACAACATCTGGATATTTAATCATCTCCAGTGACCTTGACCTTGCATATTAACCTAAATTAAATGTGTAATACCTGTAGTCATGATAGTTACCATTTGTGCTACAATCCATCAATAAATGATGACTAAATGGTCCCTATAACCATCTTCAATTTTTTATCTGAACTTTGACCTCTATGTGTAACCTTGACTTTGGTCGCAGGGATCTGAATTTTGCATGCGACACTCAGCCTCACAATGGTGAACATTTGTGCCAAGTTATATTGAAAACCCCCTATGAATGTAGAAGTTTTGCTCCGGACAAGCGTTTTTCAATGAGCTCTAAGTGTGACCTTGACCTTTGACCTGGAGACCTGGATCATGCGTGGAGCAATACATATCATGGTGGTGAGCATTTCCATAAAGTATTATAAAAATTTTTCCATACATGTAGGAGATATGCTCCAGACAAAATCTGGATATTTCACCATCTTTAGTGACCTTGACCTTGCATATATTGACCTAAAGTACATGTGTCACAGCCGTAGTCATTATAATGACCATTTGTGTTACAATCCCTCAATAAATGATGATTAAATCGTCCCTATACACATCTTCATATTTTTATCTTTTTTTAAAACGGGCGTATAAAAAGTACATGTAATTTAATAACTAAAAAATTCTGATTTAAGATTTTATTCTAGGGAAATACATTTCATTACAATTCTTAATGTTTGAATGAGCTGAACTGATATTTACTTGAAAATTAAAATATAATTAAATTTCTATGAGAAAGTATTTACATTTGATAAGGTAATTACTGTATGATCTTTATGAACAAATACCAAGTCTACAGAACACCATAGTTATCACAGTTAAGTATCTTGACCAATGAATGAAACATGTGTAAATAAATGTTACATTCTTTACAACATACTCAAGTCCAAGAAAGAGGATTATTTCATGCCCTTTGATTAAATTCTATTTTTAGAAAATAGATCAAGGGAGTAATTGTGTAAGTCATTTATGAACAAAGTAATAACTTTGTTGTCTCCCTTTGATTAAATTCTATTAACAAAATCTGGATATTTCATCATCTTTAGTGACCTTGACCTTGTATATATTGACCTAAATTATATGTATCACAGCCATAGTCTTGATAATGACCATTTGTGTTACAATCCCTCAATAAATGATGACTAAATGGTCCATATACACATCTTCATATTTTTATCTGAACTTTGACCTCTAAGTGTGACCTTGACCTTGGCCGCAAGGACCTGAATCTTGCACGCGACACTCCGCCTCACAATGGTGAACATTTGTGCCAAGTAATATTGAAATCCCTCTATACATGTGGAAGTTTTTGCTCCGGACAAGCATTTTTCAATGAGCTCTAAGTGTGACCTTGACCTTTGACCTAGAGACCTGGTTCATGTGCGCGACACTGCTCCTCATAGTGGTGAACATTTATATGAAGTTTCATTAAAATCCCTCCATACATGTAGGAGATATGCTCCGGACAAAATTGGACGCCGCCCGCCCGCCCGCTCGCCAGGGGCGTTCCCATAATACGTCCCGTTTTTCAAACGGGCGTATAAAAAGAAATACTGGGTTGATAAAAACACCACATCTATCCCTTTTTATATAAATTTCAGCGACCACATGATGATGTGCAGCAATATATAATCTGGTTCACTAACTTTGCATTTAAAAAAAAAGATATTAGATGTGAAAAGGAACAAAGCTTTTTTTGTCAACTGATTTATAAAGTAGTTTACGTCGGACAGAAAGTTGTGATTTTAGAAAACATGAATATATCCCATGTTTAAAATAGACACTAATTGCATCATTTCAGCCTCTAATAACAAGATTTTACTGTAGATATATGTAATAATAACTAAATGTTTACCCATTTCCTGGTATTTTGACAGTCTGCTGAACACTGCTGCCAGAGGTTTTCCAAATAATAATGTTACCATCCTCATCAGCACTGACTAGAACATCGCCCTCCGAGGCCAAGTCACATATAGCACTGGTATGACCTAATGGTACAAATATTTTTAAACATTTGTAATCTCTATATGTAAATTATAACGAAGAGGCTTCCTAATGTACGAAAAAAGATGGGTCAAACATTTATGCTGGTTGTTTTCTTTTTCTTTTTGGTTTTATGTCACATCAACACAGTATAGGTTATATAGTGACTTTACAGCATTACTGGTGGAAGAAGACCTCAGGTGTCCCTCTGTGCATTATTTCAGGTACAGTCGGGCACCATAGTAAGAAGTTCACTGACGTTCCGTAAGCTAGCTGGATAGCTTTTTCGCATGAAAGAATCCAAAAATGCTTGCGTGGCTATGTGCGTTCTTCTAAAAGCAACAGCCAGAACGGAATATACAAGAAATTATTTTTAGTAGAAGTTTTAAGTTCAAGGCCACATGGAAACTTTCCAGTGTTACTTGTGAAGGATAACATCAGGCCACAGATTATTTCAAGTGGGAACCCAAGTAAAATCACTGACATTGGGTGAGCTTGCTCAGGATATCGTTATGGGGTAGATAATTAAAAATTATAAAACCTAACAAATTAACCAATGATGTTGTTTATGGAGAATATAAACTTTAATTACCTCTGCTTTGTTAATATTTTGTTAGATTTATTTTACCTTGACATGTAGCTGTTACAGAGACATTGGTGCCTTTTACAGGGACATCAAAAACTAAGACTGCACCTTGCTGAGTTCCTGTAAATATACAGATGAAGATTATGTCTCGATTTTTCTTTTATTACAGATTATCAAGTCATATGATCACAAAAGGACTTGATCATTGACCCGTAGATTAACTGAAAAATTCAAGGATTGTTCTTTTCCAATATATCAAAATAATGATTTAATTATTTCAGTGGCAGGGAAGGTTGTATTGCTCAATACCTTGAGCATTAATATTACAGTTATAGTAATAAAATGAATCAGTTTCATGGATTGAAGTGAAAAAAATTATATATATATTATCACCACTAAAATACTGCCACTTGCATTATTATAGACTTTGCCATACTTGTGGTTATATTTATGCCATGTTAATTATGATATACATTGTTTAAAATCAAAACAATACCTCAAATTAAATTACACAAGAAATAATAATAATTGCACAGCCTAAGAATATACATAAATAAAACCTTGAAAAAATATACCTACCCACACATACTAGACTTTCTGAAGCTGCAGCAATGCCTCTTCCAAAATTTGAAGTTTCTGAAACAATAAATTAACTGAGAACAACTCTATCTTAATAAATAAAATATGACATTTAAACCCTAACATGATGGAAAGCACTTTATTACAACAGATATTTTCTAGAAGTCCGCCAAATTTTCAAAGTTGTAACTGTATGAGTTTCCTGGTAATACAGGATTAGCTGGGAAATTCCCAAATATTTTTTTATTCCAGAGTAACTCTTTATATTTATATAATTGTAACTGAGAGATGAAAAACAAAAAGCACATTATTCCTTCTTGAAATTTGCATCTATGAATTTAATTTTATATAGGGAAGCGAAAGGGGGGAAAGCGATTTACACTAACACTACAAGCACAATAAAAATGTACCAACCATTTGAGTCAGTTGATGCATCACACGTGGCATGCCAGTATATCATTGATGAACCATCATATTCAAACATCTAGGAAATATAAAAAAACATCATAAGTCTATTAAACATTATTCCTATTTACTTCAAGAAGTGATATTTGTATCCAAAATAGCAAAATGTCTTACACAAAATACACTTAAGAAATGCTTTCATGATTAAGGAGCACTTGTGACTATAATGTCCTTTTGTGCTAAATTTGCAGTCAAAATGAAAATCCTTAAACACTGTAGGAACTAGTCCAGACATTCCTTTGTTTTGTCAGTCAACGGACAGAATGACAGATGGACAAGTGCAAATCTATATGTCCCCCATCCAAGTATTGGGTGCATAAATAATAAATATAATCCATTGCTTAATTCATTGGTTTTTTTCTCTATCTAACGCACTGTGTAAATTAACATAGTTTTAAGCCAAACAACTTCTCAGTGAAATACATGTGGAATCAAATAAAACATATAAATGATTTAGTTTTAGCAATTACTGATAATGTACTGATAATGTATCTGAAAAATGACACAGAGTTATAATAATAGACTCACCTGTATACCCTTTAACGATGTTAACACAAGTATAGTCCTACCATTACCCAAGTGAACCCACTTTGTCTGAAAATATAGTGAAATAATAGCTCTAATCATCTGTCTGTCTGCACAATATTTACATGTATTGATCTGTTCAATACCAGAGCTTTCTATGCAGTACTGTCAGTACATGTAACTACTAAATTTGTATGTATTTTTAAAGTTTTAAAAACTATTACTCTCTAGCAGTTACCCGCATTACCTTAAAGCTCACTTTGCCAGCAGGCCATTCAGGCCTGCTAATATATATACATGTATACAACTGATCTTAGGTTTGGAGAGTCATTTAGTAAATGATAAATACCTTTTGTTGTTTTACAATAGTTTTTCAGATTGATTTATTGCATATATCAAGATATTTGTACATTCATTGAAAGGAAAAGTTCATTCATCAGACAGCAATTTTATTAAGAATTTACTTATTTTTATGCTTAGAGGCTCAGAATTATGAGGAAAGAGCAAGTTTAATTATGAGGAAAGAGCAATTGTAAGTTTAATAATGAGGAAAGAGCAATAATAAGTTTAATTAAGATGAAAGAGCAATTATACGCGGAAAGTCCGAGCGGGCCGAAGGCCCCGCGAGGGCTGTAGCGCTCTTAGATAACATGTATGACGCGTATCAATTCAAATGAAATCAAATTAAAAGTAAATGAAAATTTCAAAAAAATATATATCCTATACCTAATGAGCTGTGAAAAAATCCTTAGTTAACCCATTACTTCATATACACGCCTTTTAACGCCTTTTTCACCCCCCCCTTTTTTGTTGTCTCAAATGATGAAAAAATGCCTTATTTAGGCCCCAAACACTTGTTTTTGTTTGAGAAATGTTGTTAAAAAAATTGACCTCTTTTTCGGCGCGGCCCCCCAATCAAAAGATACATCAGGGGGTTGCCAGAAGGGGGTTTGAAGGGGGGTCCCCCTCATCGCCAAGAAAATTTTGGACTTGTGAGAGGCTGTAAATGACCCCAGATTGATCATAAGGTAACGTGTAACCAACGCTGAAAAGCATTTGACTCTATCTCAATCCATTGATAAGTTGCAGCACTTTGAAATCAATTTTGATGAAAAAAATCAACGCAAAATAGTGATTTTTGGCAATTTTGAGATGTCCCCTCGTTGCCATGGTAACAGAAAATTTAAGTCTCAGCATGTTGTTGCAAGGACAATGGTCCAGTCAACATTTGTGCCAAGTTTGATTAGTGTTGAAGCAGTTTTTATAGTATTATAGCAATTTGAACTTGTAACGGGAGACTTTTCAATGAAAACAGCCATTTTTCACAAAATGCTCATGAAGCAATGGGTTAATGGGCGCCGCCATTTTGAAATCCTTTTGAGCTAAATATAGATATCACAGCGCTTTTAATGAGCGTCTACATAATTCAGACTATTGCTAGCAGACGCATGCTTAATTACACTTCCGGTGAAAAAATGATGTACAAAATCAGAAAATAAACATTCATTTCATTCATAAGAACTATAGTAACGATGATAAATGTAAAATGTTACTTTTAAATCCTTTTGATAAATTAGCACATTAAAATAACGTAAAATCATCATATGTGATTAAAGATTAACAGAAAATGGCGGACGGGATTCCAAACGCCAACGCATGCGCAGTGGTCCCTCTTCCGATGAACACCACCAATTTATTCTTTTCTGCTTACAGTACAAAATACCTGCTGATTTCACCATAGATCTTTTAACATGTACACTAAAGATGTTATGCTTAAATCATAAGAGCTTTCCGCGCCATAGGTAGCACCTAATTTCATATTAACTTTAATTATGAGGAAAGAGCAATCATAAATTTAATTATGAGGAAAGAGCAATTATAAGTTTAATTATGAAGAAAGAGTAGTTATAAGTTTTTTAATGGTTAGTTTTTTCCCTGGAATATTACAGATGGCTATTTTTTACATCATCATTGAGCAAAATACTTCATTAAATCAAGACATCTATTATGCGCCCTCCTATGCCTAGTATGTTAGAACAGCAGGGCATTTGAACCAAGTATAAACGGTGATACCCGGACAGTCTGACACTGACCTCACCTTGCTGGCCCTTGTCAACTTTCATTAATGTTAGTCATTGCAACATGAATGTTGCATCTGAGTAAATTGCATGTGTCCTCATGTATTAAAAAAAAAGATCCGATCATCTGACACCATGGGCGGGGTTTTTACAAAAAATTCACAAATAATTGTAGTATTCTTCCATCTATTTTCTAAATGTTTACCTGCATTATCATTGAACTACTTTGCTGTGAAGCAGACGGTTCTTTACAGATAACTTGTTTGTGTGTGACTTGTGAGCCATCTGTAGAGGTGGAAACCATGTTTATCAAATATTTATGTACTGATGCATAATTCAATGAACCGCGATCAGCATTATTTAAAACTGTCAGATTATTACAGATCATAGAGGCACTGCTTTTCAGGGCAAGAGGTTTTGATTTTTTAAACATTTTGATATAAAATGTGAAAAAGTCACAGCTGTAAAATCATGTAAAATATCCGGAAGTCTTGGTTGCCGAGAACGCTTTCAAAGCGGTGTTTCGTTAATTTTCACAAGCTGTAAGAATTGCAATCATGGCGGATGTTTCAAGCTGGAATCTTTCTAAAATTAAAGCTGACCTTGTTAAAGCGAACAGAGAATTTTCATCTCGAAGATTGATGCACAGTGCTAAATGGTATATAGTTGACATAGTAAATTTTATGCTTAATTATGCTGCATTCATTTAATTTTAATTTTTACGTCAACTTGAATAGTATTCGGATTACACAAATTCGTCAAGTTAACGGTTACTGTGATTAACTGCAGATGCTGATCTTCTATGTTGTTAAAAATGTTAAAACAATGTGTGATGTATGGTCTTCATTGAAAGACATGGCATTTTCATTTTAATTCAGCATTTAATTTATCTAAAATAAATATAGCTGCACTATATTTCAGATTCTCTCCACATCTATTTTTAAGCAGTTAAGTTATTTAACATTTTGAATTTACCCACTATTTTTTCTGTCATGGTTCAGAACTATTCACTTATTATGGGAGATAGTGTCTAAGCAGCTGTTAAGTATAGGTCAGTCGGTAGGGCTGCGGTACACAGTCTTCGACTTAACCCACTCGACCGACGACCGAGTCGAGTAAATTTGCGGGTGGTCGAGTGAAAATTCCAAGCTGGTAGCCCGTCTGGTTGAGGGCTTTTTTCATATCCAAATTAAGAAAATGTTAGAAATATGCAGAGCTCCAGATAGCAATGTTTTGGCTTTAAGAAAATACAAAATATTTCTGCTGAATAGGATGGAAAACTAAAAGTACTATTGTCAACACTGCTGTAAGTTGAAAACGAAAGTAGCAGGAAGTGACAAGGAGTAAAAAGGGAAGGTAACTCTTGGGAGTTTCTGAAATGAAATGATTGATAAAGTTAAATTTGGTGTAATCATCGTAGGACTTAACCTAATATTCAATTTGTTTAGACATATATTATAATGTTTTTGCTACAAAATAAAGAAAAATGTTGTACTTGCCACTTTAGTTAATATTGGAAAACATATTTCTCCCTTGCCATCTGCAGTTTTGTACTCAATATTTTCGTACCAAGTTTACAGATAAGGACAATTTCCTCAAAGACTATTTCTTTGTGTGTAAAAGTTTTAATTCTATTATATTTAGTTTTCATTAATTCTAATTTCAATTATATATAATCAAAACCAAAGAACAGCACTAAAATGTAGTCTGTAGAAATAGAGTATGAATAAAGCCTCATGCTGACCATGTAGCTGATTGTAAAAGAATGTGACACATTCAAACAACAACATGTCAGCAACAAAAAAATGAGTCTTGTCATTAATTTGCTGTGTAACCTAAACAAACCCTAGTCTAGGGAAACCTGCCTTAACAGAGCAAGTTTTGTATTATTTCACGTTGAATCAATATTTTTATTATATAAGTCAGTCTGATTTGTGTAAAGAAAGAAACTTTTAGAAGGCAGTGGAATTTGATAACAAAATAATGCAAATTCTTTTTATAAATTTAAAACCCAGAATTTTCATTTTACTCTAGATTTTGATGGGTAAACCACCTTGGCCCTAAAAATTATTAGCAGCTTTATTGAACTTAAAACGCTTATGAAATATTATTGATTGTTAGACATTTATTAGGTGTCATCTCATGCTTCACAATATGTCTTTTCCCTTGTATTTTGAAGGCACTAAGCCAAAAATGAACACACCAAAAAAAATAAAAGTAATACGAAAAGGAATATAAATATGTTGTCAATGCATGTATCAGCCGACATGGTTACAGTAAACGAGGAGAAGAGTATTTTCAGTTTTTAAACATTTTTTTTTTCAGTGTCTGTGGACAATGCCACAGAAATATCAAAATATCTCCTTTTCATATATAGTTTAAACTCTTCTTATTTAAATAATGAAAGGAAGAAAAGTTGATATTTTAATAATGTTAAATGGTATATAAAACATATAGAAAGTGTTATTTCTGTACAAAATGCATGCAAAAAATACCATTTTGGTTCGGGCTAGTTAAAATGTGTTCGGGCTAGTGAAATTTGTAAGCTGCTAGCCCGACTGGGCTAGTGCTGATAAAATGTTAAGGCGAAGACTGGGTACAGTATTTCGAGGGTCTTGGGTTTGAGTCCCTGTCAGGCTGCAGATTTTTCTGTGACATTTGGCATCCAACGTGGGGCCTTGACTGCATATATATCTCAGAGTTTAATTCACATTGCTTTGTAACCCAGAAAAATTTTAGGACGAATTTCTATCTAGCGGGGGAGTATGTCACGGTTCAGAGCTGTTCACTAATAAATGGAAAGATAGTGTGTAAGCGGCTGGATAGCTTAGTCAGTAGAGCCGAACGGTATTCTGAGGGTCCCAGGTTCGAGTTCTGGCCAGGTTACACCTTACTCTCACCCTGTGACATTTCTTTAATATTTATGTTTCTCTACAAAAATACTTAGATTACTTTTAGGGTTAGGCCTTAGCTGATAGGTGTTAGGATTTCGTTAGTGTTTTGGGTAAGGGTTAAGATTCAGATTTAACACAGGTGTTCGGCGCATGGCCATGACTTACTATCCCCATTCACCCTCTACAACCCAATACCCTAAAACATCATCCAAACATCAGAAGTATTGACAAAAATCAATTATATGAAAACAAATTATGACTAAAAAATTTAAAGGTATTTTGCACTACTTTCATTTTGTATGTAGAGTCATAAAAATATAAGAATTGATTTTTGTTAATACTTATGATGTTTGGATGATGTTTAAGGGTTTTGGGTTGTGGAGGGTGATATAGTGTAAGTCATAGCCACGCGCCTAACACCTGTGGGATTTTGTTGCTGACAGATTCTAAATGTGGTCCAAAATAGCTACAAATTGGAGGTCTATGTGATTATGTCTAAATAGTTTAGACTTCCTTTAACCTTGATGTTCCTAATAATTAGCTCTTCCACAACTGTTCAGACTGGCGCTACCCTGCTGTTACAAATATTTTGACATGTATGCCAAATCTAGATTCTGAAATATTTTTGTTCTTGACCAGAATCTCACTTCTATGGGAAATATTGCCCATACACAAAATACATGTAGCACTATACCTCAATATACAGTACAATTAGTTGGACTACCTTGCCATTTACACATTTTCTGCCCAATTAGTGAACAGTTCTTGACAGTGACATAGGAGTACCAATTAATTTTCTGCTCTGTAGAAATAATTAATATTTGTTTAAATGGTAGAGATAAGCAGCTCTGAAACAGAAAAAAAATCCTGCCATACAGCAAGACATCTTGGTAACCTTACTCATCTTCCATTTTTTTGGAACTGTCCATTATCAATTTTGGGATATCAATATGAACAAAGTTTATTTTGCAACATAGCCTGGTCAGAATGGATGTGCAGACTGGCCTGGCTGTATACTGACTGGCTAGCAATGTAATGGTTGCAGCATCTTAAAGGGTTAAAACTAGCTGGATAGCTTCTCATCATAAAAAAAGAATACAATATCCTTGTTTGGAGCAATGTTTTTTGTGTTTGCTGTGTCCCCACAAACACTGCACAGTCATTCACTTGAAACTTTTTATTAATTACAAACTTATAAATAAACAAACGGAACTATGAAATCAAGAGGTCTTTTGAATTGGTGACAAAATATTTTTTCTTGATTAATGCTGTGAAGCCTATAAAAACAATTGTGATTGTGTTGTTTTTTTTTTTGTTTTTTTTTTCAGGTGTGCTGAATTATCACTCGCATTGATAAAATATGCTGACAAACAGCAACTTCTATCAGTTCTACAGAAAGAAGAAGATGAGGTATTAAAGTTAACCTATAATTTCCTTCATGAATTTGTTCATTTTTTTTTTACCTTAACCATATTTCTTCCCATTTACTTACATCTTGCAAAGGTCTATTGAACTCTATTTTGTATTATTTTTTACTTCATATGTTAAATTCTAGTAAATAATAGGTGCCTTAGACCATGTTAAATGACTATTTTGTACACTTAACAACATTTTTACAAATTAAAACTAGTTTTGAGATTCAACATAATCTGGAAGCATATAAATTGTATAATCCTTTAATAATAAAACACTTTCACATTTATTTTAGCTTAATTTTTTTCTGTTCTTTTTTTTAATTTTTCAGACATTTTTGTCGGAGTATGACCAATTTAGTCTAGCTACGTCCTACTTTGATCTGAAAGAATATGACCGGGCAGCTTTTTTCCTGACAGATTGTAAGAGCCCTAAATGTTACTTTCTGCACATGTACTCACGTTACCTGGCGGATGAAAAGAGAAAACTTGACAAGGCATCGGATTCTATAGGTAAATTTTGCGATATAATAAAATAACATAGTGTATAAACGAGTCTTCTTCTTGTTATAGCAAGAAAGGTTCAAGATAAAATATAAATACTCATTTTTACAGTGATTTGGTTTATTTGTTGCAGAAATGTAAATTCAATTGAGCCGTGTCATGACAAAACTAACATAATGGGTTTGCGACCAGCATGGATCCGGACCAGCCTGCGCATCCGGGCAGTCTGATCAGGATCCATGCTGTTCGCTTACAGACCCTATAACAAGTAAAGAAACTGACAGCGAACAGCATGGATCCTGATCCGACTGCGCGGATGCACAGGCTGGTCTGGATCCATGCTGGTCGCATGCACATTATGTTGGTTTTGTCGTGACACGGCTCAATTGTATCTGTTTTATTGCAGGACCACCTGATCATTTAGAAAATGAACATTTAAAGACACTGAGGATTGAACTCAGCAAGAAATATGCCAACCGTGAACTCGATGGTTATGCCCTTTACCTGTGAGTTAAACTGTTTAATTTTTTCCTTGACACTTCGAATACTAGCAATTACTAGCTGTCATTGATTCAGTGCAAAGTATATCAATAGTATATCAATATTGGATGATATATATCACCAATACAAGGATATATCGATAATTACCTAGAATTACTTGACTGTCATTCACTTTCATATCTGTTTAAATGATTTCAGTTAAAAACATGTTCTGTTCAGTGTCTTGTTTATAATAGTTCATTGCATGATTTTTTTTCCACACCATATTTTTTGTCATCATTGCTGGGAAATATTTCCACCATAGTATATAACAACAGCATAATGTTAGACATGGGTAAGTGCTTCTGTATAATTATGTTTTGGGTGAATTTTCATAATTTCTTGACATTTAATTAATTAGTCAAAATTTTAGATTTTTTGAAATGTGTGTAATGATTATTGATCAACAGAAAAATATCAACGATACATTGATATTGTCTTTATTGATGACAGCTCTACTAACAATGGTTACATTCCCTACGTCTACATTACAAATTTGAAAATAAGGGCAACTAGCACTCCTATGATGGTAGTCTGGTTTCTTAAATTTGAGTGATTTGAAATTGAAATTTTGTAAATAACCATACTGGAATTAAAAATAAAATCTGGTCTAAAAATACCTATGTCGGAAATACCTATGCAGGAATTGAGAAAACAAATTTGTAGGAAGATAAATAACATAAATTTTGTAGGATAGAACTACATGTACATGTTTTTTTGGTTGTTTTTAAGAAGTGTTTCTCTTGAGAGGTTAAATTAAAATCCTATTGTGAGGTCTTACTTTGAGAAGAATTTGTGCTATTTGTTAATGTAAAGAGTTTTTATCTGGCTACTGTCTATATTATCAGCTGGATAAAGCCTTTCCGGATAAACTTATCTATCTCCAGTCATTATGTCACATGGTTAGCCTATGATGATGTCACATTGTAAGCAGCAAAGAAAAAATACATGTAGACACTGTTTTATCAAAAGAAACTGTTTAAATAATCTAAAAAACATGATTTTACTAAACAAAAGGATAAATGGAATACATGGTTAATGTAGGGGTGGAGAATGTTTATCTGGTTCGCTGCGAAAGTGAATCAGATCTGGACTCGCTAAAACTCGCCAAGATATACTCTCTCACCCACCAGATAATTCATCTCCATTCTGACATTAACTATGTATTCTCTATATTTCTGTACATAGGGTCACCCTACAGAAATTGCTCTTTACGAAATAAAAATAAGATTTTGTGTATTAATTATGTAGGTATGGTGTTATCCTGAAGAAGCTGGACTTGTTAAAAGATGCTGTAGAGATATTGGTAGAGTCACTACAAGCGGAACCAATGCACTGGGGTACATGGCAAGAACTGGTTCCCTTAATCACAGATAGAGAAATGGTTTGTTGTATACGTTGTTTTGTTTTACATGTATTTTCAAATCAAAATTTTTTTTTTTTTTTCTAATATTTTGGAAAATTATAAGCAAAAAAATGAAAATCTGCTTATATATCCAAGATATGAACTTAACAAAATTGCAAATAATATAAGAATCTCAAAAATCAATCCACAAATAAAAAAGTTATAAGAATTTGAAATTTCTGTTTCTATACAATGTATGAATATATATGACTATATATTTAAATATATATATATACATAAACAAAAAACACAGTCCATGAGTTAACTTATTTGATTATTTATTTTATATCAGCTCTTTTGCCAATTGGTAAATCCGCTAAATTCTGGTAGTAGATTGTGATGTCATCAGTCAACTTATCTATTTCTTCTCCACAGTTGGTGTCACTGAGCTTGCCCAGCCATTGGATAAAACAGTTCTTTGTTGCCTCGGTTTACCTGGAATTACAGTTGAATGAAGAGGCGTTGAAGATTTACCAAGATATGGAGGAAAATGGCTTCCATACGAGTACATATATTGTAGCACACATAGCTGCAGCATACCATAATATGAGAGGTATGTAATGGTTTTATTATAAAGAATATAATTGAGCTTTGCCATGACAAAACCAACAAAGTGTGTTTGCCACCAGCAAGGATCCAGACCAGCCTGCGCATCCTCGCAGTCTGGTCAGGATCCATGCTATCTGCTTACAAACCCTATTACAAGTAGAGAAACTGATAGCGAACAGCATGGAAACTGATCAGACTGCGCAGAGGCACATGCTGTTCTGGATCCATGCTGGTTGCACACCCACTGTGTTGGTTTTGTCAAATTAAGTTTGTTAGTTGCCCTTGTCATTTTTATATTTTTTGTAAAAAATGTAGAAGCTGTTGTGACTCACTGGTTATAGTTTGTAAAACAACTTTTTTGTAAAAATCTCATTTCTCAAAACAAAACAGAACAAAAACAAAAAATAAAAAAAATGAAAGACATCTTATAAGGATGGATTAGCCAAGATAACTGTAATGTAAATTCATGACAAATTTCCAGTTTCAAATATTATCACTGTTTATATAAGTAACCCACAAAATCTTAGAATATAATTCCTTACTATTAGTTTCTTTCCATCACCAAAGCTGTTAAAAAGTCAATCAATAACTTTATTAACTACCAGCAACAGATATATGGTTTTATACACTTATATATCAAAATGAATTCTATGCTACTTAAGAATGTTGTATTGATTATTGATTTTTTCAAATAAGTTGTTGTTGTTGTTTTATTTCATTACAGAGGTAGACGCAGCTTTGAATTCGTTCACAGAGTTACAGTCCTTGGATCCTTATCGTTTAGAGAATATGGACACATTTAGTAACCTACTGTACGTGAAGGAGATGAGATTTGACCTGGCATATCTAGCTCATAAATGCTGCGATATAGATAAATACCGTGTAGAAACATGCTGTGTTATAGGTAATCTAGCTCATAAATGCTGCGATATAGATAAATACTGTGTAGAAACTTGCTGCGTCATAGGTATTTACCTTATGTGTTGACCTGGCATATAAATGCTGCCATATAGATAAATACCGTGTAGAAACTTGCTGTGTTATAGGTATATTTGACCTGGCGTATCTAGCTCATAAATGTTGTGATATAGATAAATACCGTGTAGAAACATGCTGTGTTATAGGTAATCTAGCTCATAAATGCTGCGATATAGATAAATACCGTGTAGAAACTTGCTGCGTTATAGGTTTATTTGACCTGGCGTATCTAGCTCATAAATGCTGCGATATAGATAAATACCGTGTAGAAACATGCTGTGTTATAGGTATATACTTCATGCGTTTGAGATAATTGTATTAAATAAGCAAGTGAACGAGAATGTGCGCCGAGGGGTGAGTGAGTGGCGTTTGTTAAGATGAGACAAGCCATGTATAGATAATTCAGTGACCTAAAAAATATAAGGGCATCATATGTTTTAAGATAAGAGCAGTAAAATGCAAGTTTTATTATGAAAACCAAAGAGTTATTATTCTCTTTTTCCAGTTTTTTTTAAAAAACAGCTTAAGCTAAATTGATACTATAACTTCTAAAAGTCATTCAGTACATTTTCGCCTATCATGATTTTCTTGAACAAATTTAGTTATCTTGTCAATCTATAAGGTATGTTCACTGGTTGTTAAGTTGAGTTAGTGCGGAAAGTTAATTGTGTGAATGAAATTAGCAGTTTTGTGAGTAAGGTAAATTGAGTAAATTAGGTACTTAGAGTGATTGTCTTATATAAGTTGAGTGAGGAAAGTTAAGTTTCACTTTTAAGCACTGGTGGATGGCAATTTCTTATTTGCCGTCATTATTGTACATGTAAATCTTTCAAAAAGAAATAGCCGTTTTGTATTTATAAATTCTATTTTAGGTAATTACTACTCTCTACGGTCGCAACATGAGAAGGCCGTGCTATATTTCCAGAGATCTATCAAACTTAACCCGCTGTACCTCTCAGCATGGACATTGATGGGTCATGAATTTATGGAAATGAAAAATACCAATGCTGCTATACAGGCTTACAGACAAGCGTTAGGTAAAATATTTATTAAATCTTTCAAAATGCCAATGTTAATGACTCTTTTTTGGTATCAGTATGGCCTGAACCAACCAGTACTGAGCAATGAGTGTAAAGTTTCTTGCTCTAGGAAACTATGACTTGCCTCTGACTGGGTCTGAGCCCATGTGGAAGCAATCATTAGTCCTGGGGTCAAAATTTGTTCCGCCCCGGGGGTCATTGAATTAGATTACTAATTAACCATTTTGGCGCATTAACCCTTGGCCATGCCACCACAATGATTTGTTGTCAGAAACTGAAATAATTTATCTACAGATGTCCAAGATGTGGCTTTTAATATTATTATGAGAAATATGATTAGAAAACTGTTATATTTTTGTAATTTTTATTTCAGAGGTGAATAAACGTGACTACAGGGCCTGGTATGGACTAGGTCAAACATATGAAATTCTAAAGATGCCATATTACTGTCTTTACTACTATAGAAACGCACAAAAACTGAGGTACAGTATATACATAGCACATGAATAGAATTTTAACAACAGTTTTATTTGCAATTTTGCATTACCAATATGATATATGATCCTTAAATTGGATCATCTGGCTTGTAATTGTATTCATATCTAGTTTGACTGCTGAAATGCTATAATACAAAATTAGTGCTTTCTTAGTTTTGTCTGTGAATTGAAAGTGAATACATGTACAAAATTGTGTAAAGGTTCACAGCCCCAATTACATCTAAGTGGTAAATGGGAAGAGTGGTATAAAGGTGTCCTGCTTTTCAACCTAGGGATCATGGATTAAAGCCCAACTTATGTCACAACCATGTGTCCTGAATATAACCCTGATAGTCCAGAAAGTCAACTATAGAGTAATTCAAATAAGCAAAAAACAAACTGTTTTCATAATGGAGGTTTAAACTTCTTAAGTGGTATACTATACCACATGTTCAAGTATTTTGCTTCTTAAAGTCAGAATTTTGTTACCAATTGAATCTGTTTGTAAAGATATTTTGGAAAGTCATAAGGACTTAATACAAAATCTGTAACAGTCAAGGAAATTGCTTCCAGTGTAAGGGTTTATGCACATCATTAGTTGAAAATCAATTTAGTATTAAAAATGATATTTACAAAACAAATCTCCCTAATGTAAATTAGGGTTATTTTAAGAATTTCTGCCAGGCACTTTGTCCGATGTCATGTGGGCTAACAATCTTGTTTGTAAGGACTGAATGATTCATAGTTTTAAGTTATATATATATAACTGAGACCAAATATTCCTTTTGTTTGATATCCGTTTTTTTTTTTTTTTCAGACCGAATGATTCCCGAATGATAATGGCAATGGGAGAGTCGTACGAGAAAATTGACAGGTTACAGGAGGCCAAGAAATGTTTCTGGAAGGCACATAGAGTTGGGGATATAGAAGGGGCTTCATTGCTAAAACTTGCCAAGTATACAATTAACATGTAGTTTAAAGCTGTCCATTTACCTAAAGTGAACTTTTTTTCCCAGAAATTAGATTTAAGAAAAGTAAATATAGGACTTTAAGAAATTCATAATAATTCACAATATAAGTGACACTTTCAAAATTAAATTTTAGAGCGAATTTTCTATTTATATTACTATATTTGGTCAGTATTTATAACAGAGTAAAAGCAGTATATGTGAATACTTTGGTTTATTTTCGCTATTTTAGTTGATATTTTCATGATGCCAAAATTTTGCAAAATCAACATTTCAAACAAAAATTGGCAAGGCTAGATTTTTTTTGCGCATTTTTACTCCCAGTTATGTTAAATTGTTATGATACTTAGATGATTAGCAAACATTTAATGATTAGCAAAGATTTATTCTCTTAAAGATCTCAAATTTGTGAAATCTAATCCCTCTAGAAAAAATTTCTGATATTACAGTGATAAGAGCCAAGCTAGTCTATCTTTAGTCTATTTATGAGTACACTTGACAAAGATTTTAAGAATTATAGCAAAAGATTTTTTTAGAATTATAGCAATTTCGAAATTTTATATAGAATAAGCATGAATCTAGAAGACGGCTGCTTTAAACAATTGCTCCTGATGTCAGCATTACATTATTGTATACCTATCTTTATTTCTAATTTATAAATTACAAATTACTATTACAAATTAATGATATCACTCTAATCAAGTGTTTGTAGTTATCACTCCAGATTGCATCAGTAAGTCACATTGAATTTACCAGAGCACAGTTCAGCCAGCGCACCATTCCTGGTCAGCCTGTGAAATAGTTTACCAGTACTAATTGCCTTCACTTTCGCAAGGACCTGATAACTTCTGTACATGCCAGAGCAGAGGTACAGTGTGAATGACCGTAGAAAGAATTTCATGAACAATTATGATGAAAGTGACCTTTGCTTGATTCAGTCCAATACTCTACCTATTGAGCTTACTGTATAGCTTTTTAATGACATGACATTTAATATTGAGTTTATATTACAGATTACATGACAGATTAGGTGAGGAAGAACAGGCTGCTGGAGCTTATAATGAATTTATCAAAGAAGCCAATGCTCAAGGGGTACAGTATACTCCTACTATATGATAGTTGTTTTCAGATGTTGAGTTTGAGTATTTAAAGTATATTGAGAGATGTAGAAATCACTCTGGCACTGGTGCAATGAATTTTATAACATCTTGATAAATATTTAATAAAAAAAGTCAATTCTGTCAATTATAACTGAGACTTGAAAACAACATTTTGTCATTTTCAAATCAAGAGTGATAATACTATGATGGTGTTACATAACTGTGGATATATCCAAATTCAAAATTGCACAATTTCATTTAAATATGTTGAATTCTGCTTAAGCTGATGCTTTGGGGCGTTGGTGGTTCTTTTACAATTACCACTACAGTTCAAGAACAGACTTCATCGAACTGAGCCTGCAACATTTTCAATTTTGCCATTTTGGGTGTTCTATGAGGATTTTGTCTTAATCTAACACTTATTATTTACTTCTAAAAGAAATTTTGATTAAATTGTAAATACTTACATGTTATTGCAGCTGGGCAAGTCGAACAGTTATGAAGGTCAGAGTGAGGCCTACAAGTATCTGGCCAATTATTATCTTAAACATGAACAATTAGACGCTGCATACCAAGCTGCCCAGATCTGCTCCGAGTACACGGAGGTAAGAAAATGTTTACATAATCAACTCTGTAGAGAAAAGAGAGGCTCTGCCGCGCACTTTCCTTGGTGTCGGCATTGATGTCATTACTACAATTTTGATTAAAACCAAACCTAATGTAGTACAATTTTGAAATATATTTTGAAAGTCTTTGACAACAGTATATGCCATGGCTGGTTTTGCACTATTGGCTATCTTTGGAATTTTCTGCGTTTTCTTTGTAAAAAACAAAAATAATTATTATTCCCCTGAAGAAGTTTACTAATTCATACAGCAAATTCAGCAGATTAAATTGATTGTCTTAAATCTTTTAATTCTTTTTCAGACACGTGAGGAGGGTAAAGCCATATTAAAGCATATTCAACATTTACGACAAGAACGTCCGAACCGACAGGAAGTCAGAATGGACGACACTTTTGACTCGCTCCCGAACGATTCTTTCCAGTCACACAATAATACACCTATTATGAACTTTCCTCCGGTGATGAATCTGAGATTTAATACGCCATGAATCGTGTCACATATCGTCAACTTAGTGCAATAACTGATTGCCTGCTATTAAATTTAGGACTTATAACATTATTGCACTAAGGTGGCAATATAGCCATTTTAGCAAAAACGTTTGGACTTCGGACCTATATAAAAAAACAATCATAAGTGCAAAGCTGCAAGTGTATGCTGTTGAAGTGTTTAAACAATGAGTTTGCACAGTGGAATGTTGAGTTGTTGACAGTAATCGATAAATGTGAATTTAGTTCTCTTGGTAATCTGATCAGAAGTGTGATAGACATAATGTTGTTTAAGTATTTAAATGATCAAATAGTGCCCTTGAATGTTGCCTTAATGACCATATCGGCCTACTTAAGAAGTATGCAAGATTAGTTACCTTAATAACCTAGTTTGAGATAAAAGCCTTCATTTCCTTGGTTACCAAAGAGTTAAATCCAAAAATTTGAGGAAGAAAGCTATATACATTATACTGGCAAACTTGTCCTAAGAGACCAGGCAAATAAAACATGAAAAGTGGCCTTTAATGGCAAGTGTTCTCTCAAAATGTGTAAATTTTTCACTGCAGTTGTACAAATGTTTATTGATGGCTTTAGTGACAGGTTGTACTGTAATTTATAAAGGTCTGTAAGAACAGGTCAGACTGTTAATGTATTGTCTTATATCATTTGTCATTACAAAAAGTGTAAGACAAACTTTACCTAAGCTACAGACTGCATATCTATTTATATGAACCCATGTTGACAATGCATATTTGGTAGCAACATTGGTTATACATTGTATACATGTTTGCTACAGATCTGAATTGTGTATATTAAATATGAATGCAAAAATATATAAAGATGTATTATTTATTTTATATTCCCTATACTTCTTCCTTCAAAACAAAGACCTTCCAAACCCTTCAAGGATTTTAAGTTTCAGTGCAGACAAATTTGGGCATTATAGAGATAGGATGACCTGTTCCAGATAGGTTTATTGTTGGAATTTACACTTAAGGTCACTACACAGTGTTTATGTTTCCGGCAGAGACTCTGGCTCGAATGGGGCAGTTGCCCTATAAGTCTCCTGAAAGCCTGGACACTCTTGTTGAATTTCATAGCATTACCTGTGTTACAATTTAAAACCATTTTACTATTTTGGAAAAATAATATGTAAGCCGCCAAATAGGTCTAGTGGTGAAGTCGCAAAACAGAATATCAAGGGGGGGGGGGGGTTAAATATTGGTCAGACTGCACATTTTTCTCACTCTGTAACATATGGCGCCCAAAATGAACCTGTAACTGCATATAGCTCAAAGTTTCATTCACATTGCTCTGTAACCCAATATTTCAATAAAGTGGGGAGAATGTCATTGTATAAAACTGTTAACTATTTAAGGAAAATAATGTGGGAGCGACCAAAACGCTCAAAAAAGGTAATGCCACAAAAATGGTATTCCATAGATCCCAGGTTCAAGTCCCAGTCAGGCTTCACAATGTTCTCACACTGTGACACCTGTGACTTTCAGTACAAATGTTTTCTTTTAATTCTATATTGTATTTTTTTACTTTTAAGAAGGAGTATGCCACAGTAGTGAGGGACAAATAATTCAGTTTTAGAGACCATAAATCACTCTTGCCACTGAAATTATGGAAGTCTTACTTCCATATTCTTAATAGAATAATATACATTTGTCATCTAGAACTAATATAAATAAAACAAAAGCTATCCGTATTTTTATTTGTTCATATTTTATTTCATTTTTCTAAAATGTGTGTTAACATATTTTAAAACTGTGAGTTTAACAATTATATACATCAGATTCCCTGATATAAAAAAATTACTAACTTAAAACAAACCATTGTTTATACTTATAATAATATATTACCCTCAACAATGTACATTAGTGTACAAATGATTTAAAACACATTACAAAACAAGTAACAAAAATGTTTATAATAAACACTTAAAACAAAATGACCATTTTCAATAAACCCATTCCTCTTTGATAAACAACAGAATTATTTCATCTTAATCTAGTGAATATAGGATTTTATCAATGAGATAAATATTATATCACTCACTGATCATAGTTAAAAATACATAAAAAGATAGGCACAATATGCCTCAGAAATTATATATGTTTTTTTTTTATTTCTTAAGAAAGAACAAAAATTAAATATTTGTTTTAAAACCTGCTAGATACTTGTAGGGCTGCAATGATACACCAAACGTTTGATTTGATTTCCTTTCTCAATAAAAAAACAGTAATTAGAAATAGTATCCCCTCTCAGAGAGATATAATTCATATCTCATATCTGTCTCTTTTATCAATGAGATATAATATACATTTACAAATGTTTTTAGTAAGATATATCTCCCTTCTCAGTGAAATATATCCAAATACACAGTGAAATATATCCAGATATTTCACTCAAAATACCACTCACTGCCACTAGGCTGTGCTAACAGTAATTAGTGGCATGATATAGGAAGAGGTCAAAGGTTAAATAAATGATATCTGTTCACCATTCGTGGCAAGAAACCTGCATGCTTAAGGTAGTCTTACTGTGCTTTCCTGCCAAAAAATTCTAACATCGTCCAATATCGTAGCAAATCGGTTATTTCCAGAACGTTTTTTTTTTCCCTAAAATATTGAGCATCAAATCATTTACAATCGCACATCCTTTATCGTTATGTACTTAATTCCGGTTATAAATGGTTAAAAATTATTGAATACCAAATATTGTGAAAAATAATGGTCTGGAATTGACCGATTTATTACGATATTGGCCGATGGTAGAAACTTTTTGGCAGGAAAGAATTACAGTAAGAATACCTTAATACACAAGCCAATACTGAATCAAATTTAAGGGACATTTGAATAAAGACTAGTATTGAAAGTAATGAGCTGTGATGATGAATGGTTATAAATTTTGACTGACTTGATTAATACAAAAGAATGAATTAAATTTAGGAGTTAACATGCTACTGCACTAAGGTTGACAAATTTAAATCTATTAATAATATTTTTTTTTTTTTTTTTCAAAATTGATTTTGCTGACTTACTGTTATTTTATCATGAATTGATGAAATTTTATTACTTCATCTCATTGGTTACTATTGAAATTTAATTTCAATGAAAAAAAGAAAATTGATGCCATTATATTTTAACATGTTGCATCTTTCAAATGCTTTAATTTTTGAAAAAAAAGTCAAATGTAATTTTGGTCCCTTTGTTAATGATATATGCAAACTAGATAAAAATTTAAGTAAGCAAAAAGGTCATGAACTTCGTCAATAAACCCTCAGTTAAAATTATAGGTATCAAAGTAAATGTATATGATATGGCATTAAAATACACAATTACAAAAACTCGTTTTGAATCAAGTATGCAACAAACAAAAAGCATTTTACAAAGATCTGTACCTTACACAATGTAATGTGCCATTAATTAAAAACAGAATAACTGGTGGCCTTTTTTAAATCATCAAAATTTATTGTAAGTTTAAAAGCTGCATGCCTTTAGATGAGCCAAAATATTTCAAGAAAATCAAACATAAGAAACATTCTCTAAGATTTTCAGAAAAGTAAAAAGAAAATTCAAGATTCAAATAATGAATTACATGTTCTGTGCAATTATTGACTGATTTTGCAGTATTAATCACCATTTTTCTACTATATGATTAACACAGTAAGGGCTACTTTTGCATATTTTGTCTTATTTTTGGTAATTTACGTGGATTTGTAAGTGCCATTTGCAATGTGAAAATAACTTTCTTTGTTCACTTCACAATATTTGACTTTTTTTAAAATATATTTTCAAATTTTTTATGAAAAAAGCATGAATCTAGAGGCATGTTGCTTTGATAAAAAAATAAATTGATCTTTTTCCCTACAAAAAGCTAACAGCTCTATATACAATGTAAAATTAGCATAATTCATTTGATTTGAATATTTTATTTTGTCTAAATTCTAAAAATAGAATACCAGTACCGGTGTCTAAAAATAGGTACCTAAAGAAATTTTTATTTATGGTAAGGTAACCATTATCCAAATCAACAAAAAAAAATGTTTAAAAAAAATTGGAACCTTTGTAAATTTTATCAATTTATCAAAATAATGGCCACCACAGATTTAAAAACAAAACAAAAACATAAAGATAAAAATCAAGGACTTGGTATGCTTTGGTCTGTTCATACAAGATAATGGTAAGAGTAACATTTCTCAAGCACCAGCTAAGTGCTGGAATGAATGAGCCAAGAAAATGGACCAATAAAGTATCAAATACTTGTACCACTATGATATAAAGTTTGAGGCTGCGAACTTGGTACAGTTTGCCTCGTCTGCCACTTAACACAAAGTTCATGTAGGTGAAACAGTCGTTATTTTTAGTCAAGGGAGTTAAATACTGTAAAAATCTGGAACTATCTAAGAAAGTATATTCATTGTATATGTATCTTCAGCATACTCAATAAAATGTGCAAAGCAAACTACGAGACCAAAGAATTTGACTAGAAAAGCTTTGTAATGAAAAAAACCCAACAAATAATACAGTACAAAAACTAGAAATGTGTCATCATGCCACGGATGCCCCCGCATGCAGCCAAAATTTCAGATGGTGCATTAATTATTTTTTTCATTTTAAGTTCAAAGCCCTTAAAACTTTTCAATGTTAACACAAACCATTTCCATACAATGTTCAAGGCACTGAAATTATTCAGTCTTAACCTTTTAGAAATAGCATATTGCATATTTGTAGCCAAAATAATTGCTAAAAGAATGAGTGGTGAAACTGAAAGTTCAAAATTTTTCCAACATTCAGGAAAGATAAGTTTGTCTAAAATCATTGAACCATCACCAAATTCAAACTTAAACTGCTTATTCCTAAGATGTATCTATATTATTTTCAAAGTGAAAGAGACAAACTCTGCCAAAAAATCATCAAACCATGACCAAATTCCAACTTGACCTGCCCATTCCTTTGACTTATCCTTATCACGCCCGTTTAACTCACAACGAGTGTAAAATGTCCATCGGTTAAAATGTTGTGAGCAACTTCCGTTCCTCGTTGTGAGCACCCCTCTATGACGTTTGACACGATAAACAAGGTAAGTTTTTCATAATTTTTGAAGACTACAGACATTTATGTAAAAATATCGGAATGCAGTTAGCTAGCGATGTGTTTTCCGAGTATGCACATGTAAAGATATTGCCTGTTGGTCGACAATTTGATGGAAATACCGTGCGACGCAGTCACTCGGGGGTAGATGGAAAACTGGAGACAACTTCTCTCCGAACCAAATTTAACATTGAAAACGTCGATTCTGCTGAAGTTTTGTGCATTCTAACCTTAAACAGATGCTCACAAGTCTTCAGCGTAAATTATTACATGAAATTCTTCATAGAAACGAAGATATACCCGTTTTTGCTTTAATCCTCGTTGTGAGCACCATAACCTCGTTGTGAGCAAGACAAGCACAGTGCGTGTCTGGTTATAATATGTAATTCAGATGGTGAAAATATAATTTTCAATCTACCAAAGCAATTAAAACGTTTTTGCACAGCAGCATTTCTTTGCAAGACGTTGTGCATACCCCGAAGGGAGGCATATTAGTTTTAAATTGTCCGTCCGTCAGTCCGTCCGTACTTTAACATTGGCCTCATCTCCTTATTAGTACACGGATTTGATTCATATTTGAACACAACATCCCTTAGCACAAGACCTTCCTACGGACCTGTATTTTTTTACCTTGACCCCTGAATGGCCTTTACTTTCAAGGTCAAATTGTCCAAAAACATTTAAGATTGGCCATATTGTCCTTATTAGTAAATCAATTTAATTCATATTTAGGCACAACACCTTATTGGACAAGGCCTTCCAACTGTAGTACTATTCTTTTCAGTGATTGGACATGGGGTCGTTCAAGGAGAGACCGAAGCGAGGCATCAAGTATGTACTTGCCCTGGTCTGAAAAAGATTAGAACTACTAGAAAAACTGTCAGTGATGCATAAAAATCAAAAGAAAAGTTTTGATCATGTCTCTTGCAAAACATTCTTTTCAGCCAAACACGTTGTAAAATTAGCTAACCCAAAATTGTACTAGTGGTGAAACACCTAAGAAGTCAAGAAGATTTCTAAAAATGCCACTATTTCATGATGAAAATGCTATTTAAATGTCAAACACAGACTGCCATGAGCTTTCTAGGAAAGACAGTGCAACTAAAATCATGAAAAATGCCCTACAGAGCAAACAAACGCTGAGAACTATTTGAATCTGTTATTATGCGACTATCGTTTTTCGCGGAAGATTACTTATTTAGTGTGTTGTAACTTTTAACACTACACAAGTATCTGCTAAGCTTAATAGATAATGGTAAACAAAAAAAACCCTACGATTTTGCAGATGTTTTGCTGTTTGTGCAAATGGTGGTAAACTATTAAGGAGATGTAAATTATGTATTTAATTGCATATACCTCGTGTTGCCAGAGTTAGCATAGAGGGCAGTCTGCGTGATATAAACATGCATGTATTTATCCTGAGCTTCATTCATGTTAGAATAGCCAAGTAGAAAAAGAAGAACTATTGCAAAGAAAAACTATTGTGCAAAAATGTTTTAATTGCTTTTGGTAGATTGAAAATTATATTTTCACCATCTGAATTACATATTAAAACCAGACACGCACTGTGCTTGTCTTGCTCACAACGAGGTTATGGTGCTCACAACGAGGATTAAAGCAAAAAAGGGTATATCTTCGTTTCTATGAAGAATTTCATGTAATAATTTACGCTGAAGACTTGTGAGCATCTGTTTAAGGTTAGAATGCACAAAACTTCACCAGAATCGACGTTTTCAATGTTAAATTTGGTTCGGAGAGAAGTTGTCTCCAGTTTTCCATCTACCCCAAGTGACTGCGTCGCACGGTATTTCCATCAAATTGTCGACCAACAGGCAATATCTTTACATATGCATACTCGGAAAACACATCGCTAGCTAACTGCATTCCGATATTTTTACATAAATGTCTGTAATCTTCAAAAATTATGAAAAACTTACCTTGTTTATCGTGTCAAACGTCCTAGACGGGTGCTCACAACGAGGAACGGAAGTTGCTCACAACATTTTAACCGTTGGACATTTTACACTCGTTGTGAGTTAAACGGGCGTGCTTATGTCAAATTAAAGTTGAATATGTGACACTGTTGGGTAGATAATGAACAGAAACTGTAAATTTCATATTATTTTCAAAGTGAAAGGGGCATTACTCTACCAAAAATCATTGAACCATGACCAAATTTGAACTTGACCTGAGCATTCCAAAAACATATCCATATGTCAAATTTGAGTTGAATGTGTTGTACCATTGGGAAGATAATAAACGGAAACTGAAAATTTCATATTACTTTCAAAGTGAAAGGAGCATAACTCTGCCAAAAATCATTGAACCATGACCAAATTTGAACTTGACCTGCGCATTCCTTTGACGCATCCATATGTCACGTTTGAGTTGAATGTGTTGTACCTTGAGGGAGATAATGAATGGAAACTGAAAATTTCATATTATTTTCAAAGAAAAAGGGGCATAACTCTGCCAAAAATCATCGAACCATGACCAAATTCGAACTTGACCTGTATTTTTTCATGACATATCAATATGTCAAGTTTGAGTTGATTGTGTTGTACCATTGGGGAGATAATGAACGGAAACTGAAAATTTCATATTTTTTTCAAAGTAAAAGGGGCATAACTCTGCCAAAAATCATCGAACCATAACCAAATTCGGTCTTGACCTGTATTTTCTCATGACATATCCATATGTCAAGTTTGAATTGAATGTGTCCAACCGTTCTTAAGATAATGAACGGAAACTGAAAATTTATATTATTTTTAAAGTAAAAGGGGCATAACTCTGCCAAAAATCATCGAACCATGACCAAATTCGAACTTGACCTGTATTTTCTCATGACATATCCATATGTCAAATTTGAGTTGAATATGCCCAACCGTTCTTAAGATAATGAACGGAAACTGATGATGACGGAATGACAGAATGACGGAAGGACGGAAGGACGGAAGGACGGAATGACGGAACAGGGTAACACTATATGCCCCGGCCATTACATGGCGGGGGCATAAAAAAAACAGGAGCATAAAAACACACACACAAAGCCTAGCATACAAATTTTTCTAAGCCTTTACTTAAAAAGCACCAGAACTATCACATTTTGCTAAAAATATTCATAACAGTCTAGAAATAGTAACAGTATTATAAAAATAATGTTACTATAAATAGTCATTTTGTAATGTATATAAATAGTTTCTGTTCTATAAATAGTAAGAATGTTCTATAAATAGTATCAAAAACTTAATCAAAGTGTCATGCCAATGCCAGGGCTAGTAGAAAAGCTCTCCCTATTCTTTTTCAACAGAATTATGAAATGTCATGTTCAGGTAAAACATTAAAACAAGAACACCGCTAGGCGGAGCATTATATGCCCGAAATTGTTTTTTTATCAGAATGAAAAATTTGTAAGACATGAGAATTAAATAAAGCATTATATTTGAATATGAAGTTTGAATATTGTGAGCAAAATTGAACTTAAGTTATGCTCTGAAACTGTTTTCAGTTTTAAAGTAATGATGACCTTTGACCTTGTGACCCCAAAATCAATAGGGATCTTCTACCCAAAATGGACAATCATCCTATGATGTTTGAATATTGTGGCCCAAATGGAACTGAAGTTATGCTCCGGAAACCAAATTGCTATCGGACGGACGGACGCCAGGGGGTATAACATAATATGCCCGAAATTCTTTTGGGCATATAAAAATGCAATATTGATTTTAAATATCACAGTTAAAAAAAATTCCATTCTTGCATTATTAAGAGTAGAACTATCTTGACAAACACTATGTACAACATTACTACAAAATACGTCAAATATCAAATAAATATCTTTAAAAGCAATAACCCTCATTTTACAACACAAAGTTTTGGCAATATTTCCACATTGTTAGCAGTGTCGAAACAAACTACCAGTAAATCTTCACTCCATTATTGTTAGTTATACATGTACTATCTCTACTGGCTTAAGAAAGCTTTGTGTAATCTTAAAGAGACTCCATTGTGTCTTTCTGACATGAAGGAACTGGGAATATTTATTTCGTTGATATTTTTATACTATCAAGTATAGGCCTATATGCACAAAATTTCGAATCATAATTTTGCTCAAGTTATTTTTGAGTAAAACAATTGTTATTGTGCAAAATGATCTAAATTTGAAAAGTTTAAAGGCTTTTAACAAACATTGGGCTAATAATCTAAATAATCATTGATTTTTCTATGTAATTCTGATTTTTCTTTAAAACAGTTTTCATATTTTATATTTCTATATCTATAAAAATTTTGGTTTAAACATATTTATTTAAGCTTGATTGTGAAACAAGTTCTTGCAACTTATATTAATCAATTTTAAGTCCATTTCCTGAAACCAACCAGTGCTGGTGTCATATAAAGAAACATGGTCATGACCCAAGTAGGGTCTGAACCCATGATCTCTGGGTTGAGAAGCAGACACCTTAACCACTAGGCCACTGCTCCCCTTATAAATTTTTGATCCTTCTTGAGCTTATACAGTCTAACTTGCCCATGCGACCACGTGTATTAAGCGACCTTTGTCTTAAACGACCACTTTAAATCCCCCCCGATCATTTTCTCTCTATATCTTTAATGTATTAAGCGACTTTTGCTCAACGCGACCAGCGACCGCTAATTAGTCACCTAATTGACATCAATCTTTTCATTAAACGACCACTTTTACCTGTCAAGTAATTGTGTTTATAGAGAACTCCACCTCGTTATGTCACAAGTGTCAACAATCAAAACACAACAACAAACGTGTGAAAAACTCTATTTCCCATACCGTTTTAGCGTATGCAAATGAAGTTAAGTATACGCGTGACGTGTATTATCCAATAATATTGGATAAACAATGCAAGGCTCCGCCCATACTGAGATGGTGTATACGCTTCGCTTGTTGACATTTAGACTGCATTGAATTGACCTTGAATTTGATCAGCCATTAAATTAATCGTAACAAATAGATGTAGTTTGTTTATTTCAAATGAAAAAAAAATGCACAACAGAAAACATCTTCACTAATAGGGTTTTCGTGTTGGAGACAAGGAAAAACAATGGAGAAGTTAAAACATTCTGGAAAAAATGTCAAACATGTACGTAATGGATCTTGAAACTGTTTTGTCAATAAATATCAGAAAGTTATTTTTTTACATTTGCATCCATTTAGATTATCGGAGCGTACTTTTTTCAACAGAGATATAAAAATGAAGTTGAAAAACAATCCCACCGAATAAAAAAGATGTCATTCTTTTAAATTTTGACTTTTATATCATGCTGACTGTTTTAAGAGACCGTTTCATTAAGCGACCGTTTTGGGTGTTTCCCTTGCCCGGTAGCTTAATACACGTTTGACTGTATAATATAAATGTTTATTATTTTCTCTAATGAAACAACAAAAAACATTAAAACATCTTAAGCCACCTTACATTAACTTTTGGTTCAGCAGAAGTAAAGATTTTGGCTACAGAATTGACATACTATGCCATCCTTTGGTAATACATGTAAATGCATAGGTGGGCATAAAAATTATCCTTCTTTTATCACAAATGGAAGTGACAATATAAATTAATTACAAAAAAAACTGTGACACTGGCAAATTTCTGTTCACCACATGATAATTTAATTTAATTTAAACAAGTAGAACAACATCAACAAATAAATATGACATTAACTAAATGTTACTTTGGCCAAATGTGACATTAACAAAATGTAAACTTGACCAAATATGACACTAGCCAAAAAAAGGGCCTCAACAAAATGTAACACTAGCTGAATATGACATTAGCAAAATATGACACTGACCGAAATTGATAGCATCAATATAAGACACTTAACATTTAAACAACATGTAATAAGGCAAGTGTCAGAATGCTGTATATTGTATATTGGCTGATATAGTTCATTCACATGATAATATACAAAATAAAAGCTGTACAATTCACAATAATAATCTTGTGAAAATAATGCTCATTTCACTGCTTTTCAGTCACTATAACAGACCAAATATGAGTGTTTTGAGATATTCTAAAACATCAAAAAATCACTTGACAATTCACTACTTCAAAATTAAATAAATACCAAATACTGTAAGTGAACAAATTGTCCAGAATTGATGCCAGCAATCTAAATCAGATTCACACTTTCATGAAAATTTAAATAATTGGTCCGAGTACATGGGAGCAAGTTCAAAATGTCAGAAAACCTGAATTTAGTGATATCTTAATTGGCTTTATATAGAAAGAGTGCTTTCAAGAGAAAAAAATCCTTAATTCATTCATGAAAATGCATGAAAACATGAAAAAACGTTGTTGAGTGTTCAAAATATAGTGATTAAACCTGCTGTAAGGCTACATACATCCTCAAATATTACTTACAATGTGTAAAAAAGTGTAAAAATTGCCAATGCCATTATTCAGCTTTACTCCATTAGTAATGGGATAAAAATATGATGATAAAAATGTGTAAGTTTTGTCATATCTGACGTATCTACCAATCACTAGGATTGAGATTCTTTATAAAATCCTTTATTATTTAATAAATCATTTCTTAAACATGATTTTTCAAAATTTTTATATGAAGTCGTTCCTGCCCTAACCTGGATATACATTATAATAGCGGTCGACTTAAGGAGAAAGAACGTCTCAGAATTCCCAGTCTATTGTATCCTTATGTACGAGGTTATAAAGAAACTTTCTTAGCTCAAACTCAGATGTCAAGTCTTTGATTGGTCAGAAACCGACACAAAATCCTGCGATTCCAGACAAACCTCAGAAAAATGTTTTATAACCTTGATGCTAAATCTATAGTGAGAAGACTAGATGATTCTTATTTTCTGCTCTGTTTAATCAAACTACCTCAACATGTACAAGTATGTGAAGAAACTTGAGCATCTAGTTATTACCCTTCAATTTACTATATGAATTACTATAGTTATCATTAGCCTGCTGGCAGCAGTTGATTTTACTCATGCCACCAAAATAAACTTGCACTTCCATGCCTTCCCATAAATATACACAATGTTTGCTATGCAGTCAATACGTTTTTGAAATTTTACCCGAAAATGATAAATGGTTTTGTCCAGATTGAAAGATAACACAAATCCATTTGAGATATTTAGGGTGATAAGGGTTAATATGGGAAATACAGCTTTAAGGATAATTATAATTGTTCATCAGTCGCACCCCTTGCTCAACTTGATCCATCTCTGTCATAAAATACGACATCGACGGCACACGACTCATGTCTGATATTGGCAGCTTTGGTGAACACAGTTTCAAACGTCTGACATAAATACATATCGCCATGGCAACCACGGCAAAACAAACGAGTAACAGATATTCGTTGTATATGATATGTGATGATGATAACCAGCTAGGCTTGAAATCCGACATCCCGTAACCCTCAATTTCCCTGAAATGGTATAAAATTTGTGATAAATAGACATGTAGCTACATGATACTAAATAGTAAATGATTGTTTCAAAGTGTTTCTACCTCATAATTAAATCTCTTATACCATATTCTGTAAACTATCTGAAAAACACTGACAATATCTGGAAACAAATCTGTAATTTGTCAATAAGTATAAATTGCATTTTGATTAATATTAATTTTTGTTCAAGTGAAAACCATAGCCAGGATATGGAAAAAAAGAGCAACTGCCAACAATAAACTTTTAAACCTTTTCTAAAAGCAAACAATAACAAATCTTGAAAAAGAAAATTAAAGAAAAAAAAAAGGGTTTTTTTTCCCTATCTTTTTTACTTTAAGGACCTTCAATGATAGAAAATAGATTTTCTGCAGGATTTAATTTTCATGATGGACAGGTTTAAAATATGGACATTCAGATATAACCATACATATAAACATTTTTTTTTCAAATGATAAAATAAAAAGATGTAAATCTATTTTTACAGTGATTTTCCCCATTTCTTTTCAATCAATCATGCCATTTCTATTGCAAATGTTTAAACCTGTTAAAGTTCTAATTGTAAAAATAAATGAAACATTAACACTATAATCCTGAAATATAAAAAAAATTACATGCAGACCAACTTGCATGCAGACAAAGTTCCAAAGTCCCAAATGGGTAACACTGTACTGTAAATAAGGAATTGATAAGATTTGAAGAATATTCTTTAAAACCTTACATCATCACACCATAATGCTGTTTTCTTTATGATTCTCTCCACACAACCCCCACCCTTGAAATAAATATTCATTGACTAACACACACTGACAAATATTGAATTCCACTAATATAAACAATACCTAAAGTAATTTTATTCATAAATTTCAATTTATTTGTTATAACACCTTTTAATAAGACACAGCTTCCTTTTGCGAGTTTAGTGACTTTCTTTATCTTAAAAATCAGTATCTTGAAAATACGTGACAAATGAATATTTGTCTGTTTTCCACTGAAAAATTAACAATTCTAGTATCTCATTTTAATTACATATTAAATTAAATATTTTGGTTCAAAATAAAATTATTTTTCATTGGCTATTTCATCAAGCATTCTAAAAGACAAAATTCAAAATTTGTTATTTCTGGCAAATGTTTACCATGGTTGAGAAACACTGTTACAGAATATTTTCCCCGCCTGCCTGACATTCACCGTACTATAACTCGGGTTTGCACCAGTGCAACCCAGCCAAAAAGTAGGAAAATCTATTTTTAGCCTTGATGACCCAGACTTTTACCCAATCTTTACCAAATCTATTTATGGGAGCTATTACCATGGCTCAAATAATATTCAAACATCATACCTTAGTGGTAAATATCTAGTTCTGTGAATGAGGGCTCCTAGTGTCCATTGTACATCTCTATTGTTCACATATTGTACAGAGACTAGATTCCTGTAGGTTTTAGGAAACTTGAGACCTTTATGTAACACCGTTGTCATCCAGGCTGACTTAAAACACTGCATTCTGAAATTATATAAAATTTTGTAAAAGATTTAAAGAAAATACAATCAGAGACGAAAGGTATGAAAGTTACAATATATTTTTATATTTTTTATTCTCAAATGAATGCTTTCATTAATTTAATTTCTGGTATTTATCTACCTTTCATCTCCCAAGAATGTTTCAAGGATGTCCATATAGTCCACTGTTTAGTTAGTCTAGGGATGGACAGAACAACTGACGGACAGGGGCAGATTTTATGCCCCCCCCCCCTCCTCCACTTAAACAGTTGAGCATAAAACTAATAACGTAACATGACAAATAACAGACAAACAAATGGCATATAATCACCTCTTGATGTGCAGTAAAAATAAGACCTTGTTGAATGGTTTAAGTTTTCCAGCAAAAACTGTTTTCAAATTCAAAGTACACTTGACATAGTTAACTACTTCCTCTAAAGGGAACTAAAATTCAGCTTTAAGGCACATGTAATTCAACAAATCAATTTCATATTTAGTTATAAACATGTAAACCTATATATATACTTCAGGCTTTGTAAATCAAAAGCATTTAGTGTTAAATGTTTTGGACAATAACAATGAATAAAATGAAAACTATTACAATAATAATGAATAAAATGACAACTATTACATACCTAAATCTATGTTCAGCAGCTTTCTTGTACAGCCCCTTGGAGTATCTATCTTGCAACAAAGACCATCTCTTCTCGCAAAAATCCTAATAATAAATGCTGAATAATTAGGATATACTTTTGATCACTTTCTTTTTTTTTACAAGCCTAAATTTATACTGACAAAATACCTAATACACAGTGCAGGGTTAGCCTATGTTCTCGCACTCACATAGGGGATTTGTGACTTAAAAGTTGACACTGTTATATATCTAGCAATTCTTTAAAACTCAAAAATAAGAGAAAAAAAAGAACAAAGTCAATGAAAAATCTATTTGAAATATATTACATTTAAACAAAATTTCAATGCACCTTTGATTGGATGACCTCATTTGTTAACCCAGTTGATTTGAGCAATACACTCACAATTTATCTTTGCTCATTCAACTTTTTGAAGTTTTACTACATTTCAGTAACTGATAATCTACAGGAGCTATCCAGCTTATGTAATGTCGGTGGTTCTACGCTGAGGAACATAATTATCTACTATTTGTTATATATATACACACAATATAAAAGAATAATGCTTACTGTTGCCTGAGCATCAAAGACATCATGTTCATACTGGCCTCCAATTCTAAACACATCTTCCATGGTGTACCATAATTCTGCAAACCCGTAAAACTCACTATTACTGAACGAGATCTTTGGTTGATGGACGCCATTCATTGAACATGGTGCCATATTACATGCCTGAGAGAGATTCAGGAGTGGCATAAGAGCTTCTTGACATCTGTGATAATCGCCAGTCCCTGAGAATGTCACTTTTTTGCCGTCAATTGAAATGTCTTTCGACGTCAGAACTAAGCCTGGCTGTAAGCAAGGATCTGGGATGTTCTGGTATGGATCTAGAGCTGGTGGAAGCACTTGTTGGGCTGGCTGACTTTTAACTGGCAGTTGATCCCGTCTCTCTGATGATTTTACAACATGTTCCAATGATTTGTTAAATAACCTGTGAATGAAAAATTTCATGTACAAAGAAGATATAATCTTAAAACTAAAAAAGTTCAATGCTGGTCTGATTGAAATTACTTGGAGTAACCAGAGCTTTTATAATGACATTGATTTGATTATAATTATCTTAAAAAAACAAAGGTAATTTCATAAAGGGAATATTTCAACCAAAACCATGCTGTATTTATGGGTCTAGGTCACTGACTAACAATTATGACACTGATAACATATGTGAAGCATTGGAAGAGAAAATAGTTCCTGGCTGCGGGGACAGGACTTTGCTGGCAATTCCTAAACATGTCGACACAAAAACCGATGATAGCTGGAAAGCCCTATTACATCTAAACCTTCAAGTTAAATTTCTAGTACAAATGCCAACTCTCCTATTACAAACTGTTATGAAAATATTGGCATATACATTAGATTTATATCTGGACTAGTCAAATTTAGACTTTTGGGACATGACACTCATAGGCTTTCATAGCTTTCTGCCCAATCCCAAATGTCTTGTGTAAATATTGTTCATTATAATGTAAATATATCGAATAAAAATTTGTTTAAACCAAATTAAGACTACATCAAACTTTTAAACATAATAACAAGTGATTTCCTCTGCTAATGTAGATCAAAAGATCAACAAGAATATTAAAATTTTGAACTTACTGTTGGGCTATAATTTCATGTTTGCCAAGCGAGGGTCTAATAGTAACTTGTGATCTCCTTACGTCATCATTATAAACAGCAGCTCTTTTCAATCTTACGTTTGCATTTTGTTTTATTTTGGATACTAGCATTTCTTCATACCTATCTCTTGCTTCATTAGCACCATAACCTAGAAATGAATAAAGTTTAGTATAGTTTATACAAATTTATTTTAGTTTGATTGTGTTGGAAGCTATAAGCTTATTGAAACACTCTTGAATCTGTCCCTGGAATCAACCAGTTCTGAGCAATGAAAAGAAAAAAGTTTCCCGCTCAAGGAAACAACGGCTTGCCCCTTTAAAAGGTTTGAACCCACACCGTCAGCAAACCTGAAATAACTAATCTGACACCTTAACCACTAGGCCACATCAAAAAATGAGTAAAGAAAGTAAATACCTACAATCTCAAGTTAACTACAAATTGTATAATAATTATCATAAATGTAAATTTGTTTTCTTGTTTTGGTTAGATTTTAAGCTGGTACTGTAACGATCACAATGTTTTGGTGACATTTCAGCTTTACTTGTGGGGGAAAGACATCAAGATGTCCCTCTGGGCATTATTTCAGTCATCAGCAAGACACCCGAGTAGTACCACCAGCATTGCAAAAGCTAACTTGATAGCTTCCTCAAATGAAAGAATCCAAAGTCCCTGTCAGGATTTGAACCCACAGCGGTGACAGGAAAGTGGTATGAAGTTTACAACTTTCACCATTTCACCACCAATGCCCATAAGATTGACTAATATACTGAAATATTATTATAAAATTCCTTCCATACCTAAGAAAGTTGTTACATAAACTCTGTATGTGTGGTCAACATCTGAATTCAAACATCCTAAATTAAATTCAGCTATCAAATGCTTTGGTACAGAATCAATCTGAAATAATAAAAAAATCTATGATGTAGAGATGGTACAAATGTACTTAAAAAACTGTTAAAATAATACATAAGTAACTTTAAATAACAGCATGAAACAAAGTTAACATAGTTATATATTTTGAAAATCAAATAATAAAACAATGCAATATAGACAAAATACTTATTACTTTTTCATACACAGAATTAAATCATTTTGATACTCTATGTTTGATATGTACAAAAAACAACAAAAAAAAACATATGAAAATGTTTTGATTCACATACATGTACAATATACAATGCACCCAAAAACAAATTCACATAACTTAACACATGTACTAGTCAAGGATCAAAGGTAATTAATATTGACTGCAAAATCAGACAAGCTAATGAATTCACTATACAATGTAAATGAACTTAAGCCCAGGAATACAAATGAAGAAAGTTCATAAAATTGAATCTGTAAAAGTTCTCTTAAGAAATTTAGCAGAATATGGGTTGAAGAATAATTCATGACAGTACTGCTTTTGATACATGTACACGGAATCTGAATACCACATGTAAAAACAAAAGTCAATAAAAATTGTTTCAACTTAAATGAAAGTGTGACATACATTTGCTGTTAATTCATAGGCAATTTGCATAGATCCGCCTCCCATGTCAATCATGCCAACAGTTCTCCGCCTAACATGTTGTCTGACCTGCCCATTTTCACCAGGAATATCCACAGCAACCAATGGGTGATCTGAAAAAGAGAATAAAGAGAATAAAATTTGGAGTTGTCTTATCCTTGATTCAATGTCACTTACTGTCGTGCTCCTGAGAGAAAAATACCAACACCACCATCTCCTTGATTCATAAATTGAAAAGTATACACATGCACTACAAAATGTGATGTATGTATCCCTTTATGAAAAAAAAAAATATTTTACAGATTTTCTACATAGTATATAGATTGAAGATTACTATTTCAAATTAAAAAAAAATATGTAGTATGTTTTATACAACTTGTAGATTTTTACATAACTTAGTCTTCAATTTTTTTCAATAAAAGCTTATGAAAATTAAACAAACCTTGTATAAATAATACATATAAACTAAAATACTGAAATACTGTTTCCGTGGTAACACTTCCTGCCTAAATTATCAGGAGTCTTAAGTTCTATATCCTACTACTCCCAACTCAAATTACTAACAAATCATTCAAACAAGACTATAAAAAGCCATACATTCCATAATGTCCCGGACGACTGGGATTGTCCCAGAAATAAGGCGTCTGTCCCGGAGGCGTCCTATTTTTAAAGCTTAAGTTCAGTTTAACACCTTGCATGTCAAAGAACGTATTGTTTCTTAAAGCTTCTTCAGGAATGGAGTTATTTCTTTACATTATGGTTACTTTGCATAAATTATATTAATTATATATGAAATATTGGTTCAAAAAGAGCAAAAGACCACAAATTAAGCAAAAGATAGTAAAGTGGTAATACCATCATCTCCATGGCTGAACTTTTGTAAGACATAGTTGGCAGCAATCCAAGCATAAACTCCCTCCTGTTTACCCGTTATTACTTCAAAGTTGTTCTCAGCCACTATAAAATCAAACTGTTTGGGTATATCCTTTTGTAAATCTTGTAAAATAGCTTTCTGTGAACTGAAAAAAATATATATGTACAGAATTATCAAAGGTAACAACCCAAGAAACATTCCTGTGAAGTTTGGATAAAATTGGCTTTGCAGTTTATAAGGAGATGTCATTCAAAAGTAAACGTTTACGGATGGATGGACACCAGACAAATTGCTATCACAAAAGCTCACTGTGAGCTGCTATAAATATAAGTCAAAGTACAAGCTATTATCTAGGATAGAGATGCCATGATTACAATTGACTGTCATATAATCATGAGGATAATTTAATACTTACTCTTCAGGTAACAGTCTCATTCCAGCCGTAGCAAGTATGTACAGTAATGTCTCTTTGTGTTGTTTCTTTGGTATATGTGAACTGGCAAACTCTAACAAGGGTTGAAGATATTCGCTGGCATCTTCAGGGTGATTTTCAAAGGTATCCAAACCTATGAATAAAGCAACGTAATTGGGGATGATAATTAATATCTAGACCTAACAATAGGCCAATAAAACAAATTCAAATGATGTAAAATAATGATAACAATAGCTTCCCTTCAGATAGACTGCCTGCCTTTACTTATTGCTCAATATTTCAAAGAGATTATAAAAGTGTGAAAGGACAAAGTTCTACGTTCAAATAAATACCAGCAGAACAAAGTATAGTATTTTCGTTATTCGTTATTTCATATCATTTCATGCTTGATTTACCTGGTGAGATTTTTTTAACCACTGGTTGATTATGACTATCCTTGAGCTGTTGTATATTGAGTAAATCTTTCGGATTTCCTGAATGTGGCGGCCAGACATAGACATAAACCCTTGTACCACTGCTACCACAATCTAGAACAATCCCATAATGTACATCTGGACCGTAATTAAAAAATGTTTTGCCAGCTTTATAGTTTCCGGTGGGTAGAAAATGTTGAGTAGAAGACGAGACATCACTGTCATCTAGGTAGAAGGAATGTATAAATAGAATGACTAGAATTATAATGAAGAACACACTGCACGAGAGAACCATCCACTGCTTCAAAGTCATCATATCCTTCAGATTGCTGCATTGTGGCAGGCGAAGGTAGATTCTGTAATAGAAATTAAACCAAAAAAAGAATTAGACATAATTGAAATTATTGATAAAAACCGTAAACTGATATTTATAGATTCCACATACAATCATTATCACAGTGTTTGACAAAGTTTACACTTTTTGATAGAATGTCATATTTTTTTCAATTTTCATTTAAATTTGCTTAATGCCCACATTATTTTTAGAATAAATAACAATTGAAAACCACTGACAACATATCTGGCGATGCTTAACAATCTTAAAGGGACTCCACTGAGGTTTAAAAGCCTAAAAACAAAATATTAACAGATAGTTAAATATACTTTGATCATATTTTTATGCTTTTCTTAGCCCCGATTTGAGTGAAAAGCGTTTGGTCATTTTTTTACAATATGAATAATTATTCTGGACAAATGAAGTACGCGAATGATTAGAAATTTTGCACAAAGATTAGTGGTCTAAACATACATCAACTGGTACACATTTATCTGGAAAAAATATTTCTAGTTCCATCATGTCAAAAAACCTCAGTGGAGTCCCTTTAAAGCTTAAATATAAATCACTCATATGATTGTCATATTGAGATGAATACATGTGACAGTGCCTCTACCTAGTTTTTTCTACACTGATACCTGCTTGAGCCTGCAATAATGCACGGAGGAGCATCTCTCTCTATAGTAACCATAGTAACCATAATACATTTGAAATTGTGATCAGTCTCCAAGCATGATATTTTCTTATCATCTGAGTAAATGTAGATTATAATTTATTTCACGTCATAGCGTCAATCATAGTATTGATTTGGTATTTTGGTTGAATTGGTATGTTTGACGATTAACCATTACATGTACCTGCCAAAAGAATTAAACTGATCAATGATGATTTTACTAATGATCTGTGCTGTTGTTGACACGGTTTTATTGCTTATCTACAGGTGCTATTCTGTTGTTAGGATTTGAAATGTCTCCAACAGTTTGGAGTTGTTTTTTATCTAAACTCTACTAGATGTGAATAATTATTCAGTCCTTTATACTTACACATTTATTGTTGCAAATCAACAGTTCGGCAGACTAGCTAGAGAGTTACAATATGCCTGGCTGCTAACAAATCTTTCAAATTAGTGGACAGCTCTATAGTATGACTTGCACAGTATTCCAAGCAAAGTTTAGTTTAACAGCCAGGGCCCAAAAACCTTTCTTTGTAGAGGCCGAATATAGGCTGCCTCCCCAACCAAACTAGCCTCTTTTTTCCCCAGTTTGGTTAAATTTGAGATCCCTTTTCCAAAAGTATGCCAAAATCATGCATATTTTCCCAAAGAAAAATGCTGAGGCCCCTTCCCCTGACAGCAGAAAACATTAACCATGCCTCGCTTGTGTTAACACATATGCCTTTCAAGCATTGACTGACTGTTTGAAATCATTAATACACCCCAGCTCCATAGGAAAAGCAGTGATCACTATGAGACCAGTGTCTATTCTAGGAGGGACGATGGGGGGATTCACCCATATTTTTCAGAATTTACCCCAATTTTTTTTAGAGGGATGGGGGAAATTTTACATAGACAAAGAAGGGAAAAGATCAACAAATGTAAAAACTTCTCACTTTTTGATAAAAATCCCCCCTGTTTTTCGAATTTAATTTCACTTTGTAAAATCAGTCAGTCATGCAGGCCAAATATTGACACTATGTCCAAAAAGGAAGATAAATAGCAATGTGAAAATGTACATAGACTATGTAAATTTTCACATTGCTATTTATCTTCCTTTTTGGTAAAACCCCTAGCAAGGATATAGGCAAAAGAGCAGAAGAGTCTAGAACAATTTTAGAGTGTTTTAAGAAATAAGGTAGGTATACATGTGAATGGTATGTCATATCCAAAAACTAATGTAGCCGGTTACTACTCATCTTGCAGATTCCTCATTTATAGTATATTAATCTTGGTGAAAATAAATAAATATTGTTAATTAAAGAAGTTACCTGGCCATATGACCCTCCAGTGCTATTTTTGAAGAACTGTTCCCGGCGTCTGCATAAAAATATTAAAGAAAATCATTATTTACATTTTTTGACGTGTTACCATTTTGGTTCCCGGTTTCAGAGAAGTACTAATCGAAAACGTCGGAAACAGTCTTCTGAGTCACGTAGACGTTTTTAAAAAGTTGACACCATGGCAGATATTACAAATCTATTTAATGCGACTATTAAGAGCCTTAAAACAAGACATAAAGCTCAAGGAAAAGTACCAAAGAAGGATGAAAAGCATCCAATATTTCCGACAGCCAAAAATCGTGGACAATTTGAAACAACATCAAAAGAAGTGGTTTGTCACTAGTTTTCGCGATAGTATTTGCATTGAACAGAAATAAAAAATCATATTTCTAGAAAAATAATTAACATATTTCTTTCTAACTTGTTTTGTTTATTAAACATTTTTATATAATACAAATCAAAATAAAACTATTTTGGTTAACTTTTATTTTCTTAGACATTGAACATTATACTTTGAAGTTTTTTCTGAAAACTGAATGAAATGTATGCTGACAGGTGTTGGCGCATTGAATTAGAGCATAAAGAAGTAATTTAAGTTATTTTGTTTAACACTTTGCGTATGTAGCATATTTTTTAAGGACTTTAAAAATTGTGTTATAAAAACATGAAAAAGGGGAAATAACTCTCACAAAAGTGACAGCCAAATATTTTTCTATCAGTTTATGTGACATATTATTCTCAATAAACAAACAAAGTTTAAGAGAAATATCTTTATTACCTTTCTAGAAATATTTTATATTTATATATCATAAGCCCGATTGGGCATTTTCACCAGCCTGTTGAACTGAAATCAAAATCTGATATTTTTAATAGAATTAGTACTTATACTTAAACGAAAGTGTAGTAAAATTTATGCATTGAAAACGAATGGACGTTAAAGATATTAGAACCATTGTAAATAGACCTTTTGCCTGTTTTAGACCAGATGGCACGAACAGTCTTGTATACTGTCAACCTCTCAAATTTGAGTGCTATCATATAATGGTCCTAGAAATCAGGGGAATGTCACGAATGTGTAATCTCGGCATTGTGGGTTCCATTCCAAGCCTGGGCAACTAAAGTTACTAGTCAGTCAGACTGTCTTTCGCCTCCGTGGTCGAGGGGTTAGAGTCGATGACTTCTAATCCAGTTACCTCTCTGGCTTGGGTTCGATCCCCGGGAGATGCTTTGGTAGTTTAGCGCCGGGGAAGGTAGTCTAGTACTGGTGTAACTCTCCAGGAAAGATGGTTAGGAAACTACCCGCCTATATGACTGAAATACTGTTGGAAAAAGGCGTAAAATGAAACAAACAAACAATTGGATGAGACTTTACATTGAGCAATGAGGTATTTTTTCAAAAAAAGGATAAATGGTATCAGTTCTTAACACTCATTTTTTTATTTATTTATTTTTTCATTTTAGGTTTCTACCATTACAAAGTTGAAAGATTTTCTGCTAGAGCATAGAAAAGATTATGTGAATGCTGGCAGGTATTGAATTAGTTTAAACATTATTTAGATCATTTAAACTTATGAAGAAATCTTGTAGACTATTTGAAGTACTCTCTTGGTCTGCTTACTTGAACTAACAAGTTCAGGTTGTATATCAGGGAACATGATTGAGACCCCTGTAGAGCTTGAACCCAGGATCACTTAATTGAGATGCAATAGGCCACCATTCCCTGTAATGTATTACATGGCATTATATTATCTCAAACTTGTTTCTTAACTAAGGCCCCCATGATTACACGTTTAAACGGATTCGTTTCGATTTTCATTCATAAACGTTTACGATTTTGTTTACCGTTTAATCGAAATGACCATATTGTCTTACAAAATTTCTTAATCATTGCCTGTAATCATGGATTTTATCAATTCTAGTGGTTTATTCCAAAGTAAACAAACGGAAAATGGGTGTTTACAACCCTCCACACAGTATTACCGTGCAAAATTGCTCGTGACATAATACATTTTTGGTAAAAAATGGGGTTACAATGCAAAAAATGTGTGCTGACTCAATCGTGATGAGCCTTGCACATTCTTTATTTGTACATGTATTAAAAATAGAAAGAAAGACATCATTTGGCGACTCAAGTACATGGTGTGTATAGTACATAGAGGTACCACCGTTTAAACGGTATCGTCTCGGTTCTTAGCAGTCGTGTAAACGTTTACAAAAAAATTGTAAACGTGGGAGCCTTATTCTTAACAATGTTCAATAGGAAAACTTTTTTTTTCATAATGATTATATAATAGATTATTTAGAGTTTCTCATTTCTGAAAAAGAGCCCTTCTAATAGCCAATTTTTTGTTAAGAAAATCTCAATTACTTGTAAACCATACAGTAAACTTTATTTAAATTTTGCATACAGGTGTCCTTTAAGGTATATAACTGATGTTGTCAATTTTATAGTTCATTATAGTGCCCATTAAGGGGCTCATACCTTAAATCTTTGTACATGATGTAAGACTTTATCTTGTATATATTTATAAATTGCAGTCACTTGACGGGAGAAGCATCTCGTATGACAGATAGGGAGAGGGAACATATTGATACTGAAGCTCAAAATATCATTAAAAAATGTCAAGACAGTCTAAATACTGTGAAGAAAAATGGTGAGGTCATAAAAGGAAGAGCCTCCCTACCTTTCTGCTTTTTATACTACTGGCCATAGAAATATTTTTTTCCGGCATTTTCTAAATCCTTTCGTTATTAATACAATGTATACAAAAAATATAAAATGATATAAAATAATAAAAAATATACAAATGTATAGAGAAGAATAAAAAATTTCTACTTACTAAATGAAATAAAATGCTTGCTTGCATAATATCATTTTGTTCATCTCATTCAATAAATTCAGTATTGAACCTTTACTCATTCAATATTCTCTACATATAATGAAGAATTATTTTTGTTATGTTAATATAAACTTATTATTTATAACTAAAATTGTTGTATTTTTATGATTTATGATTTTAGCTGAAGGTGAGAGGGTACATCCTCAAGTGAAGGAACACAGGGAGACAGTTTTAACTTTAATAAACAACTATCTTAAAGGTATAAACTATTTCTTGCTAACTATGTCTTTATTGCCCTTTGGTTTAATTCATTTCATTGTTTTTATCAATATGATTTCAGAATTATGTTTACGTATGAAAGTAAGTTAGTTATCAATAGATAGGTTATCAGGTGCTTAGGGTGCCTAGTTTTCAATGTTGACATGTAATATGATTCTTGAATAAAACCTTTTTACTATAAAGATATATTGAGAAAAAAATAATTGATCAAAAGAGGGAGACAAAAAGAAAGAAGTATAATTAAAAAAATTTGTTTAAATGATGGTACGTTTTTTTTTAAACTTAATATGTTTTTTCCCCTTAATTTCTATGCCTGTATTTCTAGTGCTAGATGTTCAAATATCACTGGGTGATATAAATATTTATGATTTTGCTGTTGTCACAATTCATTTTACTCCCCAAGGAACCTAGTTTTATAATTCAAAAATCCCTCCCCCAACTTCCCATGCTAACCAGAACACAAACATGCACAAAACAAGAAAAACGAATGGAATGATTAGTAAATTAATAATTTTTCATTGCATTTCAGTTGTGTGTAAGATATATAGTGAACAGCGGGCAGTCAGAGTGAAACGAGTTGTGGATAAAAAAAGAATGTGAGTAGAGATGTCATCCATAGAAACAGTATTGATATATCATTGATATTTTTCTGTCGATCAATTATCCATATACATTTCAAAAAATCGATCATTTTGACTAATTATTTAAATGTCTAGAAATTATGAAAATCTCACCCAAAATATATACAGAACCTGGGTTCATATTTAACCTTATAATGTTGCTGTATAGTGGAAATATTTCAAAAATAGAATGGTCTGGAAAACAGTCATGCAATGGGCTGAAGTAATTCATAATCAACACACTGTAAAGAACATGTTTTTAACTCTGAAATCATGTAAACAGGTATGAAAGTGAATGACAGACAAGTAATTATAAGTAATTATCAATATATCGGTGTGTCATAGATATTTGTCATCGGATATTGATGAATTGTTGATATGCTTTGCACTGAATCAATGACAGCTCTAAATGTAAGAAAGTATCTTATGAAGTGATCACATTGTTTAGTTATCATTGTTTGAACGTTTGATTATAGATTTTGGCTAAAATTAACTATAAACATGAATTTTTTTTTTATACACTCAGACAAAATATAAAATACAAAAACATTTGTTGCTTTGTTAGAAAGTAATTACTCACAGTTATCTTGTGACATATCAAATTTTACTTCTGTGCATGTTTAATAACAGTTAACAAATATGATGATGTTTTTAGACCCATTTTGTGTGGGAGAGTAGCTTTAAAAGTATTTTTTTGTTAGAAAATAAAATATCTGTTCAAGAGTTATTGCCCATAGTATTTAAGTTTTATCATCTTGATTTTTACTTTGATAACTCCTTAAGATATTTTTAGAAGAATTATATTTTTCTGGCAAATATAATATTTGTCAATAATAAGCTTGCTTTGTTTTTCAGTTCTCGTATAGAACCTGAAAGACGACTTACACGTAGATCGTCCCGGCAGATGTCCGATTCGGACAACTTGTCAGCAAATGCCCAATCAACATCAACTTTGGAGTCGGAGACTAAAAATTCTAAAAGTAAGTTTATTGCGACAGCAACGCCTCTTCCTTGACCAAGTATTTTAATGTTATGAAACATTTATTTTACATATTACATGTATATACAAATGTACATATAGTTTCACACAGTCATAATTACTCTTAGCTTTTGAACTGACTTCAATATTGAATTTTTTATGCCCCCACAATGTGGGAGCATATAGCGTTGCACTTGTCCATCCGTCCGTACGTACGTCTGTCCGTCCGTACGTCCCAAAATCTTGTGAACGCAACTCCTCTTAAACCGGATGGCAGATTTTGCTTAAACTCACAGGCATTAATAACCTTAATGTGTAGATGGTAGTAAAGGAAGGAATTTTTGCTGCGACCAAATTTAACAGAATTATGGCCCTTTGTTGATTTTTTCACTATATACTAGGTAGAAATTTTGTGAACGCAACTCCTCTTTAACCGGATGGCAGATTTTGCTTAAACTTCAAGGGATTAACAACCTTAATATGTAGATGGTAGTAAAGGAAGAAATTTTTGCTGCGACCAAATTTAACAGAATTATGGCCCTTGGTTGATTTTTTCACTAAATACTATGTAGAAATTTTGTGAACTCAACTCCTCTCAAAACTTTCTTTCATACCAGACAGGATTATCTACTGTTAACATTGGTGCTAGAAAAACTCTCACCCCCCATGTAAGACAATTTGCATGCTTTAAATGACATCATTCCTGCACTTCTTTTTATGAATGAATTGCAATCTTAGAATGATGTCATTTTGCAGTTATGAATGAAGTTCTAAGTTCATACGCTACTGTAAGAAAAAAGTGCTGTATGAAAATATGAATTTTCTTAATTTCTTTCCAAAATATTATTAATACTTAATATGCAAGACAAAGAATCAAACACTGGCTGTCCTCACAGACAGAAATGTCTAGCTCTCGGGTAAATGTTTGGTGAAAACTTTGCAGAGCCTCAAAACCGCTGTTAACAGTAATTCTCAAGCTAAATATTCTGGTTTGTACCGGCAGCCGGTGTAAGATTTTCATAGTCTTCACATACCATTAAGTTAGAGGCTCTTTTAATCTTCAAGAGATTTTTGGGTTTTTTTAACTTGATTGTTTGAAAAATAGACCATCTAAGTCACAGTGTCATCAGAGTTGGTGTAGTATTTGGTTTAAACTGAAGATTACCACTTATTCACTTGCAACTTAACTGTAAAATATGACTTTTTGAAGTCCTAATTGTAGGTCATTGTCCATGTACCCTAATTTTATGTTGATATTGACTGAATCATACCCCTTATATATAAACTTACAGGGTTGTCATTAAGAGGTGGCTGAAGACCAGTAAGACTGTTGTGGGCTTTTTAGGCTGTCTCTAAACTTAGAAAACAATCTTTGTAGTAATTGTATGTGATAAAACCAAAAAATGTCAGTCTCAAATTCAAAATGGACAGTTTAAGAGAATTTTTAATGACTTCTTGAAGCTAAGAAAGAAATCTTAGTCAAAAGTTATGCATGCAAGATCTATGTACTCTTAAAAAGGTAAGTTGTTTAGGAAGAAATCACAATTAAATATATGCAAGCAAGATATGTGTACTCTTAAAAGGGCAAGTTGTTTATCTGAATGTTGTATTATTTGTTGAATAATTATTGGTCAAGATGTATATTGTATATAACTATTTTAACAGAACCAGCAAGGAGAGTGCCGAGTGAAGAACGACCTAGTTTTAATGACAGTGATGAGGAGATATCCCCTGAAGAAGCTCAGATGGTAAATTGTTTTGTTGACATAATCTATATTCTGACAATATGTTCTCTTTTCTCAATTTTAGTTGGTAAAAAGGGCACACTTATTTCTTACAGTGTTTAAACTCTGTAACTCAATATCTGTCATTTTATAATTAGTGACATGAAACATTAGTGCATTCTTTGATTCTAGTAGCATTTAAAATGAGTTTACTCTTTATATTTTTTGTTGTTTTTACGTAATTGGGTTTTAAGTTGAAAAATTAATGCACTTTTATTGTTTGATGATGACTTTCAAGGGTGATTGTTTGAAGCTAGCTAGAAAGCTTCCTAAAATGAAATAATACAAACAAGGGCAACATGGCCGTAATATACGCCCATCACAAATCTTTTTGACATAGTTGTGGGCATTATAGATATGCATATAGAAGATATGCCTTGGGCAATATCCGGACAATACCTAGATATTCTATCATTTCTATTGACCTTGGCATTGCATATATTGGCCTTAAGTGTCACAGCTGTAGTAATGATAATGACCATTTGTGTTTCAATCCCTAAATAAATGATGACTAAAAAGTTATTATACTTATCTTAATAATTTTACCTGAACTTTGACCTGTATGTGTGACCTTGACCTTGGCTGCAGGAACCTGAATTTTACGCGCAAAACTGCCGAGGGGAGTTCCTATAATACAACCAGTTTTCAAAAACAGGCATATGAGAGATGGTGCTACATATATGAAATTAAACCCACTTTTGGTCTCATTTTTGCTCTCATTAGCCAGATTGGGTATAGTTAGGTATTGGTAATCAAATGTTTTTAACATTGGCAGGCAAACAGGATTTCTTTTATAATGCCTTTCAGATAATGTCATTAAGAATGGAAAGAAGTGAAGATTAAGCAGTATGTTATAATTAACTTACTAATAAATGATTATTTTTTGGTTGAAAAAAATGCTTTTTTATTTGGTTTTTTTTTTTTCAGTTTGAAGAAGAAAATAAGAGTATTTTTGAAGAGATGAATAGCTTGTCTGAAGAAATTAGGTAAGTTGGACATGTTTGCTTGGTTTTTTATGCCGATTTTAACATACTTTGATCATATCTCAGTGGTCTGTCCAGTTTACCAGCTTTCCTGGATAACTAACTTCCCTGGATAACTAACCATTAAATACCAACTTCTTAGCAAGTGACTGACTACTAACCCCATATGATTTCTAAATCAGTGGTGAGGGACAAATGACCATTACACTAGATGTTCGAGATTTACAGAAAAAGTTTGCCTTGGCTAGCCCAGGGAGGGAACTCTCCCTTCTTCAGCGAAGTTGTACCTTCAGGATAAGAGATCTTTTATAAGGCCATTGTGACCAGACTGGGGCATTTGTGGCAGAGTGGTGAGGGACTTCAAACCACTTTCCCCACACAACTGTGGGTTCAAATCCAAACAGAGACTTTGGATTCTTTCATGTGAGGAAACTATCCAACTAACTTATGGAATGTCGGTGGTTCTACTATGGTGCCTGTTCGTGCCTGAAATAATGCACGGAAGGGCACCTGAGGTCTTCCTCCTGCAGTAAAGCTGGAATGTCACCATATGACCTATACTGTGTCGGTGTGATGTGAAACCAAATCAAACAAATAAACATGTATCATCTACAGCTTTGTTACCATTTTAGCTCGACTATTCTATAAGAATAAGTAGAGCTATTGCAGTCACCCGAGCGTCTGCGTCGGCGTAACCACTTATGTTAAAGTTTTTGTAATAGTTCAAATATTTTCAAAGTCCATTGACATATGGCTTTGAAACTTTGCACACTTATTCACCATCATGACCCCAACCTGTAGACAGGAGGAGGTAACTCTATCTAGCATTTTGACAGAATTATGCCCCTTTTTTGACTTAGAATTTATGTTAAAGTTTTTGTAATACCTTAAATATTTTCCAAGTCCATTGACATATGGCTTTGAAACTTTGCACACTTGTTCACCATCATAACCCAACTTGTAGACAGGAGGAGGTAACTCTATCAAGCATTTTGACAGAATTATGCCCCTTTTTCGACTTAGAATTTATGTTAAAGTTTTTGTAATACCTCAAATATTTTCAAAGTTCATTGACATATGGCTTTGAAACATTGCACACTTGTTCACCATCATTACCCCAACCTGTAAACAGGAGGAGGTAACTGTATCAAGCATTTTTTTTTTTACTATCAAGCACTAAGAATAGTCAAGCGTTGCTGTCCTACCGACAGCTCTTGTTACCTAAATTATAAGCTCAAAAGAAGATCTCTGGTTCTACTCAGGTGCCTGTTTGTGCTTGAAATAATTCATAATCTTAAGAGAGGCATTTGCTGCCTTTAATCCACCAAATAGATTGCAATAGCTATGAATTTTACAGTGTCTAACCAAAATAAAGGTAGTGGGAAAATTCCTTGTAAAATTTTATTATTCTTTGGAAAAATTCAGCAGAAATTTTCAGTTTTAATGTGTCTATAATAAACATGTATAATTATATAAAGGTTTATTAATGATTATCGGAGAAATGTCATATAAATACATAATTATAAAAGTGTTAAATTATATGTTTTTCTTTAGACAGTGAAACTATTTTAAATATATGTTGATTGAACCTTTTCTATTTTTCAGTAAAATTCAAGGAAAAGTTGTTGAAATTGCTAGTTTACAAGAAATTTTTACAGAAAAGGTTCTACAGCAGGTAAGTAAACATTTACAATGTTAGATTTGCTTTACCAGTATAAAGTTGCCTAAGGATGCACATATGTGCCGTATACTCGCGCAAGACTGGACATATGTGCACATGGTTCGCACGGGCCTTGAAAAGTCCTTGCATTTGGTTTCAACCTTGAAAAGTCCTTGAATTCAGGGTTGCCTTGAAAAAACACTAAAATTGTCCTTGAATTTCAGTAAACCCCCTTGAATTTCGGTAAAATGCCTTGAAAATCCAAAAGGGTATAAAACCTGTCGCTGTAAAGGTCAGGCAAATTTTCCACTACAAATCGGACATGTGAACGAAGGCAGCCCGATCGAGTGCGCCCATTTCGATCTGTTTTAGTAGTGTTTAGCCAGCGTTACGGTTTTGGCACGGATTTTAACAAGCACTTGTGTATGACGTCATCGCAAATTGTGTACAAAATGTCAGCTTCCATTGCGAAGTAAAAAATGGGAAAATACACTAAGAAATGTACGTTTCAGCTCAAATGGCTTCAACAATACAGTTGGGTAAAACAAGTTATACAAGACCCACGAAAAGCACAATGTACCATGTGTATGAAAACCATCGATTTGTCGCAAATGGGAGAGAGTGCATTAACATCGCATGCGAGGGGTGCAAAGCACCTAAAAAATCTAGACATCAAGTCGTCAAATTTCTCAGAAAAGGACAGACTGGATGCATTCCTAATGGACATTCTTGTGAATGATAGCTACCCTAAATTAAGGGCTTTGGTGAAAATTGTCTTGGTGATCTGCCATGGTCAAGCAGATGTCGAGAGAGGGTTCTCGATTAACAAGGAGATGACAGTAGAGAACTTAAAGCAACAGTCTCTTGTAGCTCAGAGGATAATCTGTGACCATGTAACACATGTTGGTGGTGTCCTGGAAGTGCCATTAACTCAGCAGCTAATGGCATCAGTCCCTGCTGCATCATCTAAATACAAGCTGTATTTAGATAAACAAAGAGAAGAGAAGATGGCAGCTGAGAGGCAATTGAAGAGGAAGTCTGACCTTGATGCTATTGAAGATCTCAAGAAAAAGAAGGCAAGACTTCAAACTGATATCACCATTCTAGAAGAAAATCTGAAAAACTGTTGGAAAGGCTGAGAAAACTGGAAAAATAACATTTGTGACTGAATCAAACATTCTAAGAAAGGGCTTCAAAGAAAAAGAAACTGGAAGTTGAGGAAATTGGAAGAGAAATCCAAAAAAGAAAGGAAAAACTAGATAGAGTTGTGTGAATTTACTCAATCACCTATATGTTACAGTTTTGGTGTTCATATATTCTACTGACTGTGCTGATTTTCTAAATATAGTCACTGTTTTGCAATTCTAGTCATTTGAACCTTAAATTGAAATACACATGTTTTATTTACATGTTTTATATCACAGATATGGTTGTAAAAGTATAATTTTAAATAAGATCAATTGCAATAAAAATGTATATCACAGATATGGTTGTAAAAGTATAATTTTAAATAAGATCAATCGGGAAAAAAATGCCTTGAAAATGACAATTTTACCTTGAAAAGTCCTTGAATTTTGATTTGAGAATTTGGTATGAACCATGGTGCAGTATTGTTGGGGAATGCAGCACATATGTGCAATATATTTGGACAAGGCTGCACATATGTGCAATATTGAATTGGCAAGGCTGCACATATGTGCAATATTGAATTGGCAAGGCTGCACATACATGTATGGTTGTGCAAGGCAGCACATATGTGCAATATACTCGGGCAAGTCTGCACATATTTGCAGTATACTCGAGCAAGGCTGCACATATATGTGCATTATTGAATTGAAAAGGGCTGCAAGTATGTGCAGTAGTCCAGCAAGGCTGCACATACATGTATAGGGTTGTGCAAGGCAGCACATATGTGCAGTATAACCCGCCCTAACGGTACCTCAGTGTCATTGGGTTGTTGACAGTCGTTTTATGACATTCCTTCCAAAAATCCTTTTTAAATGCCTAAATGATTACTTAATGTCATATTAACATGGATTTCATCCATAAAACATTATCAAGATTTTAGCTTGCTTAATTCAGTTGCTTTATAAATAGTTTCCTGGGTTTGTTTCTGATTAGGAGAGTTTATATATAAAAAAATGTGAAATGACCACAATCTTTTATATTATAAGAATATATTGTATTTTTGTTATAACTGTTTGATGGTGTTTTTTATTTTTCAGGAAGAAGATATTGTTAAGATTGCTGACCAAGCTGTTTTTACAACAGAAAATATCAAGGGAGGTAATGAAGAAATAAGAGAGGTAATTAATTTATTGATATAATTTGTGTGTGGTAAAAATTAGTTGTTATTTCTCTCTGGCAAACATATTTACTAATAATGATTAGGCAGAATATTCATTTTTTTGGACACTGATTTATTTTTAAGTTTAATGAAAAAGATAAAATAAAGGCATAAGAATAAACAAAGATAAAAATTTTATCCTTTATTTAGTTTTTGCCCTTAGAATAGTAAATTTGGAAAGAAAATCTACCTCATGAGGGTCATTCAAAGTTTAAGACCCTGACACCATGAATCCTTTTCCAAATCTGAATTGTCAGATTTTAAACAAACATGCTTAGAATTTTTATATTTTTGGAATCATTATTATCATAACTGATTTTTATGAAATACATTGCAGGCAATGAAGAAGAATGCTGGTTTCCGGGTGTGGATTTTATTTTTCTTGCTAGTTCTCACATTTTCCCTCCTTTTCTTGGACTGGTATAGCGGTTAATTTACCAGGATTGTGATTATTCAAAGAAATACATTAAACCAGTCAAATTGGTGTTGTAAGGTGATGGAAAGTGCTAGACTACCAAACTGCTATAACTGATAAGACATAAATGACAAAGGGCTGGACCCTTCTAAATGTGTGGAAATGTTACAGATTTGCCTTGCTATTGGCAATCATGGAACTAGCTATCAGCTATGATTGAAATCTGCTTTGGCTTACATGTAACAATCTTTTGTCCAAGGTTGAAAGCAAACTGTTTACATTGATTTGAACATGTTTTCTTGCTGGCTTGAAAATTGTAATTGGAAATAATATTTACAAGTGTCTATCTTTTACAAATGGTGAGGGCCAATGTTGGAAATGCCTGTCCACTGACAAAGTTATTAAGTAAGAATTGACTTTTTTACTTACAGCCTATCTTGCTTTTTGCTGAGAAGAATAAGAGAGTGAGGATTTTATAAAACAGCTATAATTTCATGTCTGTGTCCATGTTATAACGGCCATGATAACTTGTATTGAGTGTCTTAAAATGTTTTGTTATGTATAGGTTATTTATAATAATTGAATGTAATTTTAAACAGTTGTAAAATAAAGTGCAATAAATTAAAAAGACCACTATGTGATTGTTTCTAGCTGACAAACATTAAATGTTTACATTTTGTGAATGCTTGTACGCAATAACGCAGGTCTTTAGCTAGAAGGACACCAAGTGACCTCATCACTTTGTCCGTGCGATAATAAACCCACTAGAAAACAGCTGCATTGTGAATATTGTTATAAAAGACTGACAGGTAAATGTGCATTGTCATCAAAACTTGTCATTCAGTGAATGTGCATGAACAGATGGTGCATGTAATATGGCCGGTTTTTTTTTGCCGAGTTTTTTTATATGGATTGAATAATCAGATAAGTGGCGGCGTGGCCAAGTGGTTAACGCGTCGGACTAGTAATCTCAGAATAGCTGACCGCGTATGTACAAACCCTAGGGTTAGCAGCAAGAAACTACATGCATTGCTTAGTACCAGTTTGTTCAAGGAACGGATTCGAGAGTTTTTCAATAAGCTTATAGCTTCCAACACAATCGAACCAAAATAAATTTGTATAAACTAATTTGTATAAAATAATCAGATAACGCTTTGTGTCCACTAAATACCGGTATTTGGTTTCTATCTATAACATTAGCCTGTGCCCTCAAAATTCAAATTCGCCTGCCAGTGCCAGCTCCAAGCCGGAATCTCGCGCGTAAGCGCTGCGTATAAAGTTCACGTCTCTCCCTCCATAATTCGTACTGGCGTTAGGACCCCACCCATTTAAATTTTGCTATTCCTTAGTGTCCGTTGCGTCATGAATAGGTCTGCAATTTCGCCATCAATTACCGCTTATTATGCCAATAATATTCGTTTTTTATTTTGGTTTAAAGTCATTTTTGCCTATAATGTACGTTTTCGACTACACTGAACATGTATAAGATTAGTGATGCTAATTTTTATCTGCGGGTTAAAATTCGCTAGCTTTAATGCTTCGTATCAGACTTCCAATTCAAATATACATCTGTGTCCACAAACGTTCTGTTAAATGTAAGCTTACTGACATGTAGTATATAGATAAATCATATTCTATAACTAAAATTCGCTTAATCTCTTGAAATTCTATTGATCACTTTATCTGTTAAACAAACAGCATTTTTAATAATTGCAAAGCAATATATATATATTTATTATATATATATTAATATATATATATTATTATATATATATATATATATATATATATATATATATATATATATATATATATATATATATATATATATATTATATATAACTTCTGATTATAATTTTTTCAAAATATTAGTAGTTAAAGGCTAAGCAATGAATATTGCGAGAAGAAAAACATTTTTTTACTGGTTTGTTATCTTAATTGAAATTAGTTAATGATGTCAAATACATGTGAATTATAGATACATGTAATGCACCGAGTACGGAAACGTTTAAGGGCCTCCATTTAGTGCGATCATGAGGTGTAGATCATGAGGTGTAAGGCGACTGATTTTTGTTCGATTTGATCAGATGTTTTAACTTGGAACAATTCTATTTATTCACAAAGACTAGACCATTTTTTGTCATTCTTAGTCACTTTTTCTCCTTGGGCAAATCGATATCTTTGTCAAAAAGACAAATGTGTTTCAAAAGTCGAAAGGATACCTTTTTGCCTAGACAAAAACTTCAAGCATATCGAGAAAAAACGGTCTTTTTATTTATTGTGAATAAAATAAACGGATTTGTGTTAAAACGTCATATTAAATCGAATGAAAATAAGTCGTCTTGCAAATCATAATCTCACTTATTGGAGGCCATTTAACGTTTCCGTAGCTGAGAAAAAAATCAAGAATACGGATCTTTCAAAATTTTATACGAATAAATATTCATCAAAATGTCCCACCATTGTAATAACCCTCCATTAATTGGATAAATATACATTACAGATCTATTTTTTAGCAAATACCGACGTCTCCTTCATCGATCACTTGCACTTTTAAACACGAAACAACGTAGCCAAATTATCATTCTAAGAATCGATGTAAAAAAAAAATGTGAAAAGTAAAATACATGTTCATGTTAATATATTTCTAACTTGCATAAAAATGTTTAAAAAAACACTTTGGCTGCCTAAAAACGAGGTCATTACTAGCAACAGTCCACACGGATATCATTTATCAATTTACACAAGAGAGACATGCCTCCAACCGGTACGAAGAATTTTACTCAGCAATTTCCGTACCACCGCATACTCCTCATCATACGCATGGTTCACGTTTTCCTCGGGGTCAATTTTATGGTCATACAATTCGATTCCCTCAAGTTCGTTCCATTTTGGTTTAAACTCTGGTGAGTATTCAAACTTTGGCCACTCGGTGTACCTGAATCGGTCCGTTCTTAAACTATAGCCCATGGTTTTTATTTCACCATTTCCTTTCTTCACTGTTCTTGGATACTGAGAAAAAGAGGCAACCTTGATGGGTTTATCGGGCTGCGCAATTAGCGGCATTAGACTTGAGCCCTCTCGGCACAGTGCTGTTTCCCGGGAGTTGTTTGGACATATCGGGAGCGGATTCAAACCGGCTGCGTCCACTAATGTAGGAAAAAGGTCCACAAATTCTGTTAGTTGATCAGTTTTGATACCTTTATCAGTAAGCCCGGGTACATGTATCATCATAGGCGCATGGGTCGCCAGTTCGAAATTGGTTTGCTTGCACCATTCCCCGTGTTCTCCCAACTGGTAACCATGATCACCCCAGAACGAAACAATCGTGTTGTTTGCCAAACCGAGATTCTCGAGTTCTGCCAACACGCTTCCAACCAACGAGTCTGTATAGGTCAGTGCACTATAGTAGGCGCGCCTTAAGTTTAACACGACATCATCCGGAAGTGTCGTGTTGATTCCACCACTTTTATGCAAATCATGGATGTCTTTGTATCCTCTAAGACCACCGTAACTATACCACGCAGCTTCCGGCATATCAACAGGCGCGTAAGGGTTGTCTGGTAACTTAACAGTTGGATAGTATTTTAAGAAAGACTTTGGAAACACAAACGGTAAATGAGGCTTATGGAAACCAGCGGCGATGAAAAAGGGTTGTTTGCCGGATATTGCAGCCGGTGCTAGTCTTTTCAATGTTTTAATCGCCTGGTCGGCAATCTGCTGGTCTCGAAGCGGCTGGTTCACTATTAAGTCGTCTGGAACTGCGTTCCAACTTTTATTTTTGCCTTCAAAGTTAGCAATGCCGTGGAAATATGGCTCCGACCAGGAAATAGGATCGTCTCCGCCCGAAGCCGGACCGGGATGGAATATTTTACCCATTCCAACTGCTCGGTAACCATTCATCTTGAAATATTCTGGCAATGTCGTAAAATTGCCACCAACTTTTCTGAAGTACGGTCCAATTTTCCAGACATGGGTTGTATCCGGGCGTCTTCCTGTGAGCAATGACGTCCGACTTGGCGAGCAAAGCGCCTCCTGGACGTATGCTCGCTCTAACAGCAAACTACGTGATGCTAGTAAGTCTAAATTTGGTGTATGCATCTTGGGGGACACTGGTGCCGGGTAGTCTTTTCCCGCATACGCCCCAAGCTGCGGGCGCATGTCGTCTGCTACCAAGAATAGAACGTTCTTTCGCGCGTAACATAATGTAATCAGCAATAAGATAGTGTTAACAACGAAAACATACATGTACATCCTGAAGATAGCAATACAACATTTAATTATGAATAGCCCAATATTTATGTCAAGAAATGAATATAATAATTCCACCTTTGCACTATGCATGAATAATTCGTCATGCTTGTATCATATGATATTATTATAGGAAACAAAAGTTAAATATTCCGGAAATAAGCTGGATAAAACTTAGTTTAAGCTGTCCTCATCACGCGCATTGATTTTCGTCTAAATCCTCTCGGCTGCTTCAACGTAAAAAAGTTCGTCTGCTCGTCAAGGGCGTATATATTATATATAATATACATGTTAATTCGTACATTTTATCCTTCATTTCTATTTTTTCTAAATTTCTTTTAACTAAAAACCAATCATTACTACCTTTTAATCGTTACGAAAACAGTGCTTATAATTGTTAAAATATTTTCATTAAAATAAATTTTAAAGATCATTCATTCATATGAACAATCAAATTTTCAGCTTTAAAGTTTTTAAAGTCATACTGCAGTATAGTCTACTGTCGAGTTGTTTTCATACTTTTTTTTAATATGTACTATTGATCTACTAATTATTGTTGAATGATGAATTAGATTCATGCAAGGTTTAGTGATCAAGTAAAGTGTGTATACTGTATTGCTCTGACAAAAGTCGCTATTTTTGTATTCCGAAGGTCAAGCCCACTTCCGAAGGTCAAGACCAATTCCAAAGGTCAAGACCATTCGTTAACATAGGTTACACTTTGTTGAATGAGCTTCCACAAAGTAAAAGAAATATTAAGTCTTTTAGTAAGTTCAAGGTGACTATAAAGACTCATTTTATGTGTAAATAGAGGATATTGAATGAGTGTAGGTTTAATACTAAATTTATTGAACGAGTTGAATAAAATCATATTATGCGAGCCTCTGGCGAGTCAAAAGCTATACATAGCTTATGTTTTGTAAAATGTTATATATATACCGACAATAAATAAATTTTGATTTGATTTGATTTGAAAAAAAAAGCATAATATTGTTTTATTCAACGAGTTCAATAAATTTAGTATTGAATCTACACGAATATAATATTCTATTTATCACATATATAAAATAAGAACGGTAAACTGTTAACAAGAGTCATTTTTCTTTGACGCGCTTATAGTGTAACGCTAACATTAGCGCGCTTAAATAACGCTATGTTTATAGTGCAAATGACGTGACGTCAAAGTGTTATTACACTAGTGTAATATCGTCTAGTGTAATATTGTTTTTATTAAATGGCTTTATTACACTCCTGCGCCGTGGTTTATGTGATAAATTACTTTTATTTGTCTGTTTTTTAAATTATGTTTAGAATTAAACATTCTTTTTTATTAAAATGAATTTAAATATTGAATGTTTATTTCTTTGTAATGCAAACTTCTCTCAAAGAAGGATTGAACGTACATGTATAAAGTATGAATTTAATCATAAACTTTAAAGTTTTGTCTTCATTATTCTGTGTTCATCATATATAATTTCCTGTTTTATTCACTTATCATTCACCTTTAGTTTACTTTCCAAAGTTGGTGATTTAATTAAAGATGTTATCTTTTCAATTACGTGGAGTTTAATTGAATATCTTGCAAAAGTTCCTCTGGCGACTATGAACAAAAGGAATGTATATGATTTAATAATGGGGTAGACCTGAACAGTCCAAAGTGATCAATGTAAATAAACAAATTATCTATTAATAAATCGGAAAAAAGTTCATACTGATCAAAATAAATAAGACATTAATTACAGTTCTCGTTTTTATGATAATAAAACGCTACATCCGTGTGTTTGACATAGAAAAGTCCATTATTTGCATACTTACTTATAAACTAGTAATACGGGTGTGTTGGCAATATTTCAGATGTAACCAACCATGAAATATAAGTGTTTTAAACTTTCTTATTTATGTTTAAAATTAAAAGTATATACCTTAAAACTTCTTAAAATTCTCGAAAAGTGTTGGTACAATATATAAATAATATATTATGTAACAAATATATATATAATTCATTTTGTACAGCGATTTTAATGATATCTTAAGCATTTAAAAAAAGAAAAATATTTACAGTTTGACTTTATTTCTTATGTAAATAAATAGAAAAGGTTAGTCACCAATACATGTACATGTACTATATATCTCTACACATGCGGTTGACTATCGTAATGTAGATTTGACCATAAGGGGTATAATTAGTGTGCACTACTATTACTTACACATACATGTATATTTTTCTGTCTGTTCATTGAAGTGGACAATACAAAATCGAGATAAAAGGAGTGCAAAGATCAAGTGGGTGGTGTTAATTCACGGGTCACACATATTTATTTATTATATTGTTGGAGATGTATTCATCGTAGAAAACAATGGAAAGAATGTATATTTTCATAAGCACGGTTCTATTGTTGTTTACAGTATGTTACGCGCGAAAGAACGTGCTATTCTTAGCAGCAGACGACATGCGCCCGCAGCTAGGCGCGTACGCCGGGAAAAACTTTCCAGCGCCGGTTTCCCCCGAGATGCACACTCCAAATTTGGACGGACTAGCTTCACGTAGTTTGCTGCTTGAGCGAGCTTACGTTCAAGAGGCGCTTTGCTCGCCAAGTCGGACGTCATTGCTCACAGGAAGGCGCCCGGATACAACCCGCGTCTGGGAAATTGGGCCGTACTTTAGAGATGTTGGCGGCAATTTTACGACATTGCCAGAATACTTCAAAATGAACGGTTACAGGGCAGTTGGAATGGGTAAAATCTTCCATCCAGGAAAAGCATCAGGTGGCGACGATCCTATTTCCTGGTCGGAGCCATATTTTCATGGTATAAACAACTTCGAAGGCAAAAATAACAGTTGGTTCGCCGTCCCCGACGAATTGTTAGTAAACCAACCGCTTCGAGACCAGCAAATAGCAGACCAGGCGATAAAAACTTTGAAAAGACTAGCACCGGCTGCAAAGTCCGGAAAACAACCTTTCTTCATTGCTGCTGGGTTCCATAAGCCCCATTTACCGTTTGTTTTTCCGAAGTCTTTCTTGAAATATTACCCCACAGTAAAATTACCAGACAATCCTTACGCACCAGTGAATATGCCGGAGGCTGCGTGGTTTAACTACTGGACCCTCAGAGGCTACGAGGATATTAAAAAATTACATAAAAGTGGGGCAATCAATACAACACTTCCGGATGATGTCGTCGTAGAATTAAGGCGCGCATATTACAGCGCCATTTCCTTCACAGACTCGTTGGTTGGAAGCGTGTTGGCAGAACTCGAGAATCTCGGCTTAGCAAACAACACGATTGTATCTTTCTGGGGTGATCATGGTTATCAGCTAGGTGAACACGGGGAATGGACGAAGCATACCAATTTTGAACTGTCTGTACATGCGCCAATGATGTTACATGTGCCGGGGCTTACTGATAAAGGTATCAAAACTGATCAACTAACAGAATTCGTGGACCTCTTTCCTACATTAGTAGAAGCAGCCGGACTGAAACCGCTTCCGATATGCCCAAATAACTCCCGGGAAACAGCACTGTGTCGAGAAGGCACATCCTTAATGCCTTTAATTGCGCAACCCGATAAACCCATCAAAATGGCCTCATTTTCTCAGTATCCAAGAACAGTGAAGAAAGACGTTGATGGTATGGACACAATGGGATATACTGTAAGAACTGACCGTTACAGATACACTGAGTGGCCGAAGTTTAAATACGCACCCGACTATAAACCGAAATGGAACAAACTCGCGGGCGTCGAGTTGTACGACCATCTAACGGATCCCGAAGAAAACGTGAATCATGCAGACGATAGCCAATATACTGCTATAAGGAAACAGTTGAGTGAACTGCTACATGCTGGATGGAGATCTGCCCAGATTGAACAAATATTCGTGTAGATGTACGTCATTAAATCAATTACTTGGGTAAAAGTGAGATCAAAGTACCAATACTGACGCTTAAATCTTTATTTTCCGCACTAACAGTCTTTTTTAGATATCTTGCAAGGAAATTATTGTCGAAAATGAGTTGATCCAAGATATTGTTGTTAAAGTTCTATAAATGAAAAGGACATAAAAATCATGTATTCTCGACATTGTTATCTTGCAAGGAAAAGTCTGACCAGTCACAATGAGTCATTGAATGAATGACAAATCAACAACTTAAATTAATGCATGCTATACACGATTAATTTGTATTGTGATTTGTGTAAACCTTATTTAACAAGCGTCTTCTTGCTTGTACTTGGTAATCTGTATACATTCATGTACATGTATGGACATTGTATATTCATTATTGTTATAATAATTTTCTTATTAAATCTCTTCAAATATTTATCAGTAAACTAAAATATATCGGTGTACCGGTAAACCGTTACAGCCCTAGAAAACTTTATGAAGGGTTCATACGTATGTATCTAGCCCATCACCACGAGTCTGTTATCATGCAACGGCGGTGTACCTCTATAACAGAGATTTAAAGTCCACTCCACGTATTAGGTAGAAATTATATGACGTAAACAATGTAGTCATTCAACTCAACCCTTTGCCTGTTGAATTTCTGAAATGGACTTGTCTGGCTTCATTTTTTTTGGAATTTTTCCATCACCTAATCTAATTTTTGGGATATCAAAATGAAAATTTAAAGTTAAATCCTTCAGCCGGACTCCGGCTACCATGGCTTTATTCTAGTGACAAGTAATTACCAATTGGATAGGTAAAGGGTGAAACTACATGCAAATTTGGAAACGAAAATGCAAAATAAATCAAAGTGTACACTAAAAAGCAATTTATTAACAATAACTAATTAAATTCACATAAATTAGATCATTGACATAAATATTATGTATCAATGTAAATTTTTTAAACTCTCTTTACATACAAACATATATTTTTTTTTATAATAATATGCCCAGTTTATCATTCTAGACAGATGTATGGAATATCTTTATACATTCTGACTTGACAATAATTTCATGCAAATCTCTAAATGATCACCTATGAAAATATCCCTCAATTAAAATTGTAAAGTAAATACCTAAAAGTATTCCAATTCTCTTAAAGTTACCATAATGTTGTATGGCAAATTTATTTTGTCCCCTTTCAAATATGCTTAAAAATGAAAAATATGTCTTCCACAGTGTATCCATAGGATGGATTCAATGTCACACTTTTTATGTGTCATAATTCAAATTAACAAGATTTTGTTCACTAAATGCACAATGTTTGCCATGTGTATTTCCCAAAAATAAGTGACCTTCTAGCATTAAGCTCTTTCATTGCCACATTTCATATATGTAAATGTTTAATGTAACTGCTAATTATATTGCCTTATGAGCTTCCAAGTTTTCCTGTAAATCAAGTGCCTAAATGACACCTTGCATTATATACATGTATTTTATTTTAAGTATTCTTAAATTTGAAAATAAGTATTCTTAAATTTGAAAATAAGTATTCTTAAATTTGAAAATAAGTATTCTTAAACTTGAAATATAGTTCATTATCATGAATAACTTCAAATTTAGACACAAAAAAACTTATTCCATACAAAATTATTGTTATGTTAAAGTTAAAAAGTTATCAAAATTAAAATTCTAGTCTTTATAGGTCACATTTTTATGGACATGTCAGTCTGTACTGTCACTTTCATGCAAACATGGCAGTGAAAAGGCCAAGTTACTATCACTAAAGATCCTGAAATTTCAATAATGTAGATCTTCAATAAATTAGTCAAGAACAAGAGCCCGGTTTGAGCCGGGTGATGCTCCCCGAATAGGTTTTGGACACAGGAAAGTACACCTCTTGTAGTTTCAGAGTTATGTCCGTGGAAAAAGTTCAAAGTGCAATAATTCCAAAATTAGGCAAGGCAGAGTTACAGTTCTTTGCACTGCACTTCTAATCAATGTGATCTATCAACCTACAAAGTTTCTTGATGATATCTCTTATGATTTCCGAGTTATGTCCTGGACAATTCAAAAAGTAAAAATAAACAAAGGGCAATAACTCCAGAATAAGGCAAGGTAGAGTTATGATTCTTGTGCACTGCACATCTACCCATTAAGATTTATCTACTTACAAAGTTTCATGTTGATATCTCTTATAGTTTTACAGCTATGTCCTGGACAAGATTTTTCTATAAGGGGAGATTATTCAAAAATAAGGCTTAACAGAGTTATGGTTCTTTTGCACTGCACCTCTACTCAATGAGATCTATCTACCTACAATGTTTCATGTTGATATCTCTTATAGTTTTAGAGTTATGCCCCGGACAAGATTTTTCTATAAGGGGAGATAATTCAAAAACCGGGCAAAATAAAGTTATGGTTCTTTGACACTGCACTCCCCCTCGATGCACTGTACCACTGTATGAAGTTTCAACAAATTATCTCCAAGGGTTTTCAAGTTATGTTCCGGACAAAGTTCAAAGTATTAAAATTAACAAAGGGCAATAACTCCAAAATTAGGATGAAAAGAGTTATTGTTCTTATGCACTGCCATACATGCCATATTTCCAGCCACCCAGATAGGGGGATTTGGCTTTAAAAAGCAGGGGATTTGGACCAAAAGTAGGGGGATTTTTAAGCAAGCGCAAACCAGTCGTAATCTTAAAACGACGCAAACATTTAATTAAATTTCCCCCATTTTATTATGAAAATGAACATTTCTACAAGATCATTTGATATTTTCAAGTTTTAACATACATGACTGTAAAAGAATAATATGTAAACAAATGCAAATAAACAAAGGTACTTTAAATATTTGATGTAAATAAAATAAGAATCCCTGTAAAACAAATACATGTATAATTAATTGCATGTATATCATATAAAATACATTTTTATATCAGATATATATTGAATCATTTTAGTACAAATAACTTGAATTTGATGCATTCAAAATCATTAAAATAAATATACTTTAACAGCCAAAGTTTTTTCTCTTTAAATGAATGGTAAATATTTTTCTTTTTAAATGAAAGGTTTCAGAGAATTTTTGTAGGCATAGAAAGGTGTAATAAAAAAATGCTGTCTTAAAAATTTTCTGTTGACACTTCATAAACAGTAAAAAAAAAAAAAAAAATCTGACACAAATCTTAATCCATTATGTACTTCACACCTCAATTTGTTAACACACATTGATTGCCTTATATGGCAGTAGGGAGTCTAGACACTACGTCACTTGATACCTGTATGTACATGTAAACTGTGTAATTGATGCAGGGTTGTGTAAAGGTTTTTTGGAGTGTACTGACTACTGGATAATAATTGGACCTAATTATTTTGGCCCTTTGGGTGTTAAAACGGGTATTATTTATTATTTATCTGATTGAAACGGATTTTTACCTCTTTCAATCCCTCCTCAGTGTTTGTTGCTTACTGTGAGACAAAGCTAGTTTATATTATTTTTGCAACAACATAGATCACATTTACATAAAAAATAATAGTTTCAAACATTGCTAATCTGTGATTCTTTGAGATTCTATTGCCAGATCATTATTTTTTTATCTGCACTTATCAACTTCAAAGACCCAATGCCGACAACAAACTCAAGGCGGGGTTACATAGCCCAACAAAAATTGATACGTCACACATTCAGTATCGCACGCTGTCATTGGTTAAGCACCTGCAATACTGACACTGATTGACAGGTTTATCAAAGGAGAATTTGTTATTCCTTGACATCTGAAGTGTGTCGGAGTAACTAATAATACAATTATCCGTTAGACCCCTGCTGTTTAATGGGGAAATATTACTTCAGACATATATAGTTGTAAAAGTTGTTTAAGTCTATTGTTTAATTATGTTTATTGGTAAAAATGATGCTTTAATTTTTTTTTTTGGTTGAATTTTTGAAAATCGGGGGATTTCAATCCCACGGCGGGAGATCGGGAGACATGGTCGAAAATCGGGGGTGTTTGTCCCCCAGCGGGGGATATGGCATGTATGTGCACTGCACATCTACCCATTGAGATCTATTCACCTACAAAGTTTCATGTTGATATCTCTTATAGTTTTAGAGTTATGCCCGGACAAGATTTTTCTATAAGGGGAGATAATTCAAAAACCGGGCAAAATAGAGTTATGGTTCTTTGACACTGCACTCCCCCTCGATGCCCTCTACCACTGTATGAAGTTTCAACAAATTATCTCCAAGGGTTTTCAAGTTATGCTCCGGACAAGACAACGGACGGACAGATGGACGGACGTCTGGCCGAAATGGAATAAGGGGCCATTTCTTTTGTTATTTTCTATTGTTTAAGAGAGGGCCAAAGGCCCCTTACTCTATTGTTATGGAATGAACTCTATTGTTCTCTTTTGTTCTGTTTACAGTTAGATGGCCCCTTAACCCTATTCGGTAGTGCGGACGGACGGACGGACAAGGCGCCGACTATATGCTCCCCCGAAATTTTTCGGGGAGCATAAAAACAGATTTTTGTAACGTGCAACATTATTTTTAATTCTTAAGTTCTACATATCCACATAATTCTAGCGCTAGGATCCAACTGAACTGTACTAAGTGGTAAAACTGCCACTTCCTGTCCAGCCAGCACAGGTGTCTGCATCTGGGACACACCCATGCTGGACAGTCCTGCGCTCACCACTGCCTCAACTTGATTCATGCTTTCAACAGTCTGGTTCCCAACTATTTCCATTTGGCACGCTTGATTAGAAATATTCATAACAATTTGATCAGCACTTTCTGCATTAATTCCAACAACAGTTTTATCATTTGCTCTAGGACAATCTACAACTTCCTGACCTTTCATTTTTTCTTTGATATCTGCCGTCTGTTCACTTATAACGGAGCACGATATAGAACTAGTTGTTTCTAAATCCTCTTTTTTGTGAGTTAACAGATGTTTACAGAATCCTGACCTATATATAAATACTTTGTCACACTGATTACATTTAAATCTTTTCTTTTCATGCACAGAAACTCTGTGATTATGCAAAGAACCGTAACTTTTGAACTGCCTTCCACATTCTTTGCACTTTATCACATTATCACCATTATGTTTATTCTCATGCAATTTTAGTAACGATCTCGTTGGGAAAGCTTTATCGCACTGAGAACACTTATGAGGTGTTAGCCCCTCATGAACGTTAAGATGATCACGATAAAGTTCCTCATCATCGAAGGCTGCTTTACAATTACTTTTAGGGCATGAAAATTTCGCATTACTGTGCTCTGGATGAGCACTAATCACATGTTTACGTAGACTGGCTTTACGCGAAAACTGAGATCTACACAGCTTGCACGAATAACTTGCGGAATGTATCTTCATCTTGTGAGCCTCTAACTGCTCAGCATTGTCAAAATACATGTGACACTGACTGCAATGTTCAACCCCTGGTTTATGTGACTTCATATGTCTCTTCAAACACGACCGCACTGAATACACTTTTCCACATTCATCACAAGTATAATTCTGAAGTTTCTTTTCCATTTCGCTTGCCGTTTTCATGCGATACCGTTTATTTGGCTGTAAACTTACCAAAGATCCGTGACCTTTCCCCATACACAAAGCATCAGAGAGTAACTTATTTTTATTAATCACATGTATTGAATCTTCTGATTTCTGCTTGTTTCTTTTCTGTTGACCATCATTTTTACTCGGTACAACAGTTTTACCCTTTATATTGGTTGCTGAGCACAACTTCCTTTCAGTTACAGAAGGAAGTTTTGTTGTTGAAGAATTAGTTACGAGACCTGGTACCTCAGCTTTAACAAATTTGCTTCTGGCTTTTGAGTAATCTTGTATTTTGTCTGTTCCTCTTTTTTTGACACATTTTTCTGCAGGCTGTAAAATAAAGAAAAGATGTTCCAAATAGTAGATTAAACATTATCATTTATCAATATTGTACATTTATGCACATGTGTGAAATATGTGAATTAGGAGGCCTCAATGGCGAAATGTTTCGGGTTGCTTATTTTAAACCACTTCAATGCACCTCATCTCAAGAACTTTGAATTCTTCTATATGAGAGAGACTGTCCAGATAGCTGTAAAGCTGATATGTTGCCATATTGTTACCTTAATAATATAGCAACAGGTCAACTCCTTATATTATTCAATAGGAGTTAACCTGTTACAGCACTAAAGTTACAATATCAACTTTACAATAACATCTTATGCAAAATTAAATAAAATTGTTGCCGAGCCAAGTATATTCGAGACCATATCTTGTATTTCCAAGGAAATCAATACAAAATTAAAAGAGTAAAGTAAGACATTGGCAATCAATTTTCAAAACAGGTGAAAAAGTATTCCATGCTTTTTCTTCTTTTTCATAGCAAAATGTTTTTATAAGCAAAGCAAAAACTTGTTGCTGGAAACATGCAAATGCCTCCAAAGCTGGTTCATGTGCTGGTAAATTTCTAAGTTAGGTGTGACTTTGACCTTAGAGCTACAAGCCTTACACTAGGCATAATTATTTCAAAATTCATCCATGAATACAAAGTTATAGACTAGACATGACCATCTTATTATTCTAAATCATATGACTTTGACCTTGAGACTTGATTATTAACTGTACCAATCATCAATGCAATTTCTTGAAACTTTTCCATTTAATATATATGCAATGCAACTTAAATTTATTCAAATTTTTTATACATGTTACCCATATGTGAATTTTAATTATAATGAACCAGGCAAAAAGCAAACAATTGAAAAAGCTTTATGGCTTCATGCGCATAAAAACAACCAGTCATAAAAGCATAAAAGGAAAAGTGAAATATCCACAGGAAGTGAAAAAGTGTGGAAGAATAAGATGTTTTGATGATGACAATATTACAGACACATACAATTTGAATATTTTGAAAACGATGACCTTTATTTTCATCACCTTTTATATTCATTCTTTCATGATAACATAGTATACACTCTGTACTGATGGATCTTCTTCAAAAACAGTTTTTCCCTCTTCCATCTTCAATGTGCCTGCAACAGTTCTATCTATGAGTAAACCCTGATCTCGCAAGGCCTGGGCTACATCGTTACTTATCACTTGCTCCCCTGAATCTGTGGAAATCGTCATAAAACCTGTATCAACAGCGCTGTCAGCATTAACAATGTCTAACCCTGATACATCTTTAATAGAATCTGAATCACCTGCTTCCTCCTTTTCTACCTTTATATGCACATTCTGAACTTTATTTCCCACTTTGGATACATTTTGCTCTCCCTTTTTACCCAACAGAAGACGGCATTTTCTTCTATGCTTGGCAATTGATGACCTCCATTTTATAACGTAACCACATTCGCAGGTCAATGGTGACTGAGAATGGATAGCTTCCACATGCATGCTTAGATTTCTTTTATGAATGAATCTCTTGTCACAATAAGGACACGCCTCTTTTTCCTCCTCTTCTTTCAAGCAGATTTCTTTATGCTGACGTAAATTAATCGGCGTGAAGTATGTTTTGTGGCATTTATCACATTTGTAAGGCTTATTATTTAAATGAACTTTATTTTTATGGTATTCTAATGCATAGGGTCTAAGAAAAGTCTCTCCACATTGGTCGCATGTATGCCTTTTAGCCGTTTTTGTATGCTTAACACTTATATGCTCGCTTAAATTTGTGCGTCGCAAAAACGCTTTTCCGCAGAAATCACAAATATGCTTCCTCTCAGTTGGCCGCGGCTTTTGTTTTCTGAGCTTCGTTCCTAAATGGATGACCTCACAGTGATATTTCAAAGAGTCAGGACGTGTATACGCTTTTCCGCAAGTTTTACATACATATTTACGATTCACTTCCGTAAAAACCATAATATTGTGCTCTCGTTTCTTATGCAACCTGTAGACCTCAAAGTCATCGCAAATCATTTCACACTCTTCACACTGCATGCTATTGGCTGGATCTCCAGACAGCCCATGTTTATCTAATTTATGCAACGACAGAATATATTCACTTCCGTACAAAATATGACATACACTACATTCGAATGTCTCATCAAACTTCATGCCATGCTTTGTTATTTGATGGGTCTTCAGACTATGTGCCATCTTGTATGCCAAATCACACTTGTTGCACTTATAAAAATTCTTTTCGCCTTTATTTTCCATTTTATTGTTCCCTTCAATAGATAAGCTATCATTCTTGCTGCTTTCCAGGTCATCAAATTGATCATCAGGGTTCATTAAATCTGGGTCACTACTGATTTTGTCAGTATCTGTGAGTAGCGCGCTATCAAACATTGACTCATCGTCAGCATTCAAATCAACTTCATTTTCCCCTGCTTCAGAAACAATTTTCCCTATTTCATCATTATCTCCAACACATTCCTTGTCTGTCAGATGTTTATTTAAATCTCTTTTATCAAGGTATTTCTCTTTACAGATACCACATTGATACTGTAAAGGATTTGTATTCCTATCTAGTTTTGCTTTTTTCTTTCTTTTCACATTTACTCGAGTGGCAGATAAAACTTTCACAGTTGGTTCAGTTGTTCTACCAACCTTAACATTGTCTGTGTTTGATTCACTACCATCATCATCTGTACTGTTCACTTCCTCATCAAACATGATCTAAAAATAGAACATGGTCTATAAATAAAACATGATCTAAAAATAGAACATGATTTTTTTGGAATTTCGGCAAATGTGGGTTTTCCCAAGCTCATCACCCTGTACAAACAAACTTTTACTGATATATAACTTCACGATGCACTACTGGTCACAAAAGATCAGTCAATATCTTACCCTAATTTTCGCAGCTGTAACTGGTACCCCTAGATTGTCTGGGGAAAACCCAAAATATTCGTAATTCCTAAGTAAGTCTATTAGATTTAATTTAAAACAACACAAATGATGACAGTAATTGAAATACACACAGGCCACTGTAAATTTATCAAGACCAAAGAAAATATACGACAAAACTAATAAGATGTCAGCTCTAAAATATCCAAAGTTTTTAAGTATTCCAAAATTATTCTGGAATTTTTCTTCCCTCATTGTTACTTGTGCAAGTTTCTGTAACTGTTATTGTAGGTAAGTCTTCTACTACTGGTAAATGACGTTATCTAGATATGATGGGTTTTGGTAGCCCTATACCGCTTATGTCAGAGCCTTTGCAGATCCTTTTTTCACTTTCTGATGTTATTTCCAGTAGAGGTATTGCGAAAAAAAAATTGGAGGAAAAAATTTTCAAATGAAATATCGCTTAAATTGTGAGGATTTCCCCCCCAAAAGCTCAAATTTTAGATCTATATATGATGTTCTATCAAAAACACCATATATTTAAATGTGTATAATGTTTTAAATAGGCTTATATTATATTTTACAATTGTTCTTATGATTATCATACAAAATTTACCCAATTCTAAGACTTATATACTGTATAATGGTTTAAATAAAGATAAAAAAAAATAATAATCAAATACATACTGTTAAATCTTCAGGATCAATGTCTTCAGTACCATCTAGTTTGGCTGTAAACTCTTCCCTCTCAGTAAAACTGAGGTTAGAATCTGAAATATAGTATAGATATATAAATTCCCAACAACACAAGTCTTATTGATGCATTTCCAGTCTTGTTTGTGCTGGATTTTAAATCACACTGACAACCATGACCTATGACCCTGGGTTGATTGGGAAAACCTTTTCTCTTCTTTTTGCCATGTTTTAAATTTGAAACACCTTAAAAATTCAAGGAATTTCATTCAACATCAAAATACAACAAGAGCTGTTAGTAGGAGCATCAAGCTCCACCTTTCTCAGTATTGTGTAGAGACAAGAGAATTCTGTTATACAGTTGTATTACCCAGCACAACTATCGAGTGGGTCTTTACAATCATATATCTGCCTTTTCTTCAAAACAGTTGAGCTAAAAATAGAATCACCAACAGTAAAGAGAGCTTGATTCAACTGTGTAGCTGTGAAGGCTGGTCTAGTGCTATTATGCACCTTGCAAAAATTACTCTGTATCAGTTACAAGGGGTTAAAGTTAAACTTTAATTAAACTTAAACAAAATTAAACAAAACCAAATTTAATTTTGGGGAAAAAACAAAATTAACAAAATACCTAAAGTGAAGTTCCAACAACTATGAATACATTCATATCAAAAATCATTCAAGTTTAAGCAAATTTTCAAAGAACCATAGTCTACATTACACAGTTACTATGGTTCACTTTTAAGACCCTTTCAGTACCAAAGGAATGACTTAAATGGTCAGTAAAACATGAAATTCCACAAAAAAAATCTTAACCAGAGTGTATAACAGTCACATTTACCTCAATGCTAATGGGAGGACAGACAGACAAATTTCACAAAAAAGCTTAACCAGAGTGTATTATATTTACACAAATGCTAGTGGGTGGACAGACAGCGCAACTTTTTTTAGAACAGATGAGCTAAAAATGGTTGTACATTTTGATAATCATAAAATACAGGAACTAAAATGCTCTGCAGAGGCAGATTCACATATGTTCGTCATCTTGCATTGGACTTCTGCATCGATTAGATCTTAGGTACAAGTAATCATATATTGAAACAGACTTCCCTGTACATTGTTAGTGTATTCTGAAGGTTGATTTGGTAATACCAATCTGCCTTTGCTTCACAATATTTTTCATTCTGTGACAAAAATTATGAATTGAAATTGAAAACAAAGACTTGCCAAAAGTTGCCTGCACATTTGTCATTGTATTCTGAAGATCAATTTTTAAATACCCTGTCTGCTCTGGCTTCACATTATTTTTCATTCTGTGACAAAAATTATGAGGCCTTGGAAATCTTTGGAAATATAAAATTGAATTGAGCCGCGCCATGACAAAACCAACATAGTGCGTTTTCAACCAGCATGGATCCAGACCAGCCTGCGCATCCGTGCAGTCTGCTCAGGATACATACTGTTCGCTATCTGTTTCTCTACTTGTTATACTGTAGCATTTGTAAGCAAACAGCATGGATCCATGCTGGTCGCAAACGCACTATGTTGGTTTTATCGTGACGCGGCTCAATTATTAAATGAGTATTTACCTGGTGACTTTGTCAACTGCCTGGTTATTTTTTTCATTTCCTTATCATCATCAATATAGTCATCATCCTCATCACCATGTTCCATGTAATCATTTAAATCTCCATCATCAACAACATCCTCACATTCCTCTGAAATAAAATAAACACGATATGAGCCGTGTCATGACAAAACCAACATAGTGGGTCCGCGACCAGCATGGATCCAGACCAGCCTGCGCCTCCGCATTCGCAGTCTGATCAGGATCCATGCTGTTCGCTTACAAACCTTACAACAAGTAGAGAAGCTGATAGCGAACAGCATGGATCCTGATCAGACTGCGCGGATGCGCAAGCTGGTCTGGATCCATGCTGGTCCCAAACCCATTATGTTGGTTTTGTCATGACGCGGCTCATATAGAGTACAACTTCTGAAGAACAAACAAGACTTCACAATATATTTAAGGACATTTTCATATAGACATATACAGTGATTAATCTAGATGTGCGTCTTGCGTAACATACGCATAAAAATCAAAAAAGACGCACAGTTTCAAAATATGTGCGTTCAATTTGACGCATGCAAATTAGGTGGTTTATAATCCAAAATATCACGATTAGTGATTTCTATGTACTGTTTGATAACTTTAATTTCATCAGTTGAATAATTTTTCAATTTCTTCAGTTGAATAATTTAATTTCCGATGATTACAGGTGCAAGACTAATCCCCCATTTGCTTGAAACGTTAAATCCCTGTGATCGGTAACCGCCCATTATCGGCATTAGCCAATCAGAGCGTCCATTTTGCATGACAGCGAATCGCCTACAATGGTGAAATATGCAGAGATCTGCCTGCGCCATTGGCGCTAAAAAATGAGAATGGCACAGGAAAATCGTCAGCAAAGGGCCATGGGTGCATCTAAAATCTGTGCCAGACTTATATTGTATGTTATTTAGTCATCCAGACAAAACTGGTACCAACAGGTTACCCATTCCCCTGTAATTACGTATATTCTTGAGTTTATCCATTTCCCTATAGCATTTTTCCAAGTTATAGATTTACTTACCTCATCCCTTTCCATTTCTACTACCGTAAATTTAATCCAATGAAGCAAACAAAAAATCATTAATCATTAATCTACTTAATATTTTGAATAAATATCGGTAACTGAAAAAAAAGTGTTGCTATTTTAAGAAATGCTGTAAGTTACAGTATAATCTGACAGGTGTGTAAATTGAATTCCCCTAAGGTCACTCAAGTTCACGCGGAGTGTAGAAAAAAAAGATGTCTATTACGTCATCAGAATATTTGACAGGGTGATTAACCAATCAGGGAAACATTGTGCATGACTTTTTTTCATGATCAAAAGGTCTGTCTGCACAGAGGCATTGTAACAAGGAGCAATAAAAGTCGTCAGTATGTACATGTATACAGTGTGATACTGATAGGGACATTTTGTGCAAATTACGAACAATTAAAATGGATAATGCACAGTATTAGACATAAGTAGTAAGAAAATATAAATTATGCAAATTAGATTTTTGAGCAGCCAATAAAAATTGTTTTGCCTGCAATTAATATTATTACCAAAAATAACTTTTTTATACACTTTAATTACTTAATCGCTTGTTATAAAAACATGCAAATCATGTAAAGGATCTGCTATTAAAAAATATTTCTGCTAAGACGCATTTATTTTGCTACATGACTCATTGATTTTGCTAAAGGACTCATTGTTTTCAAACATGTGCGTCATCCGACGCATTGTAAGGAATTTCTAGATTAATCACTGCATATAGGCAAAATTTAAACTGGTCAATAGAATTTCTTAAAACTTGGCATGTTGTTACAATATGATAATAGAAGTATTTTATTTTTAAGTAAAGAAGTATTTTGGGGGCACCGTAATCACCTTTGAGTTATCTTCCCTTGAATCTGATATTTTTGCTTACAATTTTTCTATTATCACATTTTAACAACATGCCAAGTTATAAACAAGAGGGCCATGATGGCCCTGAGGTCGCTCACCTGTATATAGGCCCCCCAACCCCCACCCCCCCCAACGTTGCAGGGCCAATTTAACCCAAGGGCTTTTATTTGCACAAACTTGGTAGACACCCATAAGAAGATGTTTCATGCTAAACATCTAAGCTCTAGCTCATTGGGCTTTTTAAAAGAAGATTTTTTTAATGTTTGTTTGTTTGTTTGTTTCATTTTACGCCTTTTTCAACAGTATTTCAGTCATATAGGCGGGTAGTTTCTTAACCATCGTTCCTGGAGAGTTACACCAGTACTAGACTACCTTCCTCCGCGCTAAACTACCAAAGCATCTCCCGGGGATCGAACCCACGCCAGAGAGGTAACTGGATTAGAAGTCATCGACTCTAACCCCTCGACCACGGAGGCGTTTTTTTTTTTTCTATACACATATAGTTAAAAACAATGACACCCCTGGGGCGGGGCCAGTTTTGACCCCAGGGCTTTTATTTGAACAAACTTTGTAGACACTTACTAGAAGATGTTTCATGCTTAATATCTTAACTCTAGCTATTTGGGTTTTTTTAAAGAAGATTTTAAGTTTTTGCTATACACATATAAAGAAAATCAATGACCCCCGGGGAGGTGCCAATTTTGACCCCAGGGCTTTTATTTGAACAAACTTGGTAGACACCTATTAGAACATGTTTCATGCTAAATATCTTAGCCATAGCTCTTCGAGTTCTTTAAAAGAAGATTTTGTTAGTTTTTACTATATGCATATAGGGAAAATCAATGACCCCCCGGGGCGGGGCCAATTTTGACCCCAGGGCTTTTATTTGAACAAACTCGGTAGACACTTATTAGAACATGGTTCATGCTAAATATCTTAGCTCTAACTCTTTTGGTTCTTTAAAAGAAGATTTTTTAAGTTTTGACTATATGCATATAGGGAAAATCAATGACCCCCTGGGGCGGGGCCAATTTTGACCCCAGGGCTTTTATTTGAACAAACTTGGTAGACACCTATTAGAACATGTTTGATGCTCAATATCTTAGCCATAGCTCTTTAAGTTCTTTAAAAGAAGATTTTTTAAGTTTTTACTATATGCATATAGGGAAAATCAATGACCCCCCGGGCGGGGCCAATTTTGACCCCAATTTTGACCCCAGGGCTTTTATTTCAACAAACTTGGTAGACACCCATTAGAACATGTTACATGCTAAATATCTTAGCTCTAGCTCTTTGGGTTCTTTAAAAGAAGATTTTTTAAGTATTTACTATATGCATATAGGGAAAATCAATGACCCCCCGGGGCGGGGCCAATTTTGACTCCAGGGCTTTTATTTGAACAAACTTGGTAGACACTCACTAGAAGATGTTTCATGCCAAATATCTAAGCTCTAGCTCTCATGGTTTTTTACAAGAATATATAAGTTTTTTTCTTTCGGTTGCCATGTCAACCAGAGTTCTGCATGGAATTAAATTCTTTGAACAATTTTTAAAGGTGACCACCAAAGGAACATTCCTGTGAAGTTTGGATGAAATTGGCTTAGTGGTTTATGAGGAGATGTCATTTAAAGTAAAAGTTTACGGACGGACGGACGATGGCCGGACGCCGGACGAAAAGCGATCACAAAAGCTCACCCTGTCACTTTGTGACAGGTGAGCTAAAAATTCTATTTTAATTTTGCCTATATGTCTTGACTATATGAAAACTCCCTAAAACATCCTCAATTCAAAATATTGTGAAGTCTTACTTGTGACAACTGATAATGTTGATATAAAGAGGTGATTGTTCTAAAAGGGGTCACTATACAGAGGTTGTGCTAGACATGTATACAATTGCTGTAAAATCATCATAGCCAGTCTGTTATACTTTTGTGTGGAGGACCTTTTTCATTTTGCAATTTGTGTTCTTTTGTTTGCAAAATAGAATATTGTTACCATAGCAATTTCATTTTTAATAATATTGAACAAGAAGAGGTAAAATACCACAAAACTATCTCAGAGACTGAATATTCCAGGTGCTTATTAGTAAACAAGAGCAATATTTGAAATGGAGTTATGCTGTTCAAAACCAATGATTGAGCTATTGGGGCTCGGTGACCTATAATTAATTAAATATGACCCTGAAGACATGTGTGAAGTTTCAAATACAAACCGTAAGTAACGTTCAGGATATAAAATTTCCATTATAATAATAACGAAGATTAATTTTTACAGTTTACATTGAAAGTGTATATTTTGGTTTGTTTCAGATAACAAAACAACCAAGTTTCAACAACAACACTAAAATTTCTTTAATATTTTTTTATGATTTTTAAGTTTACAAGTTTTAAACAAGTAATATTATAACAGTAAAGCCTCTGCAGAATGGCCTTCTTAAGATCGGTTACCTCTTTTCCACAGCAATATCATTTCTTCCAATGGGATGAATTCAACTAAATTTTACTATAGAGCAACACCTCTAAGCAAGTGGTCCGCTTAGCATTATAGGTGGAGCGTTGGACTGTGAATCGAGCGACCAGGTTCCCGGACAGCGCAAGTCACTTTCTTTGTGATTGATCATGAAATCCTTTCTACGGTCATTCACACTGAAACTCTTCTTTTGCAAGTACAAAAGTAATCAGTTCCTGGCGAAAGTGAAGGCAACTAGTACTGGTAAACTGCTTGACAAGAACAATGCGGTGGCTACACTGTGCTCTGGTAAAGTCAATGTGGCTTACTGTCGTGATCCGGAATGAAAACTACCAACACCACCACCATCCTAAGCAACAACCTTAATACTTGTTTACCAAAGGCAGGGCTCTAGCAACTGGGCGATTTCGGCGACTTAGTCGCCTAAAGTGTCAGAACTTCGCCGAGTTTGAACATCAAAGCGAAAACGATTTCGCCGCATTTTTTTACTGACCACATGTACATTTATATCATACAGTGCATGTTAATTAAGTTAATCCTCGCCTCCAGGCATAAATCAAACTGAATTGGTGACGCACATGCAGTTACTGCCGATAATTGACATCAATTAACACATTTAAGTGACATGATATGCAGATGCATCGGAAATTTGCCGATGTAAACATCACATTTTTTAGGCATAATTTTACGACACCTGCCACTATTTTATCAGCGAGTGTAAAAAGCTTACACCCGGAATTGCTCTTACCATATTTGACAGTAATTACACGCAACCTCACACAGACCGTGTAAATTTACTTGCATATAAATTAATACACACAGAAGCACAAGTAATTAAGTAAATGGTTTGATACCTGTTTGATAGTAAAAATGAAACTTGTTAAAGAACTTGAAAAACATTGACCCACATTAAACTTTGTCTTCAAAAAGTTACATAAACCTCGGTAAATTATGCGGTAAACTTCAAATTCGAAAATTTTGTTTTACAATGCCTGTTGCAATAGCGGATGAATAACAATCTAAAAATAATCATTGAATATTTAATTAAATATAATCAAAATCAACAACAACTAGAATTGTAAGTGTTTCTGCAGGAAACAGACAAATTTTCAATTGTCACATATTTTCGCGATGCCGATTTTTACGATGAAAATAATAGTTACCAAAAGGAAAATTTGTTTTGTTAAAATGTGTCCAGTAGCACTTAAAATGTAGTTTATTAATGAAAATTCCTTAAGGTATGGTTTACATTAATTTTCATTGAGAATTTTGCCAGTATGTGTTGTACAATGAATATTTTCTTAAGGGAGGGGGGTGTGTGGAGTTAATCAGGAAGAAAACATTATAATGGTCTGATGATAGAGGGTTTTAGAACTTATACTTCAAACATCACTATCAATAAATAGGTAAAACTCCTTTTTATAGATCAAATCAATGTACTAAGCACTTTTTCACTTCTCCTTATGTCGTCAAACTTCTCCCTGATAGGAGCTTAGGGAGAAATCACTTCTCCCTAAAATTTTGGTCTAGCTAGAGCCCTGCAAAGGGTAATGTTCTGCAGAGGTTATGCTGAAGAAGTCATCAACAAAAATAATTGAGCCGTGCCATGACAAAACAAGCATAATGGGTTTGCGACCAGCATGGATCCAGACCCGCCTGCGCATCCGCACAGTCTGATCAGGATCCATGCTTTTGCTATCAGTTTCTCTACTAGTAATAGGGTTGGTAAGCAAACACCATGGATCCTGATCAGACTGCGCGGATGCGCAGGCTGGTCTGTATCCATGCTGGTTGCAAACCCATTATGTTGGTTTTGTCATGGCATGGCTCATATATTGAAATTGTGTGTACCTTTTTCTGTTGGTGTATCAAGATCATCATAATGTTCTGTATTTTCCTCAATCATTCTAGACTTTTGAGACCTTGTTGCTGGTCTCTGAGGGGAGGTAACACTTGCTTTTGTAGTTTTAGGAGGGGAGGTAATTTTTGCATGCATCGTTTCTGTAGATTTCTCTGCTAAATCGCTGGTATGAACTCCGCCCAGCTTATCAGTAAGATGTAGTATGTCTGAATGTAGATAAAATGGTCTAAACTGATACATTACATTTTAATATTTTAACATGTACATTGTATATATACCGTTATACCATATATCTTAATACTGACAAACTGTATAAAGAAAAGCAACTGGGGATTAGAGGTCTCAGGTGCATTATCTTTACAATCAATATGGCGCATAATCATAGTCTACATATATTATATGTTTAGCATCTATTACCGTCAAAAGAATGAAGACTGTTATTTCAAATATTAATGACCATGATCCTTTTTTCGATTTTGGCACAAATATTTCATCCAATATACTGTATTGTTAACTAAATGTATTTTGACTCAACAAACTGATATAACAGGGTGTGCAAAAGTGAGACCAGTTATTGTCTGAATGAAATCATTAAGAGTAATTAAATACAACAGGGCCATGATGGCCCTGAGTTACTCACCAAAAACAACTGCTTTTCAGTAAAAGATTACCTAAGAATGCTACAGACCAAGTTTCATGATCATCCATGAATTATTTCAGTAAAAGCAGACATTTAATTATAGGTATTTCTATTTTTACCTTGAGTGGCCCCGTAAAAGGGGCCAATCAAATTATTATGAGCAAACTTGATAAAAGACTACCTAAGAATGCTACAGACAAAGTTTCTTGATCATCCATCAAATTATTTCAGTAGGAGATGATGTTCAAAGGTTTTTATATTTTTAGCTTTAGCGGCGCCTTAATGGGGCCAATCAAATAGATATGAGCAAACTTGATAAAAGACTACCTAAGAATGCTACAGACAAAATTTGGTGATCATCTATCAATTATTTCAATCATCCATTCAAAAATTTCTTCCCTATATACTAAAAATATAGTATATATATGGATGAAATTTTTAAAAACAACTTTCCTTTGTTGATTTATTGAAAATAAGATATTTTAAAAATATTTTATTAGTGAAAAAAAATTTTTTTTTATAAAAATAAGTGGGCGTGGTCATGTACATGTATACTATCCAAGTCACGCACTGACTGCCTTTGCTCCTGTTGTGTATTGATTTATATGCAAGTAAATTTACAAATTCCGTGTGAAGTTGCATGTAATTACTGTCAAATATGGTAAGAATGGTTCCGGGTGTAAACATTTTTTTGAACAAACTGATTAGAAAGTGGCAGGTGTAATATAACATATGCTCAATTAATTGCGTTTTTTTTTTTGTTAACATCGGCGAATTAGATGGCAAAATGTCCAATGGATCTGCATATCATGTCACTTAAATGTGTTAATTGTGGTCATTTATCAGCAGTAACTGTGTTGTCACCAATTCAGGTTAAGTTACGACTAGAGGCTAGGTTAAGACTTATTCACAAGCACTGTCTGATACATAAAGATCTGTACATGCAGTAAGAAAATAAGAGCGGCGAAGTTGATTTCGCTTTGATGCTCACACTGGACGAAATTCAGAAACTTGAAGCCCCTAAGTCGCCCGGTTGCTAGAGCCCTTATTAAAATTGAAAGTTATTATCAATAATTTGAAAAGATACATCTACATGTTATAGAAGTAGAATCAGAATCTTACCTGGTTTGCAATACTTCCAACCATTATCAGAAAACAGTTTTTTCATGGCCTTCTCTTGCTCTATGGAAACATACAGCATCATCAAGTACGAATCCATCTTCACTTTGAATCTAAAAATTATTAAAACATGCAATAATTTGCCAAAAAATGTAGCAAGACTCAAAAAGGGTTCATGAATTTAGAATCAAGCTTGGTCAACACTGTACTGGAAAAGTTTCATATAAACTTTAAAATGTTATTGTAACATTATGCTGTAAAAAGTATACAGCAGTGTAAACTGAAAGTTGTAAAAGTGAATATAGACAAGTATAATAGTGATGAGACCAATATGAAGTAGTGGCGAAAGGTTGTCAAAAAAAAAAAGGGCTTAAAAAGAGCTTAGCCGATCCATCAGAGCCCAGAATCATCATACAGGTATTATGACTGTATGAAATTTTAGGGTTCATTATAAATTTGTTACAGTGGCACTCAACCTAAAAGGTGACTCTCATGGTTAGTACTTTTAACAAGACACTGCACAAGCACATGTTTTGCGGTCCTACTAAACACTGCTAAGGACCGCTAAGGACTGCTAAGGAGCCACAAAGGACTACTAAAGAGGCAAAAAGGACCTTAAAATACCTCCTAGGCCATTCTTATATGACATGGTATTATTTTTAGTGAAAATAAATTATAATTTAAAAAAAAATATGATTTTGGTGAAAATTTTATGAGTTGTCGGACCACCAAAATTATATTTTTTTTCTTACAATAATACATTTTTGTCTATTAACTTACTACTATATATTATAAGAATGTCCTAGGAGGGATTTGAAGGTCCTTGGTGCCTCCCTAGCAGTTGTTGGTGCACCTGAGCAGTCCTTAGCGGTCCGACAACTCTTCAAAAACATGAATTTTATCACTAAAACAAGAGCGATCAGTAATCACATGTGTCACCTCATGATGGCCAATTTCATGTTGGGACAAATTTTGTGACAGACGGACAGACAGACGAACAGTGCACAACTAGACTTGGTACTGATCATTCCTGTAAAGTTTGGATAAAATTGCACCAGTAGTTTATGAGGAGTAGTCCGGACAAGCTTTTGCGTATCTGGCAACACACAGAAAAAAAACACATTTTTATCAAAGGGCCATAACTCGGCCAAAAATCATTCAACCGGAAAACCCGTGCAATATGCGCAAGGACTTGAGCTACAGATCAATCCTGTAAAGTTTCATTGAAATTGCATTAGTGGTATAAGAGAAGTAGTCCGGACAAACTTTAAAAATAAAAATTATTAAAGGGCCATAACTCAAACAAAAATCATTGAACCGGAAAATGCGGACAATATGCACAACTAGACTTGGTACTGATCATTCCTGTAAAGTTTGGATGAAATTGCACCAGTAGTTTATGAGGAGTAATCCGGACAAGCTTTTGTGTATCTGGCAACACACAGAAAAAAAACACCTTTTTATCAAAGGGCCATAACTTGGCCAAAAATCATTCAACCGGAAAACCCGTGCAATATGAGCAAGGACTTAAGCTACAGATCAACCCTGTAAAGTTTCATTGAAATTGCATTAGTGGTATAAGAGAAGTAGTCCGGACAAACTTTAAAATTAAAAATTATTAAAGGGCCATAACTCTGACAAAAATCATTGAACCGGAAAATGCTGACAATATGCACAACTAGACTTGGTACTGATCATTCCTGTAAAGTTTGGATGAAATTGCACCAGTAGTTTATGAGGAGTAGTCCGGACAAGTTTTGTGACGGATGGACGGACAGACGGACAGACAGACGACGGAGAAGTGATCCCTATATGTCGCCACTACTCCGTAGAGGCGACACAATGATATTTTTTCTTAAAATTATACATTTTTTGTCACTAAACATACTTCCATGAATTATAAGAATGCCCCAACAGTTATTTTAAGGTCCTTTGTGCCTCCCTAGGAAATATTTATAGGTCTTTGTGCCTGCCTAGCAGTCCTTTTCGCACCTGAGCAGTCCTTAGCGGTTCGGCAACTCATCGAAAGCATAAATTCTATCACCAAAATAATATTTTTTATTACAATAATACATTTTTGTCTATTAACTTACTATTGTATATTATAAGAATATAGCAGTCTTTTGTGTATCTGAGCAGTCCTTAGCGGTCCGACAACTCATAAAATTTTCACCAAAATCATATTTTTTCTTAAAATTATAATTTAATTTTCACTAAAAATAATACTGTGTAATATAAGAATGGCCTAGGAGGTATTTTAAGGTCCTTTGTGCCTCTTTAGTAGTCCTTTGTGGCTCCTTAGCAGTGTTTAGTAGGACCCCATGTTTTGCATGCTTTTATGATTTTTTCGTAATTTCAATTACAGATAATCTATCAGGTAAATACTTTATTATTATTATTTACTTGGTCCAAACTGTAATAATTGGCGCTGTGATACTGACCTTGGTTTTGTCACAGGGTGAGAAAATGTGCAGCCTGACCGGGACTCGAACCCGGGACCCTCGGAATACCGTTCCGCGGCTCTACCGACTGAGCTATCCGGCCGCTTACACATCTTCTCCCCTAAATAGTGAACAGTTCTGAACCGTGACATACTCCCCTGCTATATTGAAATTCGTCCTCGAATTTCACAGAGTTACAGAGCAATGTAAATTAAACTCTGAGCTATATCAGTCACGGCCCCACGTTGGGCGCCAAATGTCACAGGGTGAGGAAAATGTGCAGCATGACCGGGACTCGAACCCGGGACCCTCGGAATACCGTTCCGCGGCTCTACCGACTGAGCTATCCGGCCGCTTACACATCTTCTCCCCTAAATAGTGAACAGTTCTGAACCGTGACATACTCCCCTGCTATATTGAAATTCGTCCTCGAATTTCACAGAGTTACAGAGCAATGTAAATTAAACTCTGAGCTATATCAGCCACGGTCCCCCGTTGGGCGCCAAATGTCACAGGGTGAGGAAATGTGCAGCCTGACCGGGACTCGAACCCGGGACCCTCGGAATACCGTTCCGCGGCTCTACCGACTGAGCTATCCGGCCGCTTACACATCTTCTCCCCTAAATAGTGAACAGTTCTGAACCGTGACAGTTTATTGTTACAGGTTATTTTTTATTTGTAATATATTGTCAAGTAACTTTTTTCTTTTATTTAAAACTTCAATTTAAATAATAAATTTGTAAACCTCAGTCATTGAATTTATGATTTTAAATTTACTGACAGTGTCTATTCTAGGACGCGCGATTCACGCTAGTATTTCAGAGATCGCGGACAATTCAAAATCATGTGCGTGAAAATCACGCATCTATTAACAAATTAATAAAACCGTAAAACTTCCATCCCACATTATATTTGGTTGTTTTGTTTACATTTACACCAAAAACCAAAGGGAGGTAACTGTAAGCTAATTATAATAATTGAGTACCGTATGGTATTGGTTACGTGAGTTGACGGAAATTAACGGAATGTTCCGCATCGACCGGAACTAGTGTGCTCGGTCTGACAGTTTGGCGTCATTTTAGTGTAGTAAATAATCAAGAAAAATGAGGCAATTCCTAGCTTGGCTACGATCTAGACGTGAAAGATAGGTCGATTATTTGTATAGCCAATCCCTTTATAATCAATCGCGGCAGTTCTGTAATAATATGTTTTCGTTTAAAAATTAAGGGGGGACAACTTCTGCTGCCTTAATTTATAAATAAATATTATCGTTTTAATTATTTCATCGGTTGAACGCCTCAGTGTAAACTTAATGCAGACGATTTAACATTGGCAGTTTATACTGGCACCCATTGATTTTGAAAATCGCCCCCTTTTTTGAAATAGAGGGGGGAAAATCCCCCCTATTTTTCAATTCCTAGAATAGACACTGTTACTGACCCTAATTCCAATTTTGAATTTATTCTACTATATATTTAACTAAATTTTCTTAAAATTTACACTGGCCTGAATTAATTTTCACTGGCCATGGGCCACCGGGCCAGTGCTAAATTTGATGACTGAAACCCCATTTTGAGCATGTGGCAGCACAAGTTTTCTTTGCATCAATATATTTTAATTCAACTGAACTTGATCTGTAAAATATAATTATGAAAGCTCAAAATATATCTCTGTTTCTGTTTAGAGTTATAATTAAAGTTTCTAAAATTAATGACTAATGATAGATAAATTTTGAAACACTGAAAAAGCGTTCGAAACATTCAAGGTACGAAACGGTTTTATAAAAAGTTTTACAACGCTGTAGTCTCTTGTAATGTGAGAATTCAATGATTAGAATGGCTTACAGTTCCAAACAGAGGAGATAATTGTATCTTTGCAATGTGCAGGTCACTCTTTATGCAGGTATTTAAGTTATAAAGCAAAATGCATTATTTGGATATACATCTGCACTTGCTTTTAACTATGAAAATTTGATTGCTACGTTATTTAACCGAGTTAGGGTTGACACCACTAAATATTTTCGGGAGGTCTCCTATCTCCCCTCCCGGTATGCCTAAAATACGAAAGTGAGATTTTTGACGAAAGTGAGCGAAAGTGACTTTTAAAATTTGAATTGTACTGCTTAAATGGAATAAATGCTTTAGATAAAATATATAGCACATAATATGACGAATATGCTGCGTGGAAAGCGTGTTTATCTATTCTGTAAATGGTATTGAGAATGCGTGTATGATGATTTTTACCCCATTTTTTTTTTACATAATTTCTATATATACAAGTTCATCAATCTTCCTTTCGCTCACATAGAAAATACAAAAGTGACTCTAAAATATCAAATATGATGTTTAATTGAAATAAAGTGTTGAATATCAAATTATGAATTTCTGAAAATATACGTTTAAAAATTGCAATTTAAGTACATGTTCAATTCAAACTCTATAATTTACAAGTCACTTTCGTATTTTTCAATGTAATCTAAAGGAAGATCGCTGATACTATATATAGTTAAAATATCCCAAAAAAATGGTGTATAAAACTATCAATCATCATAATTATTAATTTAATCATAATTAATAAATAATATAAATCTCTTATAATACACGTCTACAAACTGCAAATTTAGTACATTTTCAATGCAACAAGTCACTTTCGTATTTTTCTATGCAAGAGAAAGGAAGATCGCTGATCTTGTACATAGAGATTGGGCCAATAAATGACGATTAAATCATGATTATGGTTATTTATAATAATTTATATAATTAGTTGCTAATAATATACGTCTACAAGCAGCAATTTTACAGTAAAATTCTAATAAAATGGTACAATTCAAATTCTAAACGTCACTTTCGCTCACTTTCGTCAAAAATCTCACTTTCGTATTTTAGGCAAACCCGTAACAAATAAATAAGGTGTTTTTTTTCTCCTAAATTGAATGTTTGTCACTAAGTTTGGTTACAATAATTAATAAACACAGATCATCTCTCAAATTTATTTATTTATTATAATTTGAAAGGCTCTGATATGACACTATCAACTTGAAATTACCCAAAATCGCATTTTTCCATGTTTAAACATGGCCTGTCATATAAATTTGAAGAAAAATTGTTGTTCTGTAGATTTTTTGATTTTTTTTCATTAACCCATTACTTCATGAGCATTTTGTAAAAAATGGCTGTTTTCATTGAAAAGTCTCCCGTTACAAGTTCAAATTGCTATAATACTCTCACAAGTCCAAAATTTTCTTGGCGATGTACCGACATCTCAAATTTGCAAAAAATCACTATTTTGCGTTGATTTTTTCCATCAAAATTGATTTCAAAGTGCTGCAACTTCTCAATGGATTGAGATAGAGTCAAATTCTTTTCTGAGTTGGTTACACGTTACCTAAAGATCAATCTGGGGTCATTTATAGCCTCTCACAAGTCAAAAATTTTCTTGGCGATGTACCGACATCTCAAAATTGCCAAAAATCACTATTTTGCGTTGATTTTTTCCATCAAAATTGATTTCTAAGTGTTGCAACTTCTCAATGGATTGAGATAGAGTCAAATTCTTTTCAGCGTTGGTTACACGTTACCTTATGACCAATCTGTGGTTTAGTTTAATAATATTTTATTGCATATTTTGTACATGATTAATTTACACAATCTAACATCAATATCTTAAGCATGAATATAATGTACATACAAAAGGGTTGGACCAAAAGTTATACCAACATTATCTAGGGTCCTCCCCTGAAGGTCTATCTTGTTGGCTTAATGGTAACATAGTAAGTAAATGTGGTTTTTAGAAATTCTGAGATATTTATTTATATGATAAGCGATATTAATTTCATGTATTTTAACTGGTAGAAAAGAATCGCTTAACCTAAAAAACAAAGAAAATTACAAAATGACTTGATGAGGTAAAATGGAAAAAAAAAATGTATGCCATTAACAATTTGCCACTATAATAAACGCACCAAACCTTGATTTGCAGCAGTATTTTAATAAACTTAATATGAAAATAAATATAGTATATGTGTAAACAAAATTAGGTAAATCTTCTACTACTTTTGATGTAATTATGCACTTCTTGAAATAGTCTTATGTTTTCGGCTTCTGCAAGTCCATCAATACCGTGTAATAATTTCTGACTACTGAGAGGATGAAAATGACCTGGTATTCAAAAAAAGTATACGTCTTTGCATAGTATATAATTTACATCGGAAAAAATAGTGCTCCGCATTTTCGATGTCTGCGCCGCATTGGCATAATGGACTTGAAACTAAATGGTTTAATAAAAAGATCATTATTTAAGTTGCTACAATTGTTTCTAATTCGGGTTTGGTGGACATTTAAGAACGATCTCCGTATAAGAAAAAAGATGGAACTACTGGAGGTTTATATAACTGTTTAATCTTGTTTTTAAATATAGCTAGCGATTGTGATTCGCGAATGTTTGTCGGAAGATTATTCCATAATTGAATAGCTGATGGAATGACTGATTTTGAGTAAATTTCGGTACGTCTGGCTAAAGTAATATAGTCACTATTATTTCTTAACGAATAATGGTTTTCTAACGCCATCTCGACAGATGGTGGAAAAAGTTGCATAAGATATTGTGGTAATAAATTATATTTTCCTTTATACATTAAAACTAGTTTTCGAATTTGTCGTCTGTCTGAAAGTGAAACCCATCCTATCTCCTTAAGTAAATATTGAATTGATACGGATCTAGTTAAACCAGTTACCACGCGAGCTGCTTCGTACTGAATTTTTTCTAACGTTTCTTTTTCAAGCTGTGTGCAATTATCCCATACTAAAGATGCATATTCTAAATGTGGACGTAAATAAGATATGTAAATGTTATTTAGAGTATTTCTTTTACCTTGAATTTTAGCATTTTCATTGAACCAAGAATTCTTGCAGCTTTGGATACTATAATAGATATATGTTCATGCCATGACCCATCTTGACTGAATGTTACCCCTAAATGCTTATGGTGGTCTACATACTTAAGCTGTACATTATTGAAAAAAAGATTCGGTTTATTTCGATAACAAAATGAAAAGAACATGACCTCAGTTTTTGCTGGATTGAAATTAACAAGCCATTGTTTAGACCATGATGTAATTGTGATAAGGTCTTTATTAAGAATTTCTTCCATATACGAGACATCTTTAGATGAGACTGCCAACGAACTGTCGTCGGCAAAAAGTCTAGTTACACCTAGAAGGATTCGGCAATGTCATTAACATAGATTAAAAATAAAAGAGGACCAAGGACGGATCCCCTGGGGGACTCCTCCAAGTAATGTTGTAGTATTAGAGAAAGAGGAAGACACAAAAACTTTCTGAGACCTATTATAAAGATAGTTGTTTAACCATGAGATCAATTTTCCTAGAATTCCATACTGTTTTAATTTGAAGATAAGACCTTTATGCCAAACTCGATCAAACGCTTTTGAGATATCGCAAAATATAATACATGTTGATTCTTTGTTGTCAAAAGCTTTACAAATTTGATTATAAATATCAATAAGCTGGTAAACAGTTGGGTGACCTGGCAAAAAATCCAGAATGATTTTGTAATAGTAATGAGATAATATGAAAATAGTTATACATATGTTTAAATATAACACGTTCCATCACTTTTCCAACACAGCTTATCAAAGAAATCGGTCTATAGTTTGATGGTTCGTCCTTATTACCTTTTTTAAATCGTGGCATTACATGAGCTAGTTTCCATTTATCGGGATATATTCCTTCATTTAATGAGAGATTAAAAAAGTAAACAAAGTGGAACACACAAAGATTCTGATGTTTCCTTTAACATTTTATGGCTGATTTCATCTGGGCCGGAAGCTTTATTGGTGACAAGATTCAATAAGGTATCCTTAATCTCTTGTTCATTAATTATAAAATCTTCAAGACGTGAATTAGTTTTAAAAGTAAATAGTGGAAGTTTTATATTTGTATCATCAAACACATGATATTGAACTAAAAAACTCATTTAAAGTATTTGCCTTATCTATATCAGATACGGAGAAAGTATTGTTACTATTTTTAAGAGGAGGTATGATTTCATTATCATTTGTATTATCTTTTACTAGCATTTTAACTATTTTCCAGTATTCACGAGGATTAGAACTGCTCATATCGTGCAATGAAAATTCTAAATTATTATAAAATATCTCTTTAGCATTTTTATTCATATTATTTACTTGATTTCGAGAGTGCTTATATTTTATCCAATCAGAAGCTTTATTACTATTTAATGCTTTATGAAAGAGCCTATCTCTTTGTCTTAAACCTTTTCGTATACTACTGTTAAACCAAGGTTTATCATTCGGCCTTATAAGTGCATAATATGATGGAATGCATTGTTTCGCTAGATATAAAAAATTTGTCCGTGAATAAACTGCACGCCTCATTAACATTACTGTTTTGAATAAAGGACCAGTCTGTATTTCTTATCAATGAATTTAATTTTACAAAGTCAGCTTTTTTATAATTCCAAATTTTCTTTTAAAAGGTTTGTTTAAATCAAATTCTACCGATAAATAAATATATGTTCCTAAATGATCGCTAATTTCGCTAACAGTTTCGAAAACGCCAGAGTCAAAAAACATGGATATTATTTGTTATGGCAATTGGATCGAGCAATGTTTGCGTATTTGGAGTAATTCGTGTAGGGCATTCAATAATGTTAATCATATTATTTACTAAAAGAACATCTTTAAATTTATGATTTGTTGTATTAATTTGATCTTCATTTATATCCCTACAATTATTAAACGCTGGTTATGTTCTAACGCTATTTCTAAACAATTATTTAATTTATCCCAAAAGTCAACCTTATAGTGGGGAGGCCTATATATTGTGCATAATAGATAAGATTGATTTTTATCTTTGAATTCGATCCAAATAGATTCAGGAAGAAGATATTCTAAGTTAAAAAGTCGCCTTGGTCTTATGAAAGAAGAAACATAAACAAGCAAACCTCCAGAATGGCACGTTAAA